GGGGTCAGCAATGCCAGGGTGCTGAAGCCCTACCGCCAAAGCTACATGCCCGTCTGCTCCACGAATTACTAGACCAGAGGTACAACTGGAAGCACGAACCGCAGCATCAAAATTGATCTTCAGAAAACCATCAGGAGGAGGGGCCCAGGAGGGGAGGCGAGAACTCGGTGGCTGGCGGGGAGGGGCAGGTACAGGAGGAAGGCAGGAAGAGAGTTCACGAACTTGGAAAAAACATTGGCGAGCTAAAGACTGGGCATGAGGTTGAACATACTCAAATACCACCTTATTTCGAGACTTCCAGATCCTCCACAGTACGCAGACAAGCAGGAGAACATGGGTTTGGGGGTGCTCAGAAAGCATAACATGTCGCCACCAGAGACTGAAATTCACAGTCGGGGCCGAGGCAATGAAGTCATTTAGGCCCATAAGCGACCACAACCTGGTGGCCAAGGGGCATCTGAAGAACAGGTGTTCAATACTTTCTGGACTTCTCCAGCAAACCGGGCACCGGGTACGACACTTAATCCCTCTAGACTTAAGAGCTACTACTGTTGGTAATATCACTCTTAGACACTGCCAAATGAAGAGTTTCAATTTTGGAGGAATCATAATATCCCATGTTTTCTTCCAGATAGGTGGATCTATGATTTGGGCTAGGGGTTTTCGACTTGAGACTAGAGAGATTTCTAAAGCCAGATGGTATCCCGTTTTCACTGTATAGGAGCCATTTTTTGTAAAGTGCCAAATTTTAGTGTCTCTTTGTTGGCATCTAGGTAGAGGGATTTTGCGTATAAGGCTAACTGTTATGGGATCAAAACAGTACTGAAGCCTTGGGATATGCCACTCTCCTCTACCTTCTCTAATAAAGAAGGAGACTCTTGGGGAGTTAGTTATATTCGAAAGACGGACAGAAGGAATTATAGGTTTCTCTGAGACTACCCACTTGTCTGAGAAGGCTACAATGTCTTGTCCATTCCCAACTTGCCATCTTAGCCCTTGAAGAAGGAGATCTCTTCCAAACAAGATACTACGCCATCCCCATGAGGGATTGGAACCTAAGGTGGCGTCTAGTACTGACCCTTGATGGAAATAGCGACCTTTGTAAATCGAGGCCAGGAGAGAGTCCGGATTCTTCCAGATTCTCCAACACTGTTTGGCTAACAGAGCCTGGTTGAAGGCACCAAAGTCCCTGAATCCTAGACCTCCAAGAAATTTACTATGTGCTAAACTTTTCCAAGAAATCCAATGGATTGGATGATCTACATTATCTACTGAACCCCACCAAAATCTAGCCACGTGACTATTTAACCTCCGACAATTTTCTTTAGGGATCTTAAAGCAAGACATGCCATGAACAGGTAAGTTGGTAGCTGCTGTCCTAATTAAAGTGTCTTTAACTGCTTTAGATAGGGTTCGTTGTTTCCACCCTTGAAGCTTTTTAATGAGCTTCTCCTCCATGAATTGGAAGGACTCCTTTTTTGATCTAGAAATAGTTGATGGGAGTCCTAAGTAACGGTCTTGCTCTCCAATGCTACCCACACCTAGTTGTGCCCCTAAATCCAAGGCTTGATCAGGATCCATATTGCGACTAAATAAGACCGCTGACTTTTGCAAATTAACTCTTTGCCCACTCAAACCTTCATAGGCTTGGAAAAGAGAGAGGATTGTTGTGCAAGACTGCGAGGTAGCTTCTAAAAAGAGATAGGAATCGTCTGCAAAGAATATGTGGGAAACCATTGGGCAAGAAGCCCTGATCCTAACTCCTTCCAGGTATCCCATTGCTATCGTATGTCTAATCATTGCTGAAAATCCTTCTGCACATATAGCAAATAATAAGGACGAGAGGGGGTCTCCTTGACGAAGTCCTCTAGATGGCCGGAAATAAATGGAGGGAACCCCATTCACCAGTACCGAGTAGGAGACTGTCGTGACACATTCCTTTATCCAAGATATAAACTTTTGGTCAAATCCTAATTCCTTCATTACTTCGAAGAGGAACGGCCATTCCACTCGATCGTATGCTTTTTCCATATCCAATTTTAAAGCCATTCATGTTTTTCGCCCAGAGGTCATTGTACGGAGATGATGGGTTACCTCATGACTAATTAGGATACTGTCTGAGATTTGACGTCCTTTTATAAATCCATTTTGAGTCTGAGATATTATGCTTGGAAGAACTCGACTGAGTCTATTGGCCAGGATCTTAGCTATGATCTTATAAACTACTTGGCAAAGACTAATGGGTCTGAGATTTTTCATGGATCTAACTTCCGCTGTTTTCGGGACAAGTGAAATCCATGTTCTATTAATAGAGCGTAGGAGATTACCAGAATGAAAGAAAGCTATGACAGCTTGGGTGACATCCTGACCAACTATATCCCAGTAAGCTTGATAAAAGCCTGCTGTAAAGCCATCTGGGTCGGGTGCTTGCGTCTTTCCCATACTAAAGATCACTTCTTTGACTTCCTCGGGTGTAATCGGATGAATGAGGGCTCGATTTTGTTCTTCCGAAACTACACCTTCGAATGGCAAATTAGACAGGTTAATGCCTTCATTAAGTTGGGACTGAAATAGGGATTGATAAAATTCTACTGCTATGTTCAGTTTTCTGTCCCCATCTGTGCACCAGAGACTTCTAGAGTCCTCTAAGCCCCAAATGAAGTTGGCTTGCCGCCGAATTGCCGTTATCATATGAAAATATGGAGTATTGCGATCCCCTTCCGTTAGCCAGTTAACTCTAGACTTTTGTCTCCAGTAGACTTCTTCCATTTTATATTGGACCTCTAGTCTTTCTTCCAGTTCTTGAATTAGATTCCAATCAACTATAATGTTTTTTCTCGCATTATCAAGAGCTAGATTGAGGTCTTTTATTAATCTGCCTGAGTTTGATGTACCTCCTTTGCACCAGTCTACTAATGCATGCCGGACCCTGAGAAGTTTATAGAACAGGAAAAATTGTAAGGACCCTGTTATTGGCATATTCCAAACATAGTCAATGATGAGTCTTGTTTCATGCATTCGAGCCCATCTTATGTCGAAATGAAATAGGCGTTTAGCTCTTGACATTTCTGGGGATGTCATAAGACATAAAAGTCTGTGGTCTGACCCTTTATCAGAAAGATGATATAGGCAAGAGTTAGGCCAAGTAGACGTCCAACTCATAGAAACAAATGCCTTGTCGATCTGTTGTTCTATCAAGATACCATTTCTACCTCGATTAGTCCATGTAAATTTAGGTCCTTGAACCCTTACTTCGAGTAGTCCCATGGAATTTAGAAACTCATAAAGGGGACGTGCTTTGTCCATACGCCACGGGGCCCCTCCTGATTTCTCTTGCGGGGATAGTGAGCAGTTAACATCTCCAATTATAAGGAAAGGATCTGACAATCTAGCACAAAAGCCTCGAAGATCCTCTAATTGTGTGCGCCGTTTTGAGATTACATACGAGAGGTAAACACCAATTAGTACAAACCGAGGACAAGCACCATAGCAAAGGGAGTTATTATTGATGACCGAAATTGCAATAAAGAAAGGGGTTGAACCAATGACAGAAACCGAAGCTCCTCTTGGCCAACCAAATACTAGACCCCCCGACAGACCGGAAGGGTTAACAGGAAAGCAATCTGAAAATCCTAATCGTGACATAAAAGATTCTACTTTATCACTAGGAGACATAGTCTCACAAAGAAATAGAAATGACTTAGCCAAATTTCGGTGATCTTTTAGCGTTTGGAATGTCAAGGTACTCCCCAGCCCTGACAATTCCACGCGAAAACATTCATTTAGGATTTTGGGGCCAATTGGGGTTGGCTACCTCCACCCTTTTTCCTTCATCCTTGCCTTTCTCGCCTGGACTCTTTGGAAATGAGTTGACCACTCCTTCTGGTTCCTGGATACAGATCCCAACATTCCTCCGAGTATAGACTCTTGGGGACTCTAATGATTCTATCATTATTGCTTTCCCCTTTGACTTCCCATCCACTGCGCATCCAATCGGAGAGCAAGAGATGGCTGTATCGGCAGATTGATCCATTCCTCCATTATCAAAGAAGCCCATCCCTTCTCCTTGCATGCTAAATAAGAGAGTATCATCTAAATTGTCAAATAAAAATCCGGGATCCTCACTACAATATAAGTTACCTAGCCCATACGATGGGGATGGTGCTTGAAATTGGAGAGGCGTGGGCTCTAACACCAAAGGTTGTGCAGGCTGGGCTTTTTCAATAGACTTGGGCCTTTCATTGCTGCAACCATTCTCAATCAAAGGCTGGCCCAATTGATTTTCCGGCCCAGAGTTGTCTTCTAGCCCACCTGTCTTTCCCACGCGACCTGGCGCTCTGCCGACTTCTCGTCTCTCCCGTCGAAGGCTCCGCGGCGCTTCCTGGCCTCTTCCGGCTGAGTTTTCTCCGCCATTCCGGGAAGGCGCTTCAATCAGCAGCGTACTGGCGCGTGAATATGGCGTGGTCCGAGCTCCATGGCGCCACACGTTTCCGCCCCAGTTTCTTCCTCCTTTACGAGCTGTCGCATAGGAATTCTCGTTTAACTTCGGGCCTGTACGATTTCCAATAATCTCAGGTCCGAATCCATCCTCGCCTGTCATCTCGTGTCGAATTTGCAAGGATCGAAAAATCATACCTTACAAGTAGTTCGATCAAAAGAATCTCATAACAGATGCGAACTCGGTAAACGGTAGTTAACAGTACAAAACGATTGAACTACGATATCACTCTCACTTCGTCGGTGCAAATTTCGATACGATTTTACCATCATTATAAATTTTGTGATCCCTATCATTGATAAAATGGGAAAACAAAGGGCAAGGATGCTTGAGTTGGGAAGGTTGAATTTGTTATTTGTTTTTTACATCAACTACAAAAAACGGTCCAGAAATCAGGAAACGCGGGCCAACTCTTACAACGGGGGGGAAATTGGGAATAAACCGTCCAACTTTTTCCACCGGCTACGAAATCAGGCCACAGCTCAGGCCGCGGGACGCGGGAATGACACAAACTTAGCGGGCCCGAAAAAAAAAGACCCTCGAAAGTCAAAAAAATAAACGGGACGGGGTACGGTGCACGTGAGCCACAGACGCCGGATGACGCGCGTGGTGGATTATTGATATTCTTCTGGGTTTCATCATTAAACATCGTACCTTCTCTGGACCTAAACAAGTAAGGCAACCAAACCCTAAAACCTGAATTAAGAACGGAAAGAAGATCATAAGTTCAAAAAGAAAAAGGACGACGAGCGAGAAACCGGGCAGGCGGGCGGTTAAAGCTTTCTGACAACCATAACTTCAAAGAAATTTCAGGGAGAGAGCAACTGAGCGAAGCAAAAAAGCAGGGTATGAACAATTGAAAAATCCATTCTTTTTTCTCCCCCTTTCTTCTTTTGTTTACTCTGTTGGGTTACTTTGATACGGATTTAGGAAACGGAATCTACACGGACTGAAACGAGACTCTTACTCACCGTCAGACTGTTGTTTTTTGTTTTTTTTTAACTTGGGGGTAAATTTGCAGAGCAGGCGAAACCCCGAGAAGGAGAAGAAGGAACAGAGGAGGCAGAGTGAGAACAGAAACAGAGCAGAGAAGAAAGCAAGCAAGCAAAAAGGTAATCCAAAAAAGAAAAAAAACTGAAAATTGATTAATAGAATAATAATCTGATCTGGTCTCGTGGGCTCTGTTTTCTGATTTGCTGTTGTTGCTGTTCGTTGCCTGGTTTCTCTTTTACCCTTTTCTTTCTTTTCCGATTATTGAATTCAAACACATGAGAAAGGTTAGAGAGAGAGAGAGAGAGATGGGGGGAAATGGTGGAGGTGGAGAGGTGGTGGTGGTGGTGGGTCCCCTGTAAGGTGATCAGAGGAGTGGTGGGAGGGAGGGAAGAAGAGAAGACTTCAACATCAAGACAGACAGTAGTGAATTGGAAAAAGAGAGAGGTTAGAGAGAGAAAGGAAGATGAAAGTAAAAGACAGCTAGCAATGAAGGTTGAGGCTCACCTACCGTTTTCCTTCGCCTTTCCCCTCTCTCTCTCTCTAGTGTGTACAATTCCCCCTTCTCCTTTTTAGCTCTCTCTTCTCTCTCCCCTTCCTTCCCACAACTCAAACCTTCTTCTTCCATTTCCACTCTCCTAATCTTCACCACTACTGCTTCTCTGAAGGTACTGTTCACCCTTACCCCCCTTCTCCCCATTACTGTTCCTTTTCTCCCTACTCTGTTCTGCTCATTGTTCTGCAATTTGGTTTTTTTGTCTCATTTGGATATACAATTGGAGGGAAATTGTTGGCCTTGGGTTGTGTGAATTCCCCTGTTTCCCCAACTCTCCCTTCCCCTAAAGCTCTAATCTTTACTGGGGATTCAGTTTTCCCCTTTGTGGGTTTGTAATGTTGAATTTGAGTGTTGCATGTAGTTAGAGAAGTTCAACCTTTGTCAGGTGCATTTCCCCTGCATTTCGTTTTGCCCAACTACACAAAAAGAGGGCTACTGTCGTTCCTCTGTTTTCTTATCCTTATCCCTCCTTCACAGAATTAATTTGGCAGTGTCGGCACGCCATGCATCGAGAGGAGGAAACCCATGAGTTTTTCTCTCTTCCCTTTGTCCACCATTTAATTGATAATAATAATAATGCCCTAAGGGAGTGTTTGTTTCCCGTGAAACCGAAACCAAATTGGACCGCACCCGTCCTTCTCCCTTTCTCCGCCTCTCTTCTTCTTTCCGTTTCGGGAGCAGAGGAATTTGAAGTTAGAACGAAACCCCCCTTCTCCCCTCTTTGCATTCAATTCCGTCCCTCCCTACATTTTCTTTTCCCTCTCTGACGCCATTGTTGGAGGGTTATTGCTTGCTGCATTCATGAGTTAGGCGCTTATGCTTGTCCCTCCCCTGCAGGAATTCTCAACAAATTAGGCACCCAATCCGCAATTCCCACCGAGCTTTCAAGGGTTTACTGTACCAGAGTGACTGAAGCAGCAAATAAAGGTGTGACTACTTTACGCAATTGGGGAATTTCTTAGGGGAACTGTTCATTTTGTTCCCCCCCTTTTTTAGTACTTTGCGCGTCAGTTTTAAGTCCAGTCGGCAAAAATTTCTCCAATTTCCTTAACCTGGACGCAACGAATTTCACTACTTTCGCCATTGTTATTTATTATATTATTCAGAACTTCCCCAAGCTCACGGTTTTCTGCCGGAATTGTTCCTCTGTTTTCTTTTCTTCTCCTACCCAGGAAAGCGAGGAACTTTTTTTCTTGGGAAAGTAGCTACAATGGTTGGACCGACACCGAATTTCATGGACGAGCTAGACTGCGGCAGCTTCTTCGACCAAATCGACGACCTCATCGACTTCCCCTCCGACAACCTCGACGCCGTCTTCACCTCCTGTCCAGTCGACGACAACGACAGAACCATCTCCGCCGCCAAGAACGACGCCGTCGACGAGTCTTTCCCGCCGCCCAGCATTTGGGCCGCCCACCCGGGCTCTGTTTTCCCCAACCACGGCGGCCCCGACCTCGCCGCCGAGCTGTCCGTTCCGGTGCGTTTCCCAATCCCAATTACTGAATTGCTGGTAGTATCTGCCGTTCGATTTCTTCATTGTGACGTCACCTGCATGCTCCGTTTTGTTGCTTTCCGATTGATTGCCTCTCTTCCGCGCGAAAACGGGTTTGGATTTTAGCGTTACCGTGTCCAAAATTACAAACTTCAAATTTCGAAAAATCTGCCTTTTCTATTTCTTCTTTCATAACGGAAGGGGCAAATTAGTCAAAATTTGTGGGCCATCGTGAGGAGAGGGGGGTATTTTAGTAATTGAGCTTGCCTGTCGGTGATGACGTGGACTTCCGCTTGTTATAGTCACCATGTTAGTGCTTAGTCATGGAAGTCACGTGCTAGTCACGTGGTTGCTACAAATTCGTGTCACATCCCTATTAATCATTTGTCTCCCATTACAATCCTCCATTATTAATATAATCATAATTGCATCCTTAAGACTAAGATTCAGATCCATATTTTGTTAATTAAAACTGGAAGAGCCATGTGCAATGGTGGTGGTCGACTGACATTATTACAGTGAATAGTAGCAGTAGATGTTTGTCATGTTTACCTAAGATCATGAAGGTCAATGCCTTGATCATTTTGCAGTGATTGGCGCCAGAATTCTTGGTTTCTAATTGAGGTTTTGATTTGTGTTTGTTTGATTGTTTACAGTACGAGGACATTGTGCAGCTGGAATGGCTATCCACCTTCGTGGAGGATTCCTTCTCCGGAGGAAGCCTCACCATGAACAAGAACGAGCATCCGCTCCTCGTCGACAAGGACTTCTCCACGTCGTCCTCATCGACCACGACGTTGTCTCAACAACAACATTTCAGGACGTCGAGCCCTGTTTCGGTCCTGGAGAGCAGCAGCTCCTGCTCGGGGGAGCAGAAGCCTGCTTCTGCGCCTCTCAGCCCGGAGGTCAATGTGGGTGGTCCCGGTGGGAGGTGTGGGCGCGCTCGTAGCAAGCGCCCGCGCCCAGCTACGTTCACTCCTAGGCCGGCAATGCAGCAGCTCATCGTTTCACCGACATCATCAACCGAGACAACAACCCCTATGTGCCCTGTCATCCCGACCAAGCTCACTCCTCATGATTCGGACAACCATGCTGAGTCGCGGCTGCTCATCAAAATCCCCAAGCACCTCATCAAATCCGAGCAGAAGAACAAGAAGAAGAAGCAGAAGAAGGTCGAGGCGAATGTTCCTCCCCCTCCTGCTGCTGCTGCTCTTCCTCCGGCATTGGGTCAGGAAGAGCAAAACAATGAGTCAGGGACACAGCAGCAGCAACAGCAGGGGCAGGGGGTGAGGAAATGTATGCATTGCGAGGTGACCAAGACGCCACAATGGAGGGCGGGTCCAATGGGGCCGAAGTCCCTCTGCAATGCCTGTGGCGTGAGGTTCAAGTCGGGCAGGCTATTCCCTGAGTACCGTCCAGCTGCCAGCCCGACCTTCGTACCAGCCTTGCACTCCAACTCCCACAAGAAGGTCGTCGAGATGAGAACCAAGACCCCCATTGGTGGCGAATTATTCGGCATGGCTGCAGGAGAAGATGCTTCCATGGTCCCTGGCTCGCCCGAGCTGCTGATTCCGAATCACTGCAACCCTGCCATGGATTACATGTGAGAGGCAGAGCAGATGATCGATCGGTCGAATGCAGTAAGGGGTTTAGAGTGGGGGAGAATTTCATTGCTTTGTTCATCGGTTCTTTGTACAGAGGGGATGGAAAGGGGGGGAAGAAGGTCTGTGGAGAAAATAGCATAGATGAGATGACCAAACATTTGTAGGTAAGTAGGGAGGACAGTAAAAGAGGCAGAGGAGGGCGAAAGGGATTAGTTCGAGAGAGATCAGATCACATTATTGTAGGAAAGGGTTTGTCTTTTAAGTTAGATCCTTAATTAAGGTTATATTTTTTAGGTTCTGAGAAGATGATCATCATCATGATGCAGGGGACTCTGTTTTTTGCTCTTTGGGTTTTCATCATAATTTTTTTTCCTTTCGGTTCTGGAGTCGATTCTTTTTGTAGTTCGTTTATGGTAGACTGGTTTTCCTTTCTGGGTTCTTGAGAACCTTTCTCTTTTTTGTAATCAAGTGATGGCTGATCTTCATCATCCCATTTCCCATCTCTTCCATATTCAGAACAATTCATTCAGGTCTTGTCGGTGCTCTGTTTCCAGTGAATGTGGATCCTACTATACAGCAAACCCTAATCGTCGGTGCAGAATGAAGATGGAAGGGATGGAAGGGTAGGCCATGGAAGATGCGGTGGTGGCTTGGAGTTTTCAATTACCAACTGAACTTTGGTGGAGTGAGATTATCTGGGCTGAGTTGGCGATTGTGACTTTGTCTATTGCTTGCTGTGGTTTGTTTGTTGACGCCATAAGCCAATAAGAGATGGCTGAAATTGGTGGTGGTTTATGGCCATCAATCACCATGCAATAAGGGTGGTTGATAAGATTAAGCCAGCAAGGACACCAGACGAATGATTTTGATTTGTGAGTGGGAGTGAAGCGTTGTTATAGTCTCCACAAATTCAAAACAATCATCAATATGTCTATAACTAACTAATGGGTTGTGTAAATTTGAACAAAGTTAGATAGATGCAATTTGGACCGATTGTTTCGAAATGAAGCAATTGAAATTAAGTTTATTGTAATCGAAAGGGTTTGACCTGATTGTTGATTGTTGTACGGACGTAAAAAAAAAGGTACTTAATTTATGATTTGTGTTCAAAATAAGTTACTCGAGAAGTATGTGTATCCAAGTGCATATATAAGATATGTTTGGAGCTCTTTTGCAGAAAAGAAGCATACAGATTAAACATATACAACGAAGAAGAAAATTGGTGTTCTTGGACATCAGACAGATTTGTATCATGTGTCTTGACTACTATTGTTGCTTATGAAAGACACCGTCGCTAGAGATTAATAGTTTGGTAAGCGGTAATTTTTTTTTCTTAGTGAACTTTTAAGTTTTAACTAAGGGAAACTTGATCTATAAGGCAAGACAACAATTAGTTGGGAGGAGGGGGAAGAAGACATGGATGAGCTTGACTTAGAAATGCAATCCAATCAAATGGCCTAAACCTCGCTTAGACTTGAGGCTACAACATAATCATATTTGCATTTGTTATGGTTAGGGTTTTGGCAATGTGTCTCAATCAACTAATTACACGCATTTTTCTTTTAAGACATCTCTCCCAAAAGGGGTCACTGTTAGCAAAACAAATGAGTTGAAGTGTTACAATGGTGGATCAATTATGGCAATTGATTGTATCAATCATCTCACACTAGTTTTTTTTTTTTTTGGCGTTTGCTTGCTTTCACTTTTAAAAGTTTTGATTTATGATATTAAATAATCCAATCAATTGAAAGTATATAACAATGATTATAGACGTGACCTTCTTTCGAAGTGCAAATTTACGTTATGTGTGTTTCATTCATTATTATAGTTTTGATTTGTTGAAAATGACATGACAAAAGTATACCGAATAAGAAATAAAAGAGACAGAGAAAAAAAAAGAGGAAATGTGATGCATATGAATATGATATGATATGGGAGAATTTGGTGTCCATTTCTATCGAGTAAGTGCTTGAAAGGCTTCTTGGAACCAAAACTAATTCACTTGATGGTAACCTTTGAGCTCATGTTCCCTATAGGACAGAAAAACGATGAAAATGACCCTTGCAATTGGAAACCAACAACCTCACCTCTTGAATTCTTCTAGTATTAACTAGCCCAGAAGCTCAACTTCTTCATTTGTTGGTGTTTAAAATTTTTCATATTTTCGTTGTCGGTTTAAATGTTTGAGTCGGGTGATGATTATCACTTAGGGGTCGTTTGGAAGTTGCGTATGTTAAATCGTTGTATTGTTATGAATCACTATGATATAAATGCATGCATTGATACAATAGATGCATTTTGAAATTACATTGTTTGGTTGTTGAGATTATAATTTATGAATTGATTGTTATAAAGTTACTTTATAAGGAAATGTCATATTTGTCCTCCACTTTTAATATAAAACAAAAAAACTATGGACATAATTGAAAAAAGTAAAGGTGCTCAATTATTAAACCAACAATCACAACAATCTCAACTTTTAGTTGAGATTGTACAATCCCTCATTTTTGTTGATTGTTGGTGGGACCCACACAAAACAATACATGCATTGTTTTGCAACTTGACACTTCCAAACGTTATATTGTGGACAATGCATGTATTTAACAAATACAACACTAACAATCGCAACTTCCAAACGACCCCTTAATTTGAGAGAAAAAACCCCCTAAAACCTAGTAATATTAGTACATAAGAAATGATACTTGAGACTATGTGATCAAATAGGAAGCCACATCGACAACAATTAAAAAAATACATTTTTATCATAAACTCCTCAAGAAAGTAGATAAATATTGCTCAAGAAGAACATGAAATACCTGAAAATCGTGAAAATGAAATAATCTCCATTCATTCAAAATTATCACAGTAGAACGGTGAAATTAATTCTAGAAATATTTTTGTACAAAGTTAGTTTCGTTTGACGCAGAACTGAAACAATTTTAACTTCGCGAGTTTGGGGGAATACAAGAAACGTTTCGTTTAGTCCGTCAAATATGGTTTTATTGTATTGGGCTAACTCAGATTGACGGCCCAATAAATTTTTATTTAAACCCAATAACTCTTTTGGTTTGTTATAAAGAGACCCGATAGCTCAATTACACAAATTAATTAAGATGCAGCCCAAACATCAGACGAGCCCGGCCCACTTATTCGCCGGTAACTTTTCTCGCATAAATATCTCCGACAGTAAAACACACAGTCACAGCTACAAAACTAACGACAGGGTTTTTCGGACACCCGGCCGCAAACAGCCACAGCGGGCGACATTCACACAGCAAAATCCAGCCTCCGCGATGGCGGGCCCCAGCGCGACTCCGGCCTGCCGTCGACTCGGCAATGCCCCGCCAACTCTGTGCCGCCGTTAAACGACGCCACCGGCGGCAAGAAGTTAAAGTGGCCCGTTCCTGGCCAGCTTTGTTGCACGTAACTGCGACAGCGACTGCCCCGTCGGCCCAATAACCGTGTCGGGACAAAAACGGGGAAAAAGCCCATCCCGTCGTCCGATTATTTCAAGGACATAAAATGGTTGATAAATTCACTATCAAGGACTTGGGTCACTTCAATTAGATTATGGGAAATTGATTTTTTTCAGATCAAAGAAGAAGGGAGTCGTCCTCAACTAAAGAAAGTACGATTCTTGACATGTAGAACACCAATCGAGCAAATATCATCAATTAGATCATTCATCATCTCATCCTACCTTCTTTGATTGACTGATCATCTATTATATCTCATGATTACTTGTCCTTGTCGAGAAACTCATTGTTCGATCAAGTTTTGCATCCATTTGAACTTTGCGATATCCATGTTCAGAGAATTTCAAATGGCGCAGAGAGCTAAAACTTCATCAACTACTATATTTCCCAAACTTATTATTAAGTTTATCGTTTCGAGAGTTGAGAGGGCTATAGCCTCCCTACTATTAATGTGGCTCCATCACTGAGTTGTGTCATACATGATTATTTTCGTAGACTACTTCTCCCACTTTGACCACTCATTGTGTTATTGATCGGGGTAGTTGTTCCGTCACGAGTTGATTGACTACAATTTTTTTTATTTTTTATCAGAATCAATCTTCTTGTGATACATGATCAGTGATCCCGCCTCAGTATTTAGAGGATATCCTATTTGAGTAGTTAACAAAAACCGGATTAAGCATAAATATCAACGCTCAATAATAAAGTCGGACTAGATGTTTGAATATAATTGTTTTATTCGGAAATTTGGATTATAATTTGTACCATGGATACAAGTAAAGGAAAAAGAAAAAGCAGAGTCTACGGACGCGCGGCAATGCCAATGTTCCGCAACGAACTCGATGCTACAAGACGAAGGCCTCTGTTTTCTTGCAACACACAAGATCTGATAACGAAGGCAGACAAGTAATAATCAAAGCCCAAATTGATAAAAAAAAGATAAAGAACTATTCTATTTCACCTGAAAATTTGTCAGTGGACTGTGGCGGTAGTGGATTCATTTGTGATCCGAAATCCCGCTGCTCCGAAGAAGCTTCTCTGCTGTCCGCAAGCCGCCAGCAAGCAACAAAACTCCCTCTCCTCTCTTCTTCTACATCTTCTTCCATTCCAACCTATTTAAAACACTCTGTTTCACTCCAGCTGACTTTACTTCAGTACTCAACTTCCTCCTTTCCCTCTCCCTCTCCCTCGCTACCTTTTAGAATAGCTTTCCATCTTCTACTCTTTCTTTCATCGATCAAAAACTCCATCTGGGTCTCTGCGATTTCCCTTCTCACTGGTTCAATTCAATTCCCCTGCTGCGTTTCTTCAAATTTTGGAGCTTCAGAGAAGGAAAAAAAAGGCTCTTCCTTTACTCCCTAATTTGTTGGTTGGGGAAATTTGGGCTTTACTTTTTTCACTCCACATTGCGCTGTCTGTTCTTGGGTTCGTTTTGCTCTGAGAGATCTTTAGGGGGTGAGCTGGTTTTCCCCTTTCCTCGCGTTTTCTCGTTCTGTTTCCCTTCTTTCTCGTTCTGTTTCGTTGATAAATTGTTTGGAATATTCATCTTTTTCACAAAAAAAAAATTGTTCCATTTGTCTAAAATAGCTGATGGGTACTTTGTTCTCTTCACCTTAGTCATGGATTCCCTTCCATTTCTCCGCCTGAGGACAAATTCACCCACCTTACTCCTCCTCTGAATTTCACCTGCAGGCAACCATCCGGCTGTTACTTCCTCCTTCCCAACCATGATGAGAGACTTCGGGATAATGAATTCCCGGAGAAAGCAAACGGAAAATTGTTTGGATTCGCAGTTCTGGCACGCCTGCGCCGGCGGGATGGTCCAAATGCCGCCGTTGAACTCCAAAGTCTACTACTTTCCTCAGGGACACGCCGAGCATGCACAGTCCAATGGCGTCGATTTCGGCCCTCATCTCCAAATCCCAGCAATGGTGCCTTGCGAAGTCTCTGCCATCAATTACATGGCAGATCCCGAAACCGACGAGGTATTTGCTAAAATCAGGCTAAACCCATCTGTCACAAACGCCGATTTGGCGACATTTGGAGATGATGGTGATGATGGTTTGTTCGGTGGGGTTAATAACAATGATTCCTCTCAAGAAAAGCCAGCTTCTTTTGCTAAAACCCTAACTCAATCTGATGCAAATAACGGCGGGGGATTCTCTGTGCCTCGATATTGTGCGGAGACCATATTTCCAAGGCTGGATTACAATGCTGAACCTCCTGTGCAGACCATTCTAGCTAAGGATGTTCATGGCCAGATTTGGAAGTTCAGGCATATCTATAGAGGAACCCCTAGAAGGCATCTGTTGACCACTGGCTGGAGTAATTTTGTGAACCAGAAGAAGCTTGTGGTTGGGGATTCCATTGTGTTTCTGAGGGCGGACAATGGCGATCTCTGCGTGGGGATTCGACGTGCTAAGCGAGGGATCGGAGGTGGGAATGAGTGTCAATCATCATCCGGGTGGAATACCTATGGAGGGTATCCAGGGTTTATGAGGGAGAATGACTGTAACAAGTTGAGTAATGAGCAGGTGAAAGGTAAAATTAGTCCTCAGTCGGTTGTTGAGGCTGCTACTCTTGCTGCCAAGGGACAGCCCTTCGAGGTTGTGTACTATCCCAGTGGGAATTCGCCCGAGTTTTGTGTTAGAGCTTCCGCGGTTCGAGCTGCGATGCGGATTCAGTGGTATTCTGGAATGCGGTTTAAGATGCCCTTCGAGACCGAGGATTCGTCGAGGATTAGCTGGTTCATGGGTACCATATCTGCTGTTCAAGTTGCTGAGCCCATTCGGTGGCCGAATTCGCCATGGCGCCTTCTACAGGTACTTCACTAATGCCAAGTTGTTTACTAGGAAAGATCTTTATGTATGGACAGTTTTCAGTAGCCTGTGTGAACATTTCAATCACTGACTGCCTGTTTTAGAAGAGAACACTGGGGATGGAATCTAAGTACCATCTTATAATTTGGAAATAGCCTATTTTAAGTGGTATGTACTATGTACTGGTCTGTTGGATGTTTCAGTAGGTGTGCCTTTGCTGCCCTTTGTAGATATGCTATGCAAATATTTGGAGAACTTCTTTCTCTGAAATGTCAAATTCCATGCATCAGTTAACAAATTTCAACCTTTTCGTGTGTTAATCATTTTAGTAATTCACCGGGAAAGACTCTTAGGTTGATTGCTATGCAAGATATGCTACAGGCTTGTATTCGGATTTGTATGAGTTCTACTATGGTCAGTGCGAGTGAAGGGTTAGAACTTAGAAGTCATTGTTATGTTGAACTCATCAAGATATTAAGATTCAGTTACTTGTAATTGCTTTTCAGGTAGCTTGGGATGAGCCCGAATTGCTTCAAAATGTGAAGCGTGTTAACCCGTGGTTGGTTGAATTAGTCTCCCACATGTCAGCCATTCACCACCTTGCAGTACCCTTCTCGCCGCCAAGAAAGAAGCCGAGGTTCATACAGACACCAGATGATTTCACCATGATGATGGGCCACCTTCCTCTGCTGCCATCATTTACCCCCGGGAACTCGATTATGCCAAACAGTCCCTTCTTTTGTGTCCCAAACAACAACATTCCTGCAGGCATACAGGGAGCCAGGCATCCGCAATTCGACATGTCCTCTTCTTCCCCTTCAGATCTCCGCTTCAACAAGCAGTTGCAGATGGGTTCGCTACCTTTCGAATCTCAGCAGCGACTCGATGGAGCTGCATCAGGTCCAAAGATACCCTTCACAGCAGCCAAGACCGATAGCGACGATGACAATGTATCTTGCCTGCTCACAATGGGAAGCACCCAATATACTAGTAGTCCTCCAAAGGAAACAACAAAGACTTCTCCTCACATTTTCTTGTTTGGTCAGCTCATTCTACCTGATCGCCCGGGTTCTCTCCATAGCTGCTCCGACGAGTCAAATTGCAACAGTGCCTCTGTCAGTAATGCAGAGAAGATGACCACGAATGTCTCGGAGGCTTCTGGTTCTTCGGTGTACCAGAATGTCCCCCTGGAGAATTCCTCCGACACAGGGTCTGCTCCTTGGTACAAACTTCTCCCTTCCATCTATCATTGTAGACTAGTATGTATATGTATCTCTAAAATCGCCTCTAATTCTCGACTGGTGATGATCTTTGCAGCGAGTTCTCAAAGATGGGGAGAAAGCCAGCGAATTTGGGGTCGACATCTTAGGAAATCAGATGAAGAGAAGGATTGTAGGAGGAAGAGGAGGGATTGTCCAATGAGTCTCTCAAAATGTACATTATAAAATGCTGAAAATCTCAAGCTTTTTTTTCTTTTGCATATTCTTGGCCATGACTCTGCTTCAGCCATGAGCATGAAATGTGATGAGGATTCAACTTAAAGACTCCGGATTATATATCTGCTTAATTTCACATACCATATTAATTCAGACGAATTCGATCTCAGATCGCTCTCCACGATTCGAATACTCCAACGAGCATCTACCCTCAAACTCTTTTTTTTAAGCTCTGCAGTAGCCTAGCTCCTGCATTCAACGAGGTTCAGAATATCAATTCTTGACACAGAGTTGTGAAACCTCAAAAGATCTAAGATCTGGCTCAAGTCAACGGTAGATAATTCATGTCATAAACTTGGAGCTCCGGAAACCAAAACAACCACACTAGCAATTAACATGGACTTCCAACAAAGAAAACCGAATTTGCTGGCGCAAAAAAGGCTGTGCTGAGGCAGCTGTAGATTTGTGAATTCCTTGTATCGGGATTTTCAAACATGTTAAGCCAAGTAACGCAATAGTATTAATGTTATTTACTGTCTGTGACTGTCAGCTCCTCCATAGCAGATCTGTAGACTTGAGATAGTCAAAACTAGCAAAAGTCGCACCCTCTCTCTCTCTCTCTCTCTGGTTTCTGCTAACCGACATGATATTATATATGGTATTCAAAGGGAGAGAGAAGGAGTGGAAGTGGGGGACAGAGATTCGCAAGTCATGGGTCATATGACATTGTTTTATGGTTTCCTTCGTCACCTTGATCAAGATGGTCAAACTGCATGGTGTCACATGATAAGGATTCTAGTGTTGATTTTCCACTTTCCTGCGATTAGACTTCTACTAACTCGATTTGATTACTTGTTTGATTTCACACCATTTTTTCTGAGAAACTCTTCACATTATTTCTTTTCTTATCTTTCATTGTATGTTAATAGTTATGAGAAAATGTGTTATGTTGATTGTCCTTGAATTGCTTCTCCTTTTGGTTCCAATATATGGTGTGTTCGGAATGATAACATATGTACGGGTTTGGTTGCGGCAATCAATGAGATTATTCAGATGATTCTTACATAAGATAGGTGAGAATGTCACACGTTAGCACAATCAAGGAGCACATTTATACATGGGGAATTGCAGTGCCGCTCCCGGCGCTAAGGCGTGGACGTGGGGTGGAGACGGAGACCGTAGGAGTTGGCCACAGTTAGCTTCCACGAATCCGCCATTTCGTTTTCCCTTCGAGCATGCACCGAAGGGGTTGTGCGAGATTCGCAGGGCTGGTTGTTGGGTGCTTATGCCATGGACCTGGGGAGCTGTTCCATCAGAAGAGTCGAACTCAGAGGCGCGATCGAGGAACTAGAGAAGAGCTGGCACCCGGGCATAGAAAGGGGAAGCACAGTTCAACTCAACCTTTGCATACGACGAGCCTTCTTCAGAGCCGAGATGACCCTGATCATCAACATGCCTCCCTCGTTCGCCATTTTCGCTCTCTTTCGGTGCGTGATTGAAAATTTTATTTCGACAACTGTTTATGCAATTATTTAGCTCATATGAGTATGTCCCTACCACTAGGTACCCTTGATATTTCCTTGCTTGATTGACATTAAAGATTAAGTCATGTACGAGATGTTTGGAGGGGCTATACCTCAACAAATTTTATTTTAAGGTAGTGAATGTAACTCCTATGGACCCATTTTCGATTAAAAAAAATAAGAGAGGGTTGGTGATAGGGTTGATAATCGGTTCGGTTATAATCGGAACCGTTTAGATGGTTCTCGATTAACCGTTAAGCATTTTATGCTTATCGTTAAATGCATCATTTAAATTAGTCAATTTACTGTAATCGTATAGTCGGTTCCCGGTTAACCAAATAACTATTAACCAAGTGATTCGACTAGGTTATACCAAAATAACTGATCAATAAGCTAACCAACACAAGACACACTTCTTTCAATTGTGAAATTTTCTATAATTTTACATACATATGCACGTGTTCTTTTCTTAAGTTGTTATCAATGAATAAAAAATAATTTACATAGATATATATATATAAATACATAATCAACTCAATCCAACACAAGTATACAATAATACCATTTTACCGTCAAACTTTATTAAAGAAGCATACAACGATACTCAACAGCATTTACTCAACTCGTAAACCTCATCAAATTACATGGTAGGTTAATGTTATCTATTGTTTTCGAGCAATTGTGCGCAAGCCTGACTTTCTACTTTGTTACTTCTAAAACTCTTCCTTTTAAAAATTATCATTTGAGTCTAAGTCACTATTACAACTAGAATAGGCAATGGGTTTTGTAAGCCTTCAAACACCTCATCAATTGTCGACCTATGTTTGCAGCTCACGAAGGTAATTTATTTTCGGTTCTAACTATGAGAATGATCGTAATCAGTTAGTCGGTTAACCATCGGTAGTTATTAGCTACATTTGGCTACCGAGAACCAACCGTTTATCATGTAATCGGTTATCGGTGTAACTGTTAAGTACAAGCTCCGATTCGGTTATCGGTTACACCGTTAACGGGATAACCGATAACCGATTGGTGATAATAAAAAAGAATATTTGTTCCTGGATGCATCTTTTTGGACTGGACACAGCCCAAAATGTCGAAGCTTTCTGTTCATAGGTTTTGGGCTACCTAATGGGCCACTATAGAAAAAACTCCGATCTCAATCCACAAGTTACAGAACTGGTGAGCCCACTTACGAGGCCCATTTAGAACTGTGACTCATTCCCTTCTAGTTCTAGTGGGCTGTGGGCATATTCCACTTTGTAGCCACCTAACCAACTGAGCTTTCATCCTTGGAAAAAATATAAATTTCCAAAACCAACTGTCGTCCTTCCATAACGTTCCGCTTTTCTCCCATCGCCTTCTCCGTCCGACCATTTCTGCTCCACCGCCGCCGGCGACGCTATCCCATCAAATTTCCCCTTCATCCGATGGCTGGTAAATTTTTCTTCTTGTCGATGTATCTTGTTTCCCACTGTTATCCGCCTGAGCGGTTTCTCTTTTGCTTTCACTCTTCCAAGTTACTGAGTGTAGTTATTGCCTATTGGTTACTCGTCCCCCCCCTCTCCCATTTGGTTTGCTTCCGATTCTCGGACTCGAGCTATGGGCTATGGCACTTCGCTTAATTAGTTCTTCTTTTATGTACTAGCTTTCTTTTGATTGATTTTTGCCGAATTTGGTCGCTTGACCTAGTGGAGTTAGCTATGATTTGGTAGCTCTGAGTTTCTTTGGAATGGAGGACTGGTTAAGTTGCCCTCTTGCTTCTGGATTATGATTTGCGTATGGCTGTTTGCTTTATGAGTATGGTTGTCTCTTGAAAAGTAATGGGTCTGTCACCCTGGAAGTCTTAAAGTGATTCAATTTCTATCCTTGGAGATGTGGATGTGGATTTAAGTTGTTCTGTTCAGTATAGGGGAAACTCTTATGCCTGTCTTTGGAGGAAAGTAGCTTTGAAATATGTATTGATGAGTCCATGCCATTGTTCGGGGAGCAGCAGAAGTAGCTGAATAGGCTTTGCATTTACCTTTTCCATTTTCTCAAGATTCAGATGAGGCTTATGGTATCTGATAATGCTTTCCCAATTCTTATGCAGCAATGTCAACGAACGTTGTCCAAAATGTTTTTGTAGCACAGAATAGGCAGATAGCAACCCAGTACCAAAGGGACAGTTCTGCCCCTAATACCTGCAAATTGCTTCCCTTTCATGGAGGGAAGTTGGCATGGACTGGCATATCTTCCATGCACATGCACACATGGTCAAAATTCCACAGTGGTTTTGCTAACCGAAGACCTATTTTCTGCAATGGTCCGTTCTAGACTCTCATATCCCAGGTTGATATCAAATGAAAGTATTGCATTTAAAAACCCCCCCTAGAGTTCACGGAAGTTTCATTCTCATATTCTACCTGCTCAATTGCTGAATTGCTGTGCTTGTTTACTAGTTTGAGGTATTTCTCTTCTATGAGTTTATGTTTCCTGTAAGATGCAACGCCATCTCTAATTTGTTACTTTACCGAGTGTGTTCTCTTGAGCTCTTAAGTGATTGTTTTCCAACTTTTGTTGCAGCTGCTACAACCACTGCTGTTCCTTCTCTGGACAAAGTGGACTTTTTGAAACTTCAAAATGGCAGGTAACAACTTTATAAATGTGCAAGGCTCTATAAACTCGTTGATTCCTTCTTCTTTTTCAACTCTCATTTCCTCATATTATTAGCATTTAGCACTGTAATTAGGATGTAATCAAGCCGCATGGCTGCTACTTGCTTAGTTCTTATGCACCCAGTTGCTTTTCACATACAACAGAATGGGAACTTTCTCGAGACTTTATCCAATTTTTTCTATGTTTGCTCCCCAGTCCCCACCCACCCTCTCTCTCCTTTTCTCTCTGTCTATAACCACCCTTGGAAGAGCAGTGCAGTTACTCTGATTAAAACCTCTTGGTACTGGGTGCTACAGCTTGTCGCTACTTTTGAAATCCGATTGGTTGTTAACCAATTATCATCAAGTTTTGGTTTGATTTCTTACATTTGTTGACATATAAAACTTGAACTTTTGTTCATTTTTCCTTTCGGTTTATGAAGTGATATCCGAGGAGTGGCTGTTCCTGGCGTGGAGGGTGAACCTATTAGTCTCACTGAACCAGTTACAGAAGCAATAGCTGCTGCATTTGCTGCATGGTTATGTGATAAGAGAAAAGCTGATGCAACCAGACCTTTAAAAGTTTCCATTGGTCATGATTCCCGCATATCAGCCCAAAAACTACAGGTTTTAAAATGCTGACATTCGTCTGTATTTGGTGTATTTGCTGAGAACTAGTTTTGTATTTCATGTGCTTGGACATTCATGATGCATAGCTTGAGTCCTTAAGGAACTTACACAAAATAAAATGTCAATGCTAATCCCTTGTGTCTCTTCTGTAATTCAATCTATTGTCCCATCTTGTGGTGGCTAAGGAATGTTTGATTTCGCTGAACTAGGAAATGTTTCTGACAAATATTGTTTACTTGTACCACGAATGTTATTGGCAATAAAGAAAGGGACGAATGCCATTATTGCTCTGCTTCTGAATATTTTTGTTTTTGACCTCATCATACTACATTAATAATGTTAGCAAGCAGCTGATGCTTGAAACTTTCAGGATGCAGTTTCTCGAGGCATTACTGGTGCAGGATTGGAAGTAATTCAATATGGGTAAGTTGATCTTCTTCACCTTGCTATGATTGGAATGGATATCTGGCTTTCGCTAAGGGGTTTGAAACCTGTGCTCCTTAAAATGTAAGCCAAAAGAGCTAAAATTAAGTGGCACGTCTGAAATTCATGTTTAGCTAGAAGGTCTTCTTGGCTTTTTGCTTTTCTCATGTTCATGTTTAGGTGGATATGTCTTTGGTCAAGTTCTTAACTACCAAAGGATTGGTTACGCATGCTTCCACAATAACACTGTCTTTTTACATGTTTCTAACTTGGTGAATATCCCTGTCAGATTGGCATCTACACCAGCAATGTTTAATAGCACAATGACAGAAGACGAAGCATTTTTCTGTCCAGTTGATGGAGCTATCATGATAACAGGTCATTACCAGATTCATGTCTCTTTACCTTTGGGCAGTTCTGGTGTTGTTAGCCTGTCACTGTAAAGGCTACTATATATCTTCTTCATCAGACCTTTTAGATGAATTGGAGTGTCTTGACTACTTTCAAACCTCAGGTTGTCTTGCACTGATGACTTTTTCATTTGATTGATTTTTATTTTTTGCATATAGCTAGTCATCTTCCTTTCAACAGGAATGGGTTCAAATTTTTCACTAATGCTGGGGGGCTTGGAAAGCCTGACATCAAAGACATTTTGGATCGAGCCGCAGACATATATAAAAGCTTTACAGATGAAAGTTTGTCTCAATCAAAGAAAAGAGCCTCTGAATTGGTGAAGAAAGCTGATTACATGACTGTTTATACCTCCGACCTCGTGAAGGCTGTCCGCAAAGCAGCTGGAAATATAGGTAGTTGGATAAAGTTTGCTATCAAGATTAAATGCAGTTGTGGGTTAACATCTGCACAGGCTCTGACATGAAACGTTGACATAATGAACATGATTGAACTATTTGTTTATCAACCAGACATTGTTTTATTGTTCCGTGGTTATGTCAGTTCAATGACAATTTGAAAGTTTTTTTTTAACTACCAGTGACATGCATTTCTTTCTTTTGTTGGTATGTTCATAGAGAAGCCATTGGAGGGGTTTCACATTGTTGTTGATGCTGGAAATGGTGCAGGAGGATTCTTTGCTGTAAGTTTTCAGAATCTTACAAGATGATTCTGTAAGAGTCTTTATTTCCAGTGTCATGAAAAGGATTTAGCTTCTGCAACAATAGTTTGTTACGCTGATACATAGTTGCATCATTCTATGTCAGAGATTTGATAAGATCACTGGCGTTCTTAAGAGATTTCTTTCGATTCACTGCATTGCTGTGTCACCTAGTACACTCCCTCTTACAGCTGTCTGCAGTTTTCCTTTTATGGTTTTGAATATTCCCATTTAGTTAGTTTCTGTTTTAATTTTGTTTTATCAGGCAAAAGTTCTTGAGCCTCTTGGGGCAATAACTTCTGGGAGTCAGTTCCTAGAGCCAGATGGTAAGTATTTAAAAATGAAGATAAATAAATTATTAATTACAGGTTTGAGTGTGAATATCTGATAGCGATCTCTCTTGGATCAGGTATGTTTCCCAATCATATTCCCAACCCAGAGGATAAGGCAGCAATGAAAGCTATCACCAAAGCAGTCCTTGCTAACAAAGCTGATTTGGGGATCATCTTTGACACAGACGTTGACAGGTAGATGCTGACTTCATTCTATCCAGTCTATCAGCATGCTATATAACATGGTGATATTCAAGGCAATGCTCCTATTCATTTCCATTTAGATCTGCTGCCGTGGACTCTACTGGACGCGAGTTGAACCGCAATCGCTTAATTGCGCTGATGTCTGCTATTGTCCTGGAGGAGGTAAGCATCTTCCGATTTCCATTGTTTTCAATGTGTGCCTTCCTCTCTTATGGAAATCCCTTCTCTCCTTGGTTTTTATTTTGAGTGGGCTTGTCTTGTATCTGTTTCAGCATCCAGGAACAACTATTGTCACCGACAGTGTAACTTCTGACGGGTTGACTACATTTATTGAAAAGAAACTTGGTAAGCCAACACCATGAAAAGGTTAAGGTTTACCTTGATTATATGGACGTTAAATTCACACCTGCACAAATTTCTTTTAGGTGGAAAGCATCATCGGTTCAAAAGAGGCTACAAAAATGTGATTGATGAAGCCATTCGTCTGGTAAACATACTCTCTTTCTCATACTATTCTTAAGGTTTGGTTAAAACTGTCATCAGCAATTGAGGAAACAATCTTGTATCATGGCAGATTCATTGATACAAACCTGCATTGGTAGTTGAATGAGAAACCAATAATCTGCATGGATATTTATCCTGTAGCGTGATTAATTGGCCTGCGACAATAGTTGGTACTTTTGGAAATGCACATAGCTGAATAGCTTTTTCGTTATAGCAATCGAGTTTCCCCAATAGACTTTTAGCGGACTCTTCATTCTTTTGGCCTTTAGTTGCCGTCTTGCTAATTTTAATCCCAAATACTCACTTTATTTGTGTGCCAAATTCAATATAGAGCCTTCTGAGTTTCTCATGTTACTTTTGGATCTTTAGCAAAACGTGTTGTCGTATCTTGTTTCTCACGCTTCATTTGCCATCCTCTGCCAAAATGCTCACAGAACGCTGTTGGTGAGGAGTCACATCTTGCTATTGAAACCAGTGGACATGGAGCTCTGAAGGAAAACCACTGGCTTGATGATGGTGCATATCTCATGGTAGTAGGCTGAACTGTTACTTTTGTGAGACGACTTCTCGCTCGGAATATTTTATTCCCTCTTTGTTTATCCACAGGTCAAGCTTCTAAACAAACTTGCCTCAGCCAGGGCATCAGGAAATGGGGGTGGGAGCAAAGTCTTAACCGACCTGGTTGAAGGCTTAGAGGAACCTGGATTTGCAGTGGAACTAAGACTGAAAATCAATCAGAATCATCCAGATCTTAAAGGAAGGTATATTTTAACTTCTGATTCCCTTGTATGTCTGGCTATGCATGTCTTGTTGCAGAATTAAGCTAATCAGTAGGGAAAATTCCAGACCATTCCGGGAATATGGAGAGGCAGTTCTCAAGCATTTGGATAACTATGTAGCTTCTGACCCTAAACTTCAGAAAGCTCCAGTTAACTATGAAGGGGTGAGTTGATCTTTGATTAGCAGCTGATGAGATTTTGTACAGTTGCTGTGACTTGAGACTTTGAACAGTCCAGTTAACTCTTCATGTGTGTACGCAGCTCCGGGTTTCTGGTTATGGTGGATGGTTCCTTCTCAGGCTCTCCCTTCATGATCCTGTCCTTCCTCTCAATATTGAGGTCTATATCAGCTGCTCCTTCTCACGTTCTTAGCATAATCAGGCAGGATTTATTTAGCTCCTGCGTAACTGAAAGTGAATTGTATTGCAGGGACCAACCGATGCTGATGCTGTAAAACTGGGAATTGCTGTGGCTTCTGCCGTGAAGGAGTTCCCTGCTCTGGACACATCTGTGTTGGACAAATTCGTCCAAGGTTCGTAAGACTCGGGGCTGTTTTTGCTTTTTGGCGCTCGTGAGCCACTTTTTTGCTTACTTAGATGGTGGATGAGCTGGAAAAGTTGTGTTTCGCTTGTATATGAACGATGAAGATTGAATAAAAGCAAAGATACAAACATCTTGTAACAGTTTCATCCATTTATGAAAGAACTGACACTTGATTTTTGCTCTCTATACAAACCCATTTAATCCCAACCACAACCCATTTGCAACCTCTGCTGATCATGTTCAGGCAATCTAAATCAGGCAGCGATTGCTGAAGCTTTTTACAATCATGATACAACTACATTATGCAACATATCTGCATTTAGATAAGTTCCCATTCCATACATATGACTTATATACAACAAGAGCAGCTGCTGATAAGGATCCTTCCTACTTTCGACATTCTTTTTCTTCTTTTACCTACAAGTATCTGCGTGTAATTTTGTTGAAAGGAGACGCTAACTGCTAGTTCGTTGTGGAGTTTAGCAGCTTCATCATGAAGTTGAATTGAACATCTGGGGAGGTTCTAGGCTGAGGCCAGTTTGCACCCTCAGGCACCCTGATGGACTTGAACCCTTGCCCTCTGTACAGTCTGATAGCACCAGGGTTACGCAGATCACAGTGAAGAGCAACGGCATGGCAGCCCCAAGTCTTAGCCAATGCTTCTGCCTTGGCTACAAGCTGTTTTCCTATCCCCTTTCGCCGGTACCTCTCTCGAACTGCTACATTCGATATGTAGGCAATTCCAGTCCTGTCACAGGCAACCTGAGTTACTAAGCCAAATTAACAAGGGAAATGGTGGAAGCAAGAAGGCTCACCTTCTTTGGCGCAGTGGGCCTTTTCTAGGAAGGAAATCGGCAACAGTGTCCACGGTCAAGATCCCGGCAACATATCCCTTGTTGAGAGTGAACTTGGCATCAAACCCTCCAATCTTGATATCCTCGCTACCAATGTAGAAGGATTGATCAATGGAGCTGCTGCCAACAACAGCCACAAGGCAGATTTTCTTGCAACCAGCAGGTACAGAGAAGCCAAGCAGCATTCCAACTATCCTATCCATTCTCAGCACGAAATCCATTGGGAAGGAGTAATCAGGGAAGAAGGAGCTGCAGTGAGTCTCTGCCACTTCCCAACAGTCCTCAACCCTTGCCTCCCTCACCGTTATCTCTGGTGACAGAGTTGGGAACAACTCCGCCACTTGACTTGCTCTGCATATTCCTGCAGTTTGGTGACCAGAATCGACCTGAATGATATTCCACACCAGCCCAAAACTAACCGAGAATATAGAAAAGTGCTAAAACAAAGAAAATAAGATAGCGTAAAAGGCATTGGAATGCGGCTGAAAGAGAAAACAACCATTCTCAACAACCATTACAAGTTACAACAATGCCAGCACTAAAATAACCACGTTCAAGGAACTGGGTTTTGACAAGCAACTGAAATTTATGCTCTTAACACTGAACACCAAAAGGGTCATGTGATCCACACGCATGCAATTACAGATACATACAATAGAAAGGTAAAACGAGTAGACAACAATGGCAAGCTCAATTCTAGGCAGAACTAGCTTAACCTGAGATAAATGGCCAAAGTAGTAATCTGAAAGACTCAATAAAACTATATCCCATTAGAGGCGAAATTCACCAGATCGAAAACAAGAGAAAAAGGAATGATCTTTGCAGTAGAAAAGCAGCATAAAACCCACGATTGACACCGAACCAACAACAGGAGAACAGAAAGAGGAAAAGGGTAAGCATCAAAGCCTGCTTTTTGTAAACCACGAACAACAGAAACCCACCCGATTTGGGAAGAGAATGGATGAAAACAGAGGGCTCGCCATGAGAAATCCCTAGAGAAGAAGGAGAAGAAGAGAAGTGCTGATGAGGGCGCTTGAGAGTGAGAGTGGGATTAGAGTCCACGGAATTGCCGGTGAAGGAAGAGGTGGGAGGAAGAGGGATTCCCAAAGGCAACGACCGCATTTCCCGAGATTCTGTTCTGTCCTGTCCTTGTTTGTTTCCTTTGTTGCTTCCCCTCCCTCCTCCCTCAGCAACCGCAACAAAATCCCAGATTCTTTTCTTCCTTCCTGCCTAGCTGGGTTTTCTTTGGGATTTCATTCTGTGTGGTAACTGCTGAAGTGCTGATCTTTTTTCTTCCTCAAAGGATGTCTTTTGCATTGCTTCGCTCGCCCGTTTGTCTCGATTGGGCTATGAACTTACGATGGACCGAAACGGGATGTCGGCCCAGTGGAGTGAGCCCATACATGGGCCCAACAAGGGGAGTTTCTCCGCGTTGTGGAAGAGACACTCTGGAGAGATGGAGAAGATGAATCGGTAAAGAGGAGGAGGGTGTTGAGTTCAATTGGGGAGTTGGATCCCAAAATCGGCCGCTGCCGCCGGGAAGAAAGAGAAGACGAGCTCTTTCTTTCCCTTTCCGCCCATTTAAACGATCGCCATCGCCAAAACGGGAAGAGCTCCTTTTCCATTCATAATCACTGCAAGAAGCACAAAAGAAGGGACGAAGAAGAAGAAAAGAAAATTTAGGTGCGTGAAATGTCAGGTCTGCACCGATCTTCCAGCGCTCCGTTGAAGAACGGCCATGGCGGCCTTCCTCCTCAAGAGCTCCTCGATGACCTCTGCAGGTTTAGCTCCCAAACTCGCCTCTTCTCTTTCCTCTTCGTTTGTTTCTTAGTCCGAATTTTTCCTTCGGGTTCCCCCCGTAAAGCTGCTATGTACTTGTTGTCAATGCTAGAGACTGCTGTGAGTTCCCTCTTTTGGTTGTATTGGAAGTGAAGATTGTGAAGCTTCTTCTTGCCTTCATTCTGTTACGAGTCGAGAGAAATTGAAGGAAGTGAACTGAGCTTGGTTTAGTAGCGCTTGCAGATTTGTTTGAATTGCCGTGGTTCTCTTGAACTTGTTTGAACTTAGGAAAATGGAATCTTCAATTGATAGTTCAGAGCAAATGGTGTTAGTTCAGTTGCTTTGGATCAGTGTGTTAAGGCTGTTTAGTTTCATCACCTGGATAAGCATGTGCCTAGTTTCTTTTCGAGTTTATACTTGTTCTGAGATCTGTTGTTTGATGACATGTGGTGGAAAACCCGATTCATGCTGAAAGTTTGCTCTTCTGCAGCCTCCCATGAGAGGCCTTCCTTTTTTTAGTTTGACAAATTTGTGTCTGATATTGATCTTTCATATTGCAGCCGTTTCGTTTTGAATGTTCCCCAAGAAGATCAACAATCATTTGAGAGAATTTTATTCCTTGTGGAGTATGCACATTGGTTCTACGAGGACAATTCTGTGGAGAAGAATCCATCATTGAAGTCATTCAGCTTGAAGGAATTCACCACTTTGTGTATCCTTCGTTATGTATCATGCAAGTGTTGTTTGTTTATGTATTCAGCAGGTCCTCTGGTTATCCGTTTTTCGATACCCAGAATATTAGAGTCATTTATCCGTTTCTCTCTTAAATGATTTTACGGACGGTCTATAGTCTATACGATTATAGCTTTGCATATTTTCTTTTTTAGTATGCTCAGTTGCAAACAAAGATGGTGCTTCTGTAAGCCTTACTCGCTAAAGTGTAATGATTGGATTAGGAGTATTTTTATGGTCGCTTGCATCTTATTGACTTGCATATTTCTTGTGACCCATTTTTCACTGTTCTTTACTAATGTCATGTATGGTAGTTATCGAGGGTTGTTTGAAAGCATGCCAAGTCTTAATTTCACACTCAGTAATATGTTTCTCTTTAGTTATTTTGTCTACTCTCTATTTTCTCAATATCTTGTTTTTATTTGTTCTACCAACCGTATGTTCCTCATCCGCACCGTCACTTTTCTGTCTATTGGACCATTTTTCCTTAATGGTTTACAGTATTTAACAGCTGTGATATTCTACGACCATATGTTCCTCATATAGAAAACATATTCAAGGATTTCACCTCGTACAAAGTTCGAGTACCCGTAACTGGGGCAATTATTCTGGATGAGACCTATGAACGGGTGAGTAAGAAGCATCAACTCTTGTCTAATTTACTTTTGTGGATGTGAACTGGCATTGGTGATTAAGAAACTCCCTGTTAATTTTGATATGGTCGATGATGGTGGCTAATGCATTTTTATGTCATTGGTTATTACAGTCATCCCAAGCTTCCTCTTGACTTAATAAAGGGGACGAAACATATGTAGTTAGGATTGCATTAATCTCCGTCTGATCTTTCTCCATTGTACAATCCTGATAATAACAAATCTGATTACTGCTTCATCATTCTGTAATAAGTATGAAGGAATGAAGGGACATCAGTATGCATTTTGTATTGGCAGATAACTATATTGACTTTTGAGGTATCACCATGTATACAATTCTAACTTTCTAATAGATGAATATTTGGTCGCAAGACAAAAACATTAAGTCGGGTAAAATACTATTGCTTTATTTAGTTTGCATGTCATCCATATCAGGCTGGTCTGATCTTCAGTCTTGTGATTTAGGTTAGGTAGCTTTTATACATAATATACCGTTATATTTTTATAGAGTAAACCAACATTTTTCTTCTTCTGCACAGTGCTTGCTGGTGAAAGGGTGGAAAGGGACGAGTTGGAGTTTCCCACGTGGTAAAAAGAACAAAGATGAGGAAGACCATGCATGCGCTATCCGAGAAGTATGATTTTTTCTTGAGTTCCCAATTTGTTTGAGGCTTTGAGTAGTAGATCTGAAAGCTATTCCTCGAGCTATAATGGTTTGAATGCCTAACTCATATCATCAATTACTTGTTTATCAACATTTAGGTCTTCGAGGAAACAGGTTTTGACGTTTCCGAGCTTCTTAACAAAGATGAATATATTGAGGAAATATTTGGACAACAGAGGGTTCGGCTCTACATAATTGCTGGTGTAAAAGATGATACAACATTTGCTCCACAGACCAAAAAGGAGATAAGTGTATGTCATTAACTTGCACTCTCAGTCTCCTGTTATGTGATCTGAAAGCATTCTGATACCTAGAAAGAAATAGCATCGATAAATTGTTCCTTCATGGCTTCGAGTATATGCATCTGCTTTTTTTTCCCTTCGCTTTTCTTCCCTCTGGTGGTGTTTTATTTATACTTCCTAGCTTTTGTGACTTGGTTGGTGATTGAACTTGCCAACATATCCTGCATCATTCACGGGCAAGCCCTAGAATATTATGGCCCTCTTTAGGATTAGGAAGATGCCAAAGTTCTTAGATATCTGTGTTGGACTTGGATGAACAAAGGATAACCTTTACAATCTCTGAGTTTGTGGTATTTATGTCAGCATGAAAGAATGAATAGAACGGTGGGTATGGTGAGGAATGCTTTCTAAATAAGCATCCTGCTTGCAGGAAATTGCCTGGCAGCGACTGGATGAGCTCCAACCAGCAAATGATAATGTCATATCACGTAGTATCATCGGCCTCAAACTTTACATGGTTGCTCCATTCTTATCGTGAGTACTCTGGCCAAGCATTTAGGTCTTTCTCAATTAGTCAAAGTCCTTTCCCATTCTAACGAACTACTTGTGTCGTAGGTCTCTGAAATCGTGGATTTCATCTCATCCGCCCTCTATGGCCCCAAGACCCGATCTCCCTCTCAAAGGTTCCACTTTTCTTCGTGCACCTTTTTCACTGCACCTCTTTGATTTCGTTCCATTATAGTTCCTGCTCATACAAGAGTTCTAATGTCCCCACTTGGTATGAAGGTGTATCCATGTGGAAAGCAAGGAACAGCACGTTGGTAGGCAGCACAAGCACAGCAGTAACGGAGAGCCAATTGACTAGGCCCAAATCCGATGCTCATCATCATCAGCATCATCATCCTCATCCTCCTCCCTCTCCTCCCGACACGGGGCCTGGCGAGAGTTTCAGAAACTTCAGATTCGACAAAGCTGCAATCGTCAGAGCTGCTGAAGCTCGTTTCTCATGACCTTCCCGTTTCCGCCCTGTAAATGATCTATGCTTACATAGATGGATTAGAGCAGTTGACATGTATTACCGCTAGCTTGCCATCATTCCCCAGTCGTCCTCAACGTGTTAGCTCTGATGTATATTGGTTCGTGTCAGCAAATTCCAGATGATGGGTTTCGTGTAAATCCTGTACAGTAGTCCATCCCGTTTTGTGTTGAAAATGGAGCAGTTGTGATCAATTACCATGTTAGGAATCTGGTGGAAGTTAAAGGTATGTTTTTCTTTGTGGAGAACTCTTAAAGTCCTAGTTGTTGAAGCTTCACTGTCTTCTAATTCTTCTGAATGCCTGCAGTTTGTTTCTGTGCGCAGCGTTCCGGTAATCTTGTAGACGACGAAAACTGCAGCTGCTGTTGTGGTTCTCTAGTTTCTTCTTTGGGGGTACGAGAAAGACACTGGAAACTTATTGTGGGATTCTTGTCATCATGATCGTTGAGCTGAGTTGACATGGTAACAAGACTGATTTGAATCGTGCCTTTCTTTTGTTGAAATTCCATTGTCTAATGCGTACATGGAGACACAGAACGACAAGCAATAATGTTAGCGTTGTCGCTATCAGCCTATCAACATTTAGCTAAAGGAAACATTTGCAACCACTCCCTCTGTTGGGAATCTTTCTTTTCCTGGTGATTATTGTTGTTCATCATCTCTGGTTCAATTCGATTTGTCGTCACAGAGAGGTGCTGATCAGAAGCTCAAAAACATCAAATGATGTTGCGTTTGTGCTGGTCCAGATCAAATGATTTTGGCCCGACTCAAATCGTGGTTATTAGTTTAGTTAGTGGGATTCCCAGCCTCCCTTTTGTCATGTGGCCTTCAAAAAATGGGTGTCCATTACCTCCTGGCCAGGTTGTGTAAGACAAGATACCCCCATCTCTTGGTTATGGGCCACTTCTCTTGATGTTTTTTCTCCACCTCTTTGTCGAACTATATTGTATCGACAGTCTGATTGGAAAAATTATTTATTGGAGTGCAAATCAGTGTAGAAGTTTACCGGTATAAAACTGTTGAACTATGAATTAAGCACAAAGTGTCATACCACTAACTTATTTTGATATGAAAGAAGAGCTTAAAGAAAGTTATGGCTAACGGCACTCCATCTCTTAATTGGTTTGGAGTTTGGACATGGATATTGGTCGATGGTCCTCCAGTTATTCTGTGGCCCTGATCTGATTTGATCTGTATCGCAATTCATCAAAATTATCATTGAGTATTAATCATGCATGCGTATGCGCCAAGTGGATGTAGTTTAAGGATAGGAGGATGATCAATTGTCGCCATTATGTTGGATAAGAGAATACTTTAGTCTCTAATGGGATTATGAGAAAGCTTAGATAAAGAGTGATGAGATCGACCTATTGGATTCCATCCTTTTTGGCATTTTCTACGTCTCTAAAAGTCTCAAAAGCTTTGAGTTGAAGGAAAGCAAAGACCAAGAGAGATGAGAGTATAATTATGTTTGGGTTGGGTTGGGTGAGTGGATAAATAGTTGTTTTCATCAATCAATTCTAATAACTCCAGTTATTATGAGAGGTTTAGTTATGAATTATATGATATACACTAATATATTTTCTTAAACTTAAGTCACTTATATAAACTTTAAGTTTGCACTTTAGAAAATTGGGTTGCCGAGATTCGAACAAAAGAATTCTCGATGACAAAAGACTATAATATATCATGTCATGATCTAGTAGATACCAATAAGACTGTCCACAACCCGAGAGCTAAAAGCTCAAAATGACATTTTAGCCCCCCCCCCCCCCCTCAACTTTTACTTCAACCCTGGCTAAACCCAAGGCTAAAAAGCCAAATAGAGGTTTTGAGTAGCTAAAATAGCTCTAATTTGGAGAGGGGCAAAAGGAGGGGGCTAAATGAACTGGTACCTCCATTAGCAAAAAAACAACCACATAAACAACTAAAATGACGTGTTTTGTGTTTTTGGTTTTAGTTAATTAAATTAAAATAACGTGTTTTTCAGCTGAAGAATTCATTTCGGTATAATTTTCGTTCGTTTGAATTTTATTTGAAGGAAAAAAATTATAATCAATGAATTTTTTTAACTAAAAACAACAGTATCTCCTAAATTGTTCAAAATCTTGGGTTGCACTGTCGGAAATTGGGTTATCGAGATTCGAACAAAAGAATTCTCGATAACAAAAGGCAGACTCTGATATACCATGTCATGATCTAGCAGATCCCAATAACCACGTACCACTTAATTTCGATAACTCAAATCTTGGGTTCAATTATGAATCATACACCGCTTATTATTATTAGCTAAGCAAAGATGAAAACGGTAAGAAGAAAAACGGAAACAAACAAAGAGTTGTTTGCTTGCTTGCTTGCTTTTGGTCGATTTTGTCTATCATCAAATCATGAACCAGATCGGCCTCACTCTCTTTCACGGGATCGGAGCTAGCTACCTGTTTACACCCAAACACACTAACACTATGGCTAATTAGCTACCTCACTCTTTTGCGCAAGTCGTTACGTTTATGATGGTGTAATTTTTGGATAGATTCAAAAGGTACCGTATCACCTCAAGTAAAGAGGTTGTCAAATAATCAAGCAGAATCGAAAGAACACGAGAATTTTTTAACGGGATATCGTCAGTAGGACACTAGTCCACGGAGAGGATCTCCCTCTCAAATTTTAGGTTTTCTTATTTTGTTAACTTGAGAGTACATATTACAACGATATAAATAGGTTGTAATTACAACCCTAATCCGAATGGCTATTTACAACATGGTATCCATAATTAACAGAGGTCCGTGTCGTGTTTGTGAAATTGTATTATTGTATTACCAGTTCAACAAGAAAAAAAATTCTTGCTGGAGGCTAAGCCGGTATAAAATGATTGGACCACTGTTTCATCATAAATATCCCGTAACGCAGATTCTCGGTACGATTTCGCAAATGGATCCATGGATTGATTGATTGTGTATACAGTAGTGGAACTCTGCGTGTGAGATTCAGGAGGGAGTAAAGTGAAATTGTGATTTTAGGTTATAATGTGTATATTGATACCTTAAGAAACTTGTTAGGATATGACTTGAATTTGATTGTGTTTGTTTTGTGTTTTAGGCCTATTCTGTTTGGGTTTGGGATTGGGCTTTGTTTTGACCTTTTCCTTGTATGTTTGGGAAAAGGTGTTTGGTTTTCTGTTTGGGATTAGGAGAAGAGTTCTATAAATACTCTTCATCACCCTAGTCTGTAGTAAGGTCAGTCGGGTTAGTTTGTTTGGTTTGTCCGTTTGGAATTTGGTTTGTAACCTGTACTCTCCTCAAAATCAGTGAAATTTGTTCTCCCTTGCCCGTGGATTAGCTAGCACACATTGTGTTAGTGAACCACGTTAAATTCGTGTTCGTCCGTGTTAGTCTGGATTATCGATTGCACGCTTCTGTTCTGACAAGTGGTATCAGAGCCGCGGTTGATCTTTGGATTATTTGAAACTATCTTGGCGGATTTTGGATCACGCTCCTGGTTGATCAGCTGCGCAATCGAAGAGGTTCGTGGTAGAATTACATCAGGTTCTTCAATTTGATTTGTGGAATTTGTCTTAACTTGAAGAAAGCTTGTAATCTGCGGAGAAGACAGTTTGGCGCACCGAGCTTGGAAAGCAAGCCGAGAAGTTTGGCTTTTCAAGTTGTGGATGTAATTATTAATTTGGTTGGTGGCCGAAAGAAAATCATTCCGTGGAATTATCAAGGGTGACGGGTAGTAGTTCTTTTCGAGTTGGGTTACAATTTGGAAGACTGCTGCAAAATTTGAGCTCTTTGGTGCGCTGGTTGGAAATTCCTTTTGGGATTTACGAGGTAATAAAAATTCATTGGAGGTTTGCGTTGGGGAGGTAGCCTTCAATTTTAGTTTGGTGGTGGAATCGCTTTGAAGTTGACTTTGGGTAGTTGTGTTTTGGTCTCGCTTTTTTGGTGAGAAGTTTGGTTGGAGTTTGTTTGATAGTAAGAATGGCTTCTATCAGTATGAAGATTGAGAAGTTTACCGAAAGAAACAGTTTCAGTTTGTGGCAGATCAAGATGCAAGCACTGTTGAAACAACAGGGTTTGTGGGCTCCGTTGTCTGGAAAATCGAAGAAGGAAAGTATAGATGAAGAAGAGTGGATTACTTTGGAGGAGAAAGCTCACTCTACAATCTTGCTTTGTTTGGCTGATGACATCATCACTGAGGTTGCTGCTGAGAAGACTGCCGCAGGCTTGTGGTTGAAGCTTGAAAGTCTATACATGACAAAGTCTTTAACCAACAAGTTGCATATGAAGCAACGTTTGTTCAGTTTGCGTATGGAGGAAGGTACGTCTCTCAGGAATCATCTAGATCAACTCAATACTATATTGTTAGATCTGCGGAATATTGATGTTAAAGTAGATGATGAGGATGCTGCCTTAATTCTGTTAGTATCTTTGCCACAGTCATATGAGAATTTTGTGGATTCTTTTATTGCTGGGAAAGATAGTTTGTCTTTGGAAGATGTCAGATCTGCTCTACACACTAGGGAGGTTCGACATAAGGCGTCTGGTTCAAGTTCGGAAAATCAGGCATCTGGGTTGGCTGCTACGAGTAGTAGGAGACAACAATCTGGTAATAGGAAGGCGAATACAAATTCGAATTCTGCTGGTTTGAAGGATGATATCTGTCATTACTGTAAGGAGAAAGGGCATTGGAAATTCGATTGTCCTAAACTGAAGAAATATCAGGAGAAGAAGGAATCATCTGTTGCTGTGGCTATTTACAACATGGTACCCATAATTAACAGAGGTCCGTGTAGTGTTTGTGAAATTGTATTATTGTATTACCAGTTCGACAGGAAAAAAAAATCTTGTTGGAGGCTAAGCCGGGTATAAAATGACTGGACCACTGTTTCATAATAAATATCCCGTAACGCAGATTCTCGGTACAATTTCGCAAATGGATTCATGGATTGATTGATTGTGTATACAGTAGTCAGTGGCGGACCCAGAAATTTTTCATAGGGGTGTCCTCTTTTAAAAAATAAATTTAATAAAAATAAAAATAATTAATAAAAATAAAATTGTAAATATGAAAATAAATTACTCATATAGGTTAAAAAAGTTCATGATATGTTTTCATATTCGGAAATAATTGTAGAATATACTTGGTGTTTATAGTGTTAAAAAAATTGTCTCTATATACACTACTAGACAATCATTCACGAACTTATCGCATATTCGATTTGTAAACTTGTTCTTGATGTAACCCAAAGCTGAAAAACTCTTTCAACACTTGCCATACAATCATAAAATCAATACAAATTAAGGGTAGTTTGAAATTAGTTTAATTGTTAGGTTTTTAAAATAGTTAGAGATAGGGAATACCATTTTACTCACATTGTTCAAAATTGAACAACAAATGAGTTTAGTTCAACGGAAATTAAGTTTATTAATAATAATAGTGTTCTAGATTTGAATTATCCAACCTACCACTTACATTCCTATACACAAATGACAGAAGGATAATCATGTTTTCTAATTTAAAGGGTGTCCCTCACTATCAATTATATTTTTTTTGTCCATACATAAATTACTACCGGGGGTTGGATAATCATTTTCCCACAATTTACCGGGGGTTGGATAATCGTTTTCCCAAAATTTAGGGGTGTCCGGGGACACCCCTAAACCCTCCTGGGTCCGCCCCTGACAGTAGTGGAACTCTATGTGTGAGATTCAGGAGGGAGTAAAGTGAAATTGTGATTTTAGGTTATAATGTGTATATTGATACCTTAAGAAACTATTTTTAAAAAAGAAGGATTAGGATTATTAGCCTCTATCTTCAAAAATTGAGACTCAATATCGCAATTTTTATTTCGAGCCTCCTCTATCACTCTAATTTCTAACTTTGCCGCTAAATATATAGCATGCATGCAAATTAAACACGATTCTCCCTTCCGTAGGGGAAGGGTTTGAACTTTGAAATAAAATAATATACTCATCGTGATGAAATCCCAACTCGCAGCTCACCGTCTCCCAACCAATGTCCACCGAAAATCATACCGAAAAAGTCAGCGATAAGATATTTTATGATAAAATCGCGATTTCATCGTAATTCAATCGTTAATAATGTTAGATACTGCTTACTGATTTAACTTTCGGTACTGGTACCGTCGATACAATACTGTTGTTTCATGGACCATGCTCCCAACGTTTCATTTCTTCATCCAAAACCATGCCACCACCGCCCAGCCGTATGTGGCCACAACTTTTATAAGGGGAAGAAAAAATTATTACACTCTCCTCCATCGAGTGGTTTGGACTGTTCCACCTGTCTCTCTATTTATTTCTCGCTCCCTATTCTTGACTTTGTTCCTTCCCCTTTTGGGCGCCGAATTCCCCTCGTTTTTTTCTTCTTTTACAGTTCCGTCGGAAGAGTCTAGAAAAAGTGAGCAGGCAGTGCAGAGTGCAGAGTCATGGGCTCTACTGTTGTTGTTTGGGTGCATACGTAGCACGTCTATATGAATGAATGAGCTCGTGGGCGCCGACCGATGCCCACTTTCGGAATCTGGAGCAGCAGCTGATTTAAAGTTGAATCATAATTTGTACTTTTCTTGTTGGTTTTGTCTCCTAAGGTTTCTGGTTTATTATCTATGCTTATTACAGTGATCGAAGTTGTTTCATGGGAGAACACAGATTGAGGAAACATGGTAATTCCTTCATTGGGTTAGTGCGTGCGTGACGCATGCAGCATCTGCTTCTAGCATGAGATCGCCATTAGCACCAGTACTGGATACTAAACTTTTTTTTGTTTTTTGTTGTTGTTGTATAAAGGTTTTTTAATGTTTAAGTTCTCACAACAATATTAACGTTATTTTTAAAGTACAGGGTATGTAGGGTTTGTGCGGATTTCAAGCTCATGAGTTGGGTTTTGTTTGAAGAACAAGTAAAAGAAATTTATTAAAACTCATAAACGAGCATCTTTCGACAACTCAAATCATGGATATCAATTAGTTCAGGACATATGATATACTCAATGTAAAAATATATTTACAGCACCAGCTCACCATCTGCTCAAATAGTGTATTATTGCACCTGGGCCGACAATCGTGCTCAGCCCACGACTCTCTCCGCTGAAGTATTGGGTCAGGCTCGTCCAACTCCAATGAGTATGTGCCATGGCCCGCCCACACTAAAAATCATACCGTGCCTCACGATTACTCCAAGTTAAGGGTTCCTCCCGGCATCCCGGCCCACCATTGTCCCGGCTTCCGGCGGCAGGCCTTCACCTCTCGTCCGGTTCGCGGCACCTGGGTCCACCATTGCCCGGCTCTTGACGGCGGGCCTTCACCTCTCATCCGGTTCCCATCGCTCAGGCCCGTTATCGTTCCCGAACCCTGGCTCCTTGGCTCCGCCCTCCTCCTAGCACCTGGGTCCACCATTGCCCTGGCTCCTGACGGGCCTTCACCTCTCGTCTGGTTCCTGGCGCCCGGGCATGTAATCATTCTCGATCCCCAGCTCATAGGCTCCGCCCTCCTCCTGCGCACCCGGGGCCACTATTGCGCCGACTCCCGGTGAAGGTCCTTCACTTCTCATTCCGATCCAGGCTCCTGGCCCCGTTATCGCTCCCGGTCCCTTGCGTCCAGGCCCCTATTGCCCTGGCTCCCGGCGCTGGGCCTTCGCCTCTCGTTCAGTGCTCGGCGCCGGGCCCTATTATGCTTCCGGGCTCCGCCTGCCGCCTGGCACCCGGACTCGCTATTGTTCCGGCGCCGCGTCTTCTCCTCTCGGCTGGTTCCCGACCCCCGGGAGACTATCGCTCTCGGACCAAGTCTCTCGGGCTTCGCCCTCCTCCAAACGCCCGGGCCCGCTGTCGCCCCCTGCTCCTATTACCTGGATCAGCATCTATTCTCCCCACCTGTATCCATTGCATGTACTTCTACATGCACATGTGTCATGCCCTCTACTCAATTAGTTTGCATGTGGCAAGAGTGTTTCCCTTAGGAAGAATCATGGTTAACATGTGTACAACCACGTGGCGGGCGCAGATAGGCTTAGACGACACATGTCCAGTGACGTGTCTTTCCTTCATCTCCGGCGTCGACACCTGTCCTCCCGTTGTCCCCCTAGTAGTTACTATATAATTAGCTCATTCTCTCGAGTGAAAGGTAAGGCAAGAGATCGGGGGGAAGTACCCTGAGAGCGCTCACTGCAATCAGTGACTCTCACCCCCCGAGCTCACCTCCTGCAAACACCTTGTAAACTACTCAATCCCTCACACTAGGGACTAACTTGAGAGCCAGAGGGTGCCCCCGCCGAGATCGGCCGACGAGCTTTTTTTTGCAGGAAGCGATCGGAGGCAACGTCACGAAAGAAGGTTACTATAAAGGGGCACTTTAAATCGCTTCGAGCCCCAAGATTGAGGAAGTCGACGTCAGTTACAACCTCGGCATCAACAACATAAATTCATCATATATATTTTTTTATATATGCTGATGATCATCGAGTGGTGAGCGGTCTCTATCAGCACAAATATCAGTCCCATATACACATCGGCGAATCTAGGGAGGGGGGCGCCCCCGGGCCACGATCGAGCCCTCCCCGGATCCAGAGCTAGTATAACACTTGCAGATTTTCGATTTTAAGTATTCATTTCAATGTTCGATGGGTTACGGTCCAGTACTCTCCACTTCTTTACAAATTTGACCTAGTGCTCTATCCTATCCTGGATTCGCCGGTGCATATACAATTTTTACGTGGAGCCAAGTTTTCATTAAAAAGTGATAGCTGAGAGCCTTTGTTTGCTTCATGGATTTGAAAAATGAAGGTTTTGGTTAAAACCTGAGTTTTAAAAAACCATGGATATATGATGGAATTGCCCCATTTCTTTTTTGGTACAAACCATCGTTTGCTTGTTGGATTTCATGATGGATTTGACATTATTATATTTGTGGTTGTATTAGGAATTTACCTTAGTGCCCTTATTGAGTATTATTTATATTTAGTTATTTACATTATAATTTTTGTTATAAAACAATTTTCATCCAATAGCTTCATTTCACTACCACAATCAGAATAAATGAATATCATTAATCAATAACAACCTCATGTTATACACACAATTAGACAATTCCTCAATTTTGCAAAGTATACTTTGGGATTAATCATGTAATGCTTGCGTGCAATGAATAATAATAAATATTGAATGCAAAATTAATATGCACTTCAAGTTGGTAATTAGTAAATGAAATGTGTAATTAGTAAATGAAAGAGGATGAGTAGGTGATTAGTGAAATAAGTAAGGTTAAAATTGTAAAAAAGTCATCACAGACTTTGTACCCCAACACAAATCCCACCTCTTGGGGTGGAATTCTCAAGTTCGTGAGGTCCACGGATTTGGACCCTCAAAGTCTATGGGCCCCACGGATTTATTCCTTCTAAATCTATCAAACAAACGACGAATTGTGTACAAAGTTCATGATGCTTGGTTTTTAAGTACCAAATCCATGATAATTCCATGAAGCAAATGAGGCATTAAGAGGAAAACTAAGGGGTTGTTTGGAAGTTGCGAATGTTAAATCGTTGTATTGTAATGAATCACTATAATATAAATGCATGTATTGATACAATGGATGCATTTTAACAATACAGTGTTTGGTTGTTGAGATTCTAATTTATGCATTGATTTACATAAAGTTACTTTTATGGGTAAATGTCACATTTACCCTCAACTTTTAGAATAAGACAAACACTATTAGGGATATAAATGGAAAGAAAAAGTTGACAAAAATCTAAATCCAACAATCTCAACTTTTAGTTTTATACACAGCACATGCATCATTTTTTGTGATTGTTGGTGGGACCTACCTAAAACAATGCATGCATTGTTTCACTTTGACACTTCCAAACATTGTATTATGCACAATACATGTATTCCACAAACACAATTCTAACAATCACAACTTCCAAACCACCCCTAACATTGGACAAGAATGAGTGGGGGGAGTCGGTGGGTGGACGGTGGTAGTGGGCTTGGTTCGGTTTGAATTCCACCGTGTGATAATAATGCCGCCGGCCCGGTGCAAGACAACCTACTTCCAAACGGTAACAAGGAAAAAACTCTACGTTATTAATCCACCAAAACAATCACTGAAAAAAAATAATAGAATGAGACGTTAGGGGGCAAAAAGCGCCATTAATTAGCATGAAATTAATCTCGGCATATAATAATGAGATGGGACTAGAGATTCATCATCCCATGACAATATTTATAGAGCAAAACCTGATTAATTATATGTTAATACTCTTTAGAGCAATTCACTTGCAAAGTATGACATATAAAAAACCATGGTTAAAAACCCACGTTTAACCTTACGTTTAGATACGTCTAGGCGCAAGACAATGGAAAAACGCCTCGCTTAGGGGTTTCGCGCCAAATTAGATATTGGAACACATCAATGGAGTAAAGCGACATATAAGTCTCTTCTAAACATAACTAGATGGAGCTAGAAATTCAATATTAAATGAGATAATTAACGTCAACTATGAAATCAATTTTCTATATCAATATTTTTAAAATAACTCAAGAACTTTATGAGCCATTGAGCTATATTTCCATGAATTTGTGAGCTATGTTCTTGTTATTAAGTGTTCAGTAAGTTATTAATCATTTTAACTAAAGTGAGGAGGTGTTGTAGATTATTATTTCATTCATCATGCAGTGCGAATTTTTTTTTTCTTCTAACGTCTAGGCACGCTTAGACTACGCCTAAGCAAGCTAGGCGCTAAGCAAAGTCTCAATGCCCGCCTTACGCCTAGTCTAGCGCCTTTTTGAGCCTTGAAAAAAATAAGAAATTTCAAGAGTTTCTCATAATTGAACCCAAGTTTTTGTACATAGTATAGTTATGTAGTTTACTAAATATATTTGGAGAAACAATAACTGGAATAATGAGAAAAACAAAGATAACAAAAAAAAAAAACGGAGGAAACCGGCAATAACCGGTTGATTGTGCACGGCAGAATCCCGCTCGTGTCCACTCCATATATACCCCAAAACCATATCCTCTGTTTCTTCACTCCCATCTCTCGACTCCCAACCTCAACTCTCTCTATCTCATAGTCAGCCAGCAACTTCCCCTTCAATTTTCAACTCCCCGTAGCATCAGAGATTCAGAGTATGACGAAAGAAGTAGTCGGAGAAGGAGGTTCCTTCACGGCGAAGGACTACCACGACCCACCGCCGGCCCCGCTGATCGACGCTGCGGAGCTGGGCCAGTGGTCCTTCTACAGAGCCTTGATCGCCGAGTTCATCGCCACACTCCTCTTCCTCTACATCACCGTCCTCACCGTCATCGGCTATAAGTCCCAGTCCGACCCTCTCCATAGCAAGGGCGACCCCTGCGCCGGCGTCGGCATCCTCGGCATCGCCTGGGCCTTCGGCGGCATGATCTTCGTCCTCGTCTACTGCACCGCCGGCATCTCCGGTAATTAAAGTCTCCCCCTTCCCCTTCCCTTTCCATTTTCAGTTTCGAATTCGTTAATTGTTGCTCTTGAAATGGCGGCATTATTGATTTCTCATAGACGAACGGAAGACTCTGTTTTTTTCCGGCCCCCCAATTTGGGGAAACTGCAGTTTCGGAAGAACCCAAAATGGAGCTTGCTTCCCCTGTTATCAAAATCGATCTAATTCTGCTGGGTCTGATCTATAGTTGGAAACTTTGATGAAAAAACGGCGGCATTATTACTTTATCATTAACGAAATGAAGACTCTGTTTTCCCCCCAATTTGGGGGAAACTGGAGTTTCTGAAGAACCCAACTGGAGCTTACTTCCCCTGTTAGCAGAATCGATCTAATTCTTCTGGGTCTTATCTAAAGTTGGGAACTTTGATGAAAATTAAGGGAAAGAAGCTGAATTCAAATTTTTTTTCCCCGGCAGGTGGCCACATTAACCCGGCGGTGACATTCGGGCTGTTTCTGGCGAGGAAGGTGTCGCTGATACGGGCGGTGATGTACATGGTGGCGCAATGCTTGGGGGCAATTTGCGGCGTGGGGTTGGTGAAGGCGTTTCAGAAGTCTTACTACACAAGGTACGGCGGCGGGGCAAATTCTCTTAACGATGGCTACAGCGCCGGCACCGGATTGGGCGCGGAGATCATCGGAACTTTCGTGCTGGTTTACACCGTCTTCTCCGCCACCGACCCCAAGAGGAACGCTCGCGACTCCCATATCCCTGTAAGTGTCCTGCTTTTTTTTTTTTTTTTGGTGGGTCTATATTTTCTGCCATTGAAGTCCATCGATCTTGCATTGAAGAAAGTTGGTACCTACTTTTGTTTCTCGTTCATCTTTCTTAATGTGAACTTTTTTGTTTGGTAGTTGGAGGCAATGTATTTCTGGGCTGATTTGTTTGATATGCTGTTTAATGAATGATGGCGGGGTTTTATTTTTTTGGGGCCAAAATTTGGTAGGTATTGGCACCACTTCCCATTGGATTTGCTGTCTTCATGGTTCATTTGGCTACAATTCCGATCACCGGCACCGGAATCAACCCGGCGAGGAGCTTCGGAGCTGCTGTCATCTTCAACCAAGAGAAGCCCTGGGATGACCATGTAAGCGTACACACAACCATGAATTCTATAAACGAGACAATTAAAACGAGTCAATTCGAATTACCTGCTCCAACCCAGGTAATTGAAATTGACTCAAAACGGATTAATTCAAAATACCTCAGTCAGATTGATCCATCCAAAAAAATTTTGCTAGCAAACGAGGCAATTTAGTACAATTGTCTCAAAACGAGACAATTGTGTCAAATTGATCCGTTACAATTCCTCGTCCAAACTACCCTCTGTTTTTCCGGAGTAATATGAAGTACTGACACAGTAACATGTAATTGTTGTTGTCCTAAATTGTGCTGTACAATTTTCGATTGCAGTGGATCTTCTGGGTTGGACCCTTCATCGGAGCTGCGCTGGCGGCCTTCTTCCACCAGTTCATCTTGAGAGCCGGAGCTGTCAAGGCTCTTGGGTCGTTCAGGAGCAGCGCCAGTGCTGTGTAGAGTGCCATTTTGCTTGTGTGCTTGAGAGTTGCAGTGGATCTTCTAATTATTTGCTGTAGAATTCTGTGGGCTGTAGCTTTCTTGCATGTATTCGATCTTAATTATTTCTTCTTCTTCGATCTTCTTCCATTGCTGGATTTCTGTGCCTTGTTATCTGCTCTTCCTATCAAGATAGTGAAGTCATGTGTAGTTCAAACTTCAAATATGGAATCATTGTGAACAAAGCATGCTCCTCCGCCCACAAGCTGGTACCAATTCCCTTTCTTCTGCAGCGTGACTGCTTCAGTTTCAAGTTTCAACTGCGACGCTAAAATTTGGGTCTATCTTATTTTCTTAATAACAAATTTAAATTTTATTTTTAAAGAATAATTGGATTACGTATACTCTATAAGATAGCATAATTAACTTAGATAACATAATTAACTTTGATATATTCAGGAGCACAATAAAACCTTAATCGAAGCTTTTTTTTTTTTTTTTACCATCGTATACCATTGTGGTAGAGTATGGTAGTAAAAAAAAGTTATACCATTGTCATATGAACAATTAAAAATGTACTATGGTATGAATATATCATAATGTAGAAATGATGATATACATGATTGTAGGCATGGCTTTGTTGATAAAACAAATTTCAGTTCAGATTAAAATAAAAATGAAAAAATATAAATTAATTAAAAAATAAATACTCTTTAATAATTATCAATCCTTTTTTTTTCCTTTTTACAATACATATAAACCAATCTAACCACTTAAAATTAAGGTAATTCATTTTTAATTTTTATCCTACCAATCATACAGTTGCAGCTCTTTTGGGCTCTTCCTACAAAGCCCACTGACTTACTTTTGCCCCCTTTATAAAGCCCACTAACGATTTGTTACCAAACAGACAGCCCAGCGCTACCTCCGTCGCTTTTCCTGTCCGTTCACCGCCTCCATCTCGAGTCTCGACTCGACACAACCCTGCCATCAGCTATCTCCTCCTCTATCTCCCACTCCCAAGTCGCCGATAATCCCCTCCCGTCGTTAAACCCAAACCCCTGGTTCGAGCCACCCACGCTCGGTCGGGATTTGATCGTCGAATCTGTTAATCAGGAGGCGAGCGCACTGATTGATCGATTGCCCTAAGGAATTGAGGTAATTGATTTTATCAGATTCGTCTACTTTTAGGGTTGACATGCTTCTCTCTCGTTTCTTTTTTCTTTTGCCTTGAATGCGTAAGGATGGTAGTGTAATTGCGTTAACCTAGAATATGGGTGAATTGTTGTAAATGGACGTAGGAAGGAAATTGATAGAACGGAAAGACATTTTTCCCCCTTTTCAGTTCAAAGAGATACCATATGATCTATATAACCATGAAGTCTTCTTTCTGTAGATATGTGTTGATTGAAACTATTGGATATATTTTATTTGTAATAGTTGCAACACTTTGAACACTTTCTCTGATGGGCACCTTCTCTCTTATGTAGAGTTAAGTCGGAAAATGGCACACAGATTACTGCGAGATGTTGAAGCTGATGGTTGGGAACGTTCAGACTTCCCTATTATCTGCGAGTCCTGTCTTGGTGACAATCCATATGTACGGATGGTATGATGCTTCTGCGCTTCAACATTAAAGTAGTTTCTGGTATTTTATTGTTATGCTGTAAAACCAATTTATCTAAACCCTTGACTATGGTTGGTTGCTGATGTGCAGACAAAAGCTCAATTTGATAAAGAGTGCAAGATATGTACTCGTCCATTCACAGTTTTTAGGTGGAGGCCTGGCCGTGATGCAAGATATAAGAAAACTGAGATTTGCCAGACATGCTGTAAGCTAAAAAATGTTTGTCAAGTCTGCCTTCTGGATCTGGAGTATGGCTTGCCCGTTCAGGTTCGGGATACTGCCATGAGCATCAATGCAAATGATGCTATTCCAAAGAGTGATGTAAACAGGGAGTATTTTGCTGAAGAGCACGATCGCAAGGTAAGTTTTATTGTTCAAAACTAATTAACCTTACATGGGTTGAACCATCATCTACTTTGTACTTGCACTTTTCACTTTGTCTTTTTGGGGGGTCCATTTGATGTCATGTTGAAGTTTGATTCTCTTATTCTTGTATGCCCTTCTGAAACTAATTAACCTAAGATGTTTGAACCTGAGTCTGTTTGCAGTATTGCATCATAATCTGCAGTCGTACTAGTCACTTCTGTTTTCGATGATAAAATGTGCCTTTCTGAATTTTAATTGGGCTAATGTTGTATTCATTTATGAAATACAAGGCTTTTGTTTTGTCTTGGTGTGATCTATATTTTGCATTTGATGTCATTAGCACATAAGTATATAGCTGAAATGTGCTCCAAGTGCTTCATACTAACTTGTGGTTTTATAAATTCTTGCAGGCCAGAGCTGGGATCGATTATGAATCTTCTTATGGAAAGGTTAGGCCAAATGACACAATCATGAAGCTTCAAAGAACTTCACCGTACTACAAAAGGAACCGAGCACATGTTTGCAGTTTCTTCATCAGGGGTGAGTGCACACGTGGTGCTGAATGTCCTTACCGGCACGAAATGCCTGTAACTGGGGAGTTGTCGCAGCAAAATATAAAAGATCGTTACTATGGGTAAGTGCAGTTTCTTGCTGGTTGGGTCTGTGTTTTAATGTAAATTGATACCTGGGTGCAGCTATTGTGTCTCTTTACTTGTCATTTATTAGTTGAGGCATCTGATCTACCTTGTTCTTCCTAACAGAATTATCTCTAATGTGTTCATAACAAGAATTATATTCCTTTTCCCCCCCCTGGTTTCAGAGTTAATGATCCAGTGGCATTGAAACTTCTCAACAAGGCTGGTGAAATGCCGTCATTGGAACCCCCCGAGGACGAAAGCATAAGAACCCTGTACGTTGGTGGGCTTGATGCTAGAGTAAGTGAGCAGGATCTAAGGGACAATTTCTATGCACATGGTGAGATTGAATCCGTCAAAATGGTGACTCAACGAGCTATTGCCTTCGTGACGTATACAACAAGAGAAGGAGCAGAGAAAGCTGCCGAGGAACTGTCGAACAAACTAGTAATCAAGGGTCTGAGGCTGAAGCTCATGTGGGGGAGGCCTCAAGCACCAAAACCGGATCTCGACCTCTCAGAGGAAGCGAGGCAGCAGGCGCTCATGGCTCACGGCGGGATGCTTCCTCGTGCGTTGGTATCCCAACAACAACAGAACCTCCCTCCCGGTACTGCTCCCGATCAGCCTCAACAACCGATGCAGTACTTCAACATCCCACTTCCTCAACAGCAGCAAGAAAGAGCGTTCTACCCGTCCATGGATCCCCAGAGAATGGGCGCTGTAATTCCTTCACAGGATGGAGGGGCTTCAAGTAGTTCATCTGGCGAGAACAGACCTGGTGGGGAGACACAGCAGCAGCAGCCTAATCATCACTACCCTTATCAAGGAATGGCTCGTCCTCCCCCTCCGCATGGTCAGTTTCAGCAGCAACACCATTATCCACCTCCTCCGTACGGGTATATGCAGCGGCCGCAGCCGCAGTATCAGCAGTATCCTCCAGCAGCAGCTTACCCATCAGGGATGCCTCCACCGCAGCAGGCTAGCCAGCAGCAATACCAACATTTTGCAGCTCCACCACCTCCAAGGCCTGCTGCAGCTCCCGAGTCTTCATCAGGTGCACCTGCTCCTCAATCAAACCAGTGAAAATTTACAGTCCAGATGTGGATATTGTCATAGCCGAAGCCGTCTCTTGCTGTAATTGTGTTGTTATTTTACAGTCCGGATGTGGAAGTTTAGAAATGAAGGGTGGCTAAGCCTAAGGCTGAACATGCTAAACAAGAACAAGGGGCACAATTTGTCTTCATCTGTGTTTCCCTGTTATAACGATGGAAGGTTTTGGCATGTGATTTAAATTGGGATTCACAATTCCTCCCGTGTACTGTATTCTTTATTATTACAGTTGTCCCATTTCCGTTTATACCAAAATTACTATTTACCGTCAACTTTTCCCTCCCGCGGCCACCGCATTGTCTTGTGAAATATGGAACAATGGTGATGGATATAGTTAGGCCGTAGAACACACAAATCAGACGGAATTGATTTGAAACAAACACAAATCAGACGGAAATTTTGATGATTACCTTTCTGCTCATGGTCCAAACAACTTCTGTGCATGGTGGGACAGTGAGGGAGCCAATGTATCTATAGTACTTCTTGCCTCCGATCTTGATCTCTCTAGGGTCCATCACACCCATTTCCTTCTCAATCTCTTCCTTCTTGTTCTTGTCCATCTCGTCGTGCTCAATGGATTTAATGTCCTTAATCAATTTGGATAGGAAATGGTCTGGGCTGCCAGCCTTATACAGCACACCCACAACAGCAATCCCCTTCGTCTCTGGATTTAAATGGACCATATGGAGCTCCATATCATAACTGCCATGGACAGTTGTTAGAAACAAAAGTTTCTAACGGTTATGAGATTAGGGGAATTAGCTAGATCAATTAGGGATTGGTCAAGCTAGGGATTGAGAATTGGAGAATTTAGGAAGAAGAGAGGGGAAAAGAGGCTGCTGCCGCGCAGCAAGGAAGAAGAAGGGAGAGGGGTCGGCGCAAGAGGGGGAGAGAGAGAGAGAGAGAGTGATTAGTTTTAGGTTTTCTGTAATTGATTGCTTAATCCCAAAATAACACCCTACTACAGAATATATAATCTGCCAATTCTCTAACTCCTACCCACGTTAATAAAATGCAACAATCGACTCCCTGCCTATTGCTAAATACCCCAAATGATCCCCCAATTATCAAAGACCGACAATAATACGAAATAACAAAAAGCTGCAAATTGTTTGTTTCTAACATCCCTGCCTCCTTGGAAAGCAACCTTGTCCTCAAGGTTGAGGCTTCTCTTGCTCCGCTCCTGCGTCCTCTGCAACTTCATCCTCTGCCTCGTCTTCCCATCTCCCCACCAGAAACATCAAATCAGGCTTTCCACACTTGTGGCCGAAGGTGAACCTCTCGTCACAGTTAAAACATTTTCCTTCCCGCCTCTTCTGCTCGATCTCAGCAGGGGATAACCTAGTGAATCCCTTGGGTGGTGGCCTAGGTCCTGCTCGAATGGCCGCGGAGGGTGGACCAGCCGTCGCACCCCCTCCCGTGCTCGGACCCGGCGCTGATGACCCCGCCCCGTTGCTCGGCCCGCTACCACTGCCCCCTCCGCTCGGCTTCTGATATCGGCCTATCACTCCCCGCCAGCTAGCCAGCTCCTCCTCCTTATTACCTGCAAGACGGAAAACAGCTCGAAGTGAATCGGGCTCAAATACCCGGACCGCCGCTGCAATCTCCGGACGGAGTCCCGCCATGCATAAGCCCACCAATGTCTCCTCCGGGACGCCCTTGCATTGGTTACCCAATTTGAAGAACTCAGCTCTATACTCTGCCACCGTTCCTGTCTGGCGCAGCTTGGCCAACTGCTCTGGAGCCCATCCTTCTGGCATGCCGAACTGGTACCTCAACTCCTCCTTAAACATAGGCCAAGTGATTAGCGTATGAGCTTCAGCATAGGTCCGCTCCATCCACTCCCACCACTGCAGTGCATCCCCCTCCAAGTAGAAGGATGCCAGCTGAGCCTTCCGTTCTTCCCTAGTGGGATGGTTCTTGAACCATCGTTCCGCGGAATATATCCACAGAACTGCATCCTCACGACCATTAAATTTTGGAAACTCAATGGTAGGGGGTTTAGCTCTAAATACCATATCATCTTCGTCTTCACCTCCCCGAGAATAACCGGCGTGCCTTCCATAGCCTTGGGCCCCACTGTGATAGTGCTGCGAGAATCGCGGTTCCCCTTCATAACCCCGGTCATCTTCTTCCTCCTCCAGATATCTCGTTCTTCGGCCCCACTCATTCATCTGCCTTTGGTCACCTGTTCCCGCTCTCATCGGTTCCTTGCCGGTGCCTCGCTGACTCACAAAAGGAGGGTGAGTGCCGCTGTATTGGTCGAATTGGCCTTGGGAAGCTGGGTTCTGCCTGCTGCCCGCCCCCCTGCGCGCCCTATCTGCTGTCCCGGTTCGACCATGGTTCAACCCAGTCCGGTTCGACCGGTTTCGGTCCAACCGGGTTCGATCCGCCCGCTGGGGGCCCGGCTCGGCCCTGCTCGGCTGACGTACTCACCCCGGCCCGGTGGACCCCGGCCCATGGCGCTTGGCCGCCCCATCTCCCAGCCGCGGCCCGCCTCTCGCCGTCCTCCGCCCGGCCCGCCTTCCATCCCGGCCCGGCCCACCTGACTGCCCTCGTCCTTTCTGTAATCCGCCCCTGGCCAATTCAACTCGTTAGGCCATGGCCCGTGATCATACTCCTGCTCCAGGTCCACCAACTCTTCCCCGTCCAGGCCCGTTTGCAGATCCGGTTCCACGTACTCGGCCATCTTGGCCTTGCCACGCGCGCGTGCCATCTCCTGGGCCGATGGGGTCGGCAATAGCCCATCCTTGACTGTTGGGCCGAAGGAGACTTGGCCCGCACGCGACCCGGGTGGCCGGCTAGGGTTGGCCGCCGCCCCGTTCCTCTCACCTGAGCCATCCGCCGAGGGCTGTGCGACGCCTTGGCCGCTGAACGCCCCTACCGAGGCGGAGTCCTCCCCCGGCGCGTCTCCCTCCATCTGCGGCTGCCCGCCGCCGCCAGCTCCGGCCCCGCCTTTCTTCCAGGCCTCCGTCAGGCTGCTCATTTGCCCCTGCAGCGCCTCCACCGCCGCCAACAAGGCATCAAGGGTGCGACCGTAATCCCTAGCCCTCACCTGCAGCCCCTTCAATTCCTCCTCCACCCGCGCTTGCCTCTCCGCTTGCGTCTCCACGACGTTTCTTCAGCTCCTCGATCCCTGTCAGATCCTCCACCGCCCCGTCGAACCCTCCGTCACCTGCATCGGCGCCTTTCTCACTTGCCTGGGCCGCCTTCTCCGCCTTCTCTGCTGCTTTCATGGACTTCGTCGATACCATTGTTATCTTCCCTGGTTCAAGAGCTCAAAAGAACTCACTCTCGAGCCAGGCTCTGATACCAGATGTTAGAAACAAAGTTTCTAACGGTTATGAGATTAGGGGAATTAGCTAGATCAATTAGGGATTGATCAAGCTAGGGATTGGGAATTGGAGAATTTAGGAAGAAGAGAGGGGAAAAGAGGCTGCTGCCGCGCAGCAAGGAAGAAGAAGGGAGAGGGGTCGGCGCAAGAGGGAGAGAGAGAGAGAGAGAGAGAGTGATTAGTTTTAGATTTTCTGTAATTGATTGCTTAATCCCAAAATAACACCCTACTGCAGAATATATAATCTGCCAATTCTCTAACTCCTACCCACATTAATAAAATGCAACAATCGACTCCGTGCCTATTGCTAAATACCCCAAATGATCCCCCAATTATCAAAGACCGACAATAATACGAAATAACAAAAAGCTGCAAATTGTTTGTTTCTAACAACCATACTTAAATCAATCATTTGATTCGAGATATTATGAGGATACAAACACGAGACCATCAAGGTAAATACCTCCTGCCATTGACGGTTTCATGTCGTAACTTTTGTCGGCCTAGTTTGTAATCTTTGTAAATTGATTTGTAATGTTTATTTTATTCGGTTTATAATGTTTATTCTTTTAGTTTGTCATTTTTGTCTATCAAATTTGTATACATTGTAGTTCGTAAAAATTGTAATGTTTATACCAATTCGGTTGTATTGTTTATTATTCTTGTTTGTCATCTTTCTCTATTACATTTGTAACGTTTGTTAGCTTTGTTATTTTGTAAGGTTTGTCGGTGTCTTTTGTAATGTTTGTAAGCTTTGTAATGTTTGATTGTCTATTTTGTATACTTATATATTATGATTTGTATACTTTGTATTCATTTGTAATGAAATGATAGTAACATAGTACACAAAGCGTACTAAAAGTACAAATTATCATTACTTACAATACAAATCGACATGACTTGCATCACAAATCAATACAACTAAAGTATACAAATTAATATTACAAAGCATACAAACTATGTTATAAATATATATAAATCGTAATGACATTATGTACAAAGATACTGACAATACAAATGTATAACACTTGCATTACAAATCACAATGACATTATGTACAAAGATACTAACAATACAAAATGTATAACACTTACATAAAAAAATATCATCGAATCCCTCGCCTCCTCCCCCGCTGCCGCCGAATCTCTCTCCATCGTCGTTGTTGCCTCTCTCTATCTCTCCATCGCCTCTGCCGCCTCTCTCTCATCCATCGTTGCCGCCGTTGTCGTTCTCCGACTCTCTCATCTCATCGCAAGTCTCTATCTCTCCATCGCCTCTGCCGCCTCTCTCTCATCCATCGTTGCCGCCGTTGTCGTTCTCCGACAAATTCGCCGCCTTTGACGGTGTTTCTCTCTCCTCCACCACCGTCGTTGACGTCGCTTCTCTCTCCTCCACTGTCGTCGTCGCCGCCATTACTCCTCCACCGTCGTCGTCGCCGCCATCTCTCTCTCCACCAACGTTGCCACCTCTCTCTCTCCTCCACCGGCGGTGGAATTTTTCCCGCCATGTCTTTCTCTCTCTCTCCTCTGGACATCACAACAATAAAGGGGAAAGGAGGAGACGGTTGGAGAGAAAAAAATGAATAATAAATAATACAAAACTAAAAATAAGAGTTAATGAATTTCTAATAATACCAAAACTACCCTTTTCATTTAATAATAATTCATTACTTTATCTGAAATAATCTGGACCATTAGATCAATCCAAAGGTTAAGGGGGGCTTAGTCAAGTGACTAAGGACCCCCTAGTCATGGGATCCGCACTCCCTGTCAAGTAGGGATGGCAACAAAACCCGAACCCACGGGTACCCACCCGACCCAACCCGGTCAACGCGGGTAAAATCCGTGTTGACGGGTTTTGGGCCGGGTTTGGGTTTAAACCCGTTCACTATTCATCGGGTTGGGTTGGGTTTGGGTTTAGGTAAACCCGGCCCATGGGTACCCGCCCACACCCATATAATTAATTGTCTCGATATTTAACAACTAATCTTATTTATGTTTGTGGAGACATGTCTAATTTTTTCTTTTGAGTTGTGTAAAATGAAGTTGATGTTATCGAGTGGAGAGTGAAGAAACTTAATTGAAAGAAAGAAGCTTTCAATTAATCATGTTATTTATGGATAATTTGTGATTTGCTTCAATTTTCTTGAGTTTTCTAGATTGGTGTTGAACAATTTTTATAGTTAATTTGTGATTTGCTTGAATTTTCTAGAATTGTGTTTTATATATGGATAATTTATATTGAGAGATTGATATTTGACTTTAATTTTGATAGGAACTTGTTATTGTAAATTTTTCACGACAAAACTCATGGGTACCCATAAACCCGCGAATACCCAGCGGGTTGGGTTGGGTTTGAGTTTTTCAAACCCAGTGGGTTTTACCCCGGTTTTTTTTTCACGGATAAACCCATGGATTTGAACCCGACCCAACCCAACCCATTGCCATCCCGAGCTTCTCGACCATGCGCCACATGATCTGCATCTCCTGCTGCTCCATCTCCCCGACCATCGTGGCCTCGGTGGCAGCCACGAGGAAGAGGAGGAGGAATGCCGCCGCTGCCTAGCTCAGTTTTGCCATTGTGGAATAATGTTAGAAGTGAAGTGGGTTCTTTACACTTTTGCGTTTTGAGGTTTGGTTTTAGTTTGTATGATGGAGATGAAGGGTTTTGCTTTTGCATGAGGAGTACGTGTCGGTGGAGGGTCAGAGTTTTGGGGTGTGAAGGGTGGAAGATGGGTGACACGTTGGTTTTTGTGGGCTGACACGTATTGATCGGATGTGCATGCAGACGCGGCTGAAAGTCTCTGTGCATGATGACATGGACAGTGGGCCATTTTTGTTCTTCTTTTTTCTGAAGACTCTTGGCTGACATGGATCAAATGGATTGGATCTAATGGATTCGTGGATTGGATCTAATGGATTCGTGGATTAATCCATGAATCCAAATGACATCCAACGCTTGGACCAAAATGTAAAATTTGAAAAGTTTTGGTACCGAAATGTCATAATGAAAATTTTTAGGTACCAAAATGTAATTTTCCAATGATATTTTTCGTATAAAAATATAAATTTTAGGTACCAAAATGTAAAATATAAAAAATATAGGTACCAAATCATAATTTGCCATTTGGATCCATGAATTGATCCATGAATCCACCAATCCATGGATTGATCCATGAATCCACCAATCCAATTGGATTTGGATCAAATGGATTGGATTACGTGGGTAATTTGGTGGATGGATTGGATTGGATTCATGGATTTGGATCCTAATTGCCACCTCTAGTTCTGTGAATTGCAGGCGTCAAGGGAGGATGACCAGTTTGGGCGATTCCTTGTTGCCCTGTGGTTTATCTGGGACCAAAGGAACAGCCAATTATGGAATAAACGAAAGTTTGAGGAGTGGAAATCATGGCTAGAGCAGAATCATGGCTAGATGAATACCTGGATTTGCAGCGAAGAAGCCCAGCTCCGACATCTCGAACACCAGATCGATGGACACCGCCAGTGCATGTGAATTTCAAAATTAATGTGGATGCAGCCTGTATTTCGAAAAGGGGGAACTGGTTTGGAAGTGGTGGTTAGGGATAAGGAGGGTCGCTTTCTTTTGGCTGCGGTGAGAAGGACACGTCGGCAATGGTCATCTGAGGTTGTAGAGGCGATGGCGGTGAGCTATGGTTTGGAAATGGCGAAGCGTTTCGGCTATCTCCCTGGGCTGATTGAAACGGACTGCCAGGTGATAGCCAACTATCTACGTGGCTCATCGCCGTCCATACTTGAAGCAGGCCGGATCTGCTGCGAAATAAGGGATGAAGCCCAATTGTTAAGTGGGGTGGAATGGAGTTGTGTGGGCCGAGATGCAAATAGACCAGCCCATGTCATGGCCCATATAGAGTGTAGATGGGATGAGGAAGAGGTGTGGGTGGATAGACCACCAGTTTTTCTATGTTCTTGTTTGATTGATGACACTGTGTCGTCAAATTCTTCTCATTAATAAAATCTAGCAGATATGTTTATCAAAAAATAAAAAAATAAAAAAAGGGATATTGGATACCAATGGTAGGCGGATTTACCGGTACGGAATGAGATTTGAGCTATCAGTGCTAATAAAATCACATCAAAGATTCAACTAACGCCACCTAAAATATTAATGCCATTAAATTTGCGGAAGGTGCAAAAGGAGAAAGTATTATGAATTTCCATTTCTTTCCCCATTATTATGATGCTTCCCTTTCCCATTTTTGTCAATCCTTTTGTTTGGGTTGCTTCGGACACACGGAATTTGTATTTATATCAGAAACTCGCAAACGGAAGAAGCAAAGGGAGGAAGAAGCAAAGAAGAAAAAAAATGGCACCCATCACCACCTTCTTCCTCTTTGTGTGTTCATGTCTAGACCTCATCAACCCGTCATCTTGGCTCCTGGAACTCCATCACTACTCCGCTTTCTCGTCGTCGTCGTCTTCTTCTTCTCGCCGGCGGCAAGTCTCGCCGTCGGCGCTCGCCCTTTCCTTTCCCGGTGCTTATTGAGAGATCTTCGCGGCAGGCGCATCTTGATCGTCAGTCTCATGGTGGGTTCATTGCCAATTGCAGCTTTGTGGTAGCAGTTAGCTAATCACTATATATGCTTAATTAGGGTTTCGTTACTTTGTAATTACCCAGATCTTGATTTAGAATTGGATTAGATTTTGTCCACTTTCAATTTTCAATTTTGTTCAGTTTCTGTATAGTTTATTAACCTAAAATAATCTTTTGTTGTCATTTACATAATTATAATGTCAATATCCTGTTTAATTGAGTTTGTCTCGCCTATTATTTCGAACCTGTGAACTATGAGTCCCGTTATTAAAATAAACAACGAGTGTGAAATGGTACCGGATGCTAGACCGGGGAAACAGTGGTATGGTAGTAAAATCATAATTTAATTTAATTGTGCTTCAATCGTTTTCTAATATGAAAAAGGTGTGTATCGATTTGGAGTGCGGTATCCAATTTTTCAATCGGAGTACGTGTATGTGGAGGTCAGAGTTTGCCAGCTTGGAGACTGTGAAGTAGGGATGGCAATTTCGACCTGACCCGATTTACCCGACCTGTTTGACCTGTTTTGGGGCGTGTCCGACCCGCCCCGTAGGCGGAGCGGGGCGGGAATGGGTACCTCTCATCGACCCGACCTGCCTTGACTCGCCCCATTCTCGACCCATTCTTACCTAAATTACATGTAATCTTAGTCAAATGACTTCGGATTTTCCTCTTATTACATCATATTTTATGTATAATAAAGTTGTAAATAAGTGAAAAACTCAATTTCTCCAATAATTTAACTACATTTTTTATCAAATTATGATATCTTTATTGGTCTTTTAATTAAAATAACAAATAATTTTAATGTTTTTCGCATAAATTATATACCCAATGGGTCGACCTGCCCCGACCCGCGCCCCATAATAAATTATCCAACCCGATCCGGCCTGCCACGTGGCGGGTATGGGTATCGAGATACCCTCCCCAGACCTGCCCCATTGCCATTCCTACTGTAAAGGTTGGAAGATGGGTGACACGTTGGTTATTTTGGGCTTACACGTATTGGTTTACATGAAAACGCGGCTAAAAGTCTCTGTAATGACATGGACAGTGGGGCCACTATAGGTTCCTTCTGGCTGCCTACGTGTCCCGTCTATCGTGGCACTTCGGATATTATTATACTCTAAAAAATGGAGTTTGTGGTTGACACTTGAATATTTTCCAAATAGGTATTTGTGGTACATGTTTAGGTAATTAACCACGTTAGGTGAGGCAAAATCTTGTGGTTGTTTGTATTTTTGGGATTGTGGTTAAGAAGTTTGGCGGGTAATATTTGGTTATCTATGAATTGTCCATGATCAAAATTGAGCTTTTATTGGAGTTTCATTGTTGAGATTAAAAACTATTTTTATTTTTGGTTTGTATGTTAATTTTGATTTTATATTTTACTGCGCAAAAGAATTTTGTTACCTGTGATCAAAACAATGATATTCCTTTTTTTTTTTTTTTTTTAAATATATGGAGATCTTTTTGATCATTTATGCTGTCTCAAGACAATTTTAGCAACTGACTATATCTTACAAGGACAATTATAGCTGGGATCAGGAAGATGTACCTGGTAGTGAGAGATAAATATTTTTTATTTCAAAATGTATCAAAATGAACGTAAACTTTTAAAATGTAATTAAATAAGTTTTTTTTAATTAAATTAAATTTATAATATATAAGATATAATCCGTTAAATATTAATCGAGAAGTGATTATTATTTAATAAATAAATGTCCTATATATGAATTCATGTTTCCTTTCTTTTCCACAGTTTGATGTACATGTTCTACCATTTTCTACTGACTCTTGTCGCAGATTTCTCCTTTAGCAGTTAGTTAGTTTCACCGACTTGAAAACATATCTAAGGTTCAACCAATGCCACCTAAAATATCAGAGATTTTAAAAGAGCTAGGTAGCCGCTGGTTAGGTTTGCTTGCTTATCCACAGAGCAATCATTACTTGAAATTGCAGAAGGTGCAAACCCCATTATGCTGCTTCCCTTTTACAATTTTGTCCATCTTTTTGTGGAGTTGATGGTATATTTGGTCTATGAACTATCATTGTAATCCTATCATGATCCATGTACTATTCTTTTTTGCCTCATATGATAATTCAAATATAAATATTTTCCTGTTCTAACTCTTGCTGTCAAAAATACTATTGATCTTCTGTTAAACGGGAATCCAACTACTCGCTAGACACACTAATTCAGGCAAACGATCATGTTTTGAACAAACTTATCTGGCTACATTAATCATTCAATCTCAACCAAAAATAGGCAGATTGGTTGATTTGATGGGAAATTGCAGGGTGAAACTCGGGAAGGGATTAGTTGGGGACGAGGTTAAAAATATGGAGGAATGTTTTTTGTAACTATAAGGACTTTTTATGTGTTTGTGCTCTGTCTCGGTACTTTAGTTACATATGAATTTAATGGAGACTAACGAACTTTAAACGGTAAGGGTAAGTTTTAGGAAATACATGTACTTCGAAAGCCCGCGATAGGAAAATAAATAGTTTAGAGGCGATTACCAGCCCGAGTCTGGGTAGTACCCCGGGACTGTACCATAAAAGACTGACCGGAGATTCCTCCAGGTAGCCATGTTCCATTACTCAAGACCTGGTTCCCTTCAAGAATTGGAATCCTGAAAGACACTCCTTTGAGTGCGACAAGGTCGTAAAACTCTCCACATAAGACCGAAGCGAGTTAGATTTATTTGCATCAGCCGGCTCGATCCTCAAGTTAGGGTGTATAACCCTTGATAATGCTTCTGAGGCATAATTAAATATGGACCTTCCTTTTTAAGTGGGCCTAGAAAATCAAATATAAGGATGAAAAATTAAAGGCATTTTATTTTTCCTAGTTTTCTTAATCGACTCTTGTCTTCTTCGTTCTAACTTGGATTTCATTGTTGTGTTCTATAAAATGAGATCCATTTTCAATATTGTTTGAGAAAATTATTTGCATACCTCCCGTTACCAAATCCATAGCATATGGTATCTCCTATTCTCCTTCATCATGATTTATGTGGATCTAAAAATTTATGGGTGGAAAAACACAGCACCAAAAAATATCACTCTAAAAAAGTATTATAATTGAGAGCCAAAAATGGTATTAACTCATCTTTTGTGTGGGTTGCTTTAGACACACGGAAGCAAAGCAATCATGGATGGCGTGCGTTTATGGTTTTGAGAGCAAGTGAAAGCTAGAGAGAGAGAGAGAGAGAGAGAGAGAGAGTAAATACATATTTATATCGAAACCCACACGGTGAAGCAAAGTGGGGAAAAACAAAAAATGGCGCCCATCACCACCTTCTTCATCTTTCTGTGTTCATGTCTCGACCTTCTCAACCCATCATCTTGGCTACCGGAACTCCATCACTACTCCTCTTCCTCTTCTTCTTCTTCTCACGGCCGGCGGCAAGTCTCACCGTCGCCGCTCGCCCTTTCCTCACTCGGAATGGGTCATATTTTCCCCGGCGCTTATTGAGAGATCTTCACGGCAGGTGGCAGCTGGGAATGCTCTTGATCGTCAGCCTCGTGATGAGCTTTCATTGCCAATTTGCATCTTTTATGCTGGCTTATTATTAGGGTTTCATTACTTTGTAAATTACATAGATCTTGATTTACAATTTGATTAGGTTTTGCTCACTTCCCATTTTGCTCGGTTTCTGTATATGCTATTAATCTAATTTTTTTTGTTATTGTTGTTGTCATTCACACCATTTTTAATGCCTATACCAATCACTTGTTTGCGAGACGTCAGTGAGACTGGAATTATTTCGAACATATGCACCGTGAGTCTCGTTATTATTAAATTAAATGAAAAAAATTGAAGGAGTGCGCAAATTTTTTTTTTTTTTTACAAAAGGTAATCATATATATTGATTGGAGAAAAAGATATTACATTCTGGAAACCAGCCAGGTCTGGAAATAAAAAAAATCGACATGCAATCGGGTACAAAGCGAGGACCTTTCTAGCCCCCAAATGGGCTAACCTATTGTTACTCCAACCTACAAAGCGAACAGTAAGCGCACTATGACAATAAAACATCAGAAGGAGCTCTTCAAGTACAGCCCCAATCCGATCATCCCGTGCATCCCGCCGAATAATTTTATCAATAATGACATTGGCATCACCTTGGAAACACACCGCATGGACGCCCAGCTCCAGGCACCACGGAAGGAGTGCGGAATCGTACTAGAGTTTTATTAGAAAAACAATATGATGTTTATGCTCGTAAAATGCTTATCGATTTAGAGTATGATCCGACCGAACTATAGATTGCGATTTCTGAGACATTGAAAAACACTCAAAGTCGTTACAGGTTATAATCATGAAACCAGTTGAGGTTAGGTGTAAAAGTTTGAAATTGTGGCCTATTTAATTTGGTTCAACAACTTAATCGTTTGGATGGATCAATCTAGAAATGAGTCAATTTGATCAATTGTCTCGTTTTACAAACGAGGCAATTAAAACGAGTCAATTCGAATTACCTGCCCCCACCCCAGGTAATTGAAATTGACTCAAAACGGATCAATTCAAAATACCTCAGACAGATTGATCCATCCAAAATTTTTGCTGGCAAACGAGGCAATTTGGTATAATTGTCTCAAAACGAGATAATTGTGTCAAATTGATCAGTTACAATTTCTCATCCAAACGACCCCTAAATTTTTTAGCACCATGCCATTGTCGAAGGCCCCAAAAGAAAAAAAACAGACGAAACCCACGCCATTTCCGATTGAAGTTGGAGAAGGGCAAAGCCGCCATTGGTATGATGATCTGTGATGTAAGCTTCTGAGTTGTGACCTTCGCTCGTTGGCCCATTGAAAACTGCACCCAACTTGTTTGAGCCAGTCTGGGACTTAGAACCTCTATTATTTTCCCTTTGACAGAAAATCTAATCCCAGATTTCTCGACCATCATCTCTTCCTTCCGCTGGGGGCAGAGTTGGGGAAGACTCTGTTGGGAATTGGATATGCATCTATGGCCTACAATCAAGTTGAGAGACTCCTTCAGCATCGACTACATCCGGCGGTTGGATTGGAACCTCCACCGGATGAAAGTCGACAAGAAAAGCAAGCAGCGTCTCCTGGACGACGGCGGTGACCAGGAGAGCGGCGCTCCTGGAGACGAAGGAGTAGAAGAAGAAGAAGGGTCCATTTCAAAGGACGGGTTCACCGAAAGAGCTGCTTTCGTATGCAGAGAGATCTTCTTGGTCCTCTCGTGCTGTTACTGCTGTTTCTGCTGTGGAGGTTAGTTTCATTACTGGTATTGGCTTTTGGGTTTCTGGCAAGTTTGAATTCGTTCAATTCGTGGATTTCTGGTTACTGCTGGGTATGGCTGAGATCTCTGCTCGGGCAATAGAACCCTTTTCTGGTGTAGTGTTTGGTGTTTATTTACTTGCTGCACCTTCCAAATGCCGATGAAGCTACCCATTCGAGCTCGCTGGGCGTTTATTTAGTTCCTCTGTGGAGGTTTTGTTTGTTAGGTTAATTGTTGGGGAGATGATATGTCCGATTGAATTGAAGTGATTCGTGAGAAATGCTGTAGCCATAGAATATCAGAAGTTCTATGAGTCTGTATATAGAATGATTGTAAAGATATGATAGGCAGAGATGAACCCGTAGAAGTTAACCACCACTTAAGGTCTGTTGATGGGGGGTTTGATGTGAGGTATTCTGTCCAAGAACTCCCAAGAGCTAGCCAAACATCTGAATTGGTCGTTGTACCTACAAGAAACAAACCACATTCATAGGGTACCATTTATCATAAGTTGTGAGCTTACAAGAGTGGGTTTGATCTGAAGATACATCCCAGAAGACAGGTTTCAGATAGTCCGTGAAGTGGTGCCTATTTCGACTATCAATTGAAATTTGGATTAGCCGTTATCTTGTGGGACGTCTGAACTGTTCTTGTAATGGCAGAAGGAGCTGGCAATTCATCCTGGCAAAAGCTTTAGGTTAGTTTGTAATGCTGCAGCCAGCTGCAAACAAGTGAAAGGTTTCCTTTTTGGATAGAGCATGGCAGTGCAGCAATATTCATGAGTTTCTTCTTGTTCCTCATGTTATGAACATGTGCAGGAGAGATGTTTTTGATTGCCCTCATCAGTCTAGAACTTGAGTTTGCAGGATTAGTGTTGCCTGATGCAGTTTGTTCTTGTTTACGTTTACCGCCCCCCAGTTATGAATCTGGTTTTTCTTGTTGAAAGTTGGAGAGGAATTGCCTCTTCTCTTCTGGCCTGCTAAATCCCACAATTTGATTTTCCAGCTTGCGTCGATTGAGACGTAGACATGAAGCTGCACAAAGGATTGAATAGGCAGTGGCTGGAAGGACAGCATGTTGTTGAACACATAGGCAATCCTCGACAAGGACAGAATCCTAAAACTAGTAGTGCCGTGACAGCACAGATGAACTATAGTATTGCGTTTGTTACGCTTTGTTTCAGCTATCATTCTTCCTTAACTGGAGCATGGAAGCATTGTTCCCGTCATTGCTGAAAAAACTTCAGGGGTTGATCGGTAGGTTTGCAGCCTAGCTAGCTACATTAGTCTATGTTAGCTTGAGTTAGAGTGGTGCAATATAGTAATTGTAATAGCAAATTGTATATGCACAAAATGGTGCATTTTGAAAGCAATCCACTGGTGAATGTAACGTGACAAATGAACGAAATATAAAGAAGTGAAATGTACCAAGTTTGACGAATGTAACGGTCTTCAGAATGTCAACAGGTTTCATGTTCAGATTGAGATTGAGATGGGATGGGATCACCCACATTTTCAGCTCATAAACAAACAGTAGCAATCCAATTCCAAACGCCATTTCTCCTATAGCTTCCTCCCATCAATCATCACCACACTCTGCCACTTTCTCGAGATAAAGAGGACGAGAAGGAAAGATCCGCCATGGATGGAATTGTGGGGAAGGTGGGAGGGAGGTTCAGAATCTCGCTAACGGATTCGACAATGATGAAGATCCTCCATTCCGCCATGGACAAGTCTCACGAGCGAGTCAAGTCCGAACAGGGCGTCATCCTCCGGCTGACGGAGATATCCAAATTCTACGAGCTGGCGGTAATGCTGCTAGACGGCTGCCTGCGCTTCGTCGGGGACGAAGCGGTGGCCAGCAGCAGCAACAGCGCCGTCGCGGAGGAGAGCGGCGACGAGGATGTCGTGGGAGACCTAGCTGAGATCAGGGACCGGCTCCGAGGCCGGCTGAGGGAGACGGAGCTCGCGATCGCGGAGAAGGACAGGGAGTTCAGGTGCAGGTTCGGCGACGAATCGCCCGAGCTGAAGCGGCTCGATTCTCTGGGCGTGGATTTCAGGCTGGAGAAGCTGAAGAGTAGTGCCGAGGGGAATTCGGAGGAAGAGTTCTCGGAGCTTCAGCATTCGGTGGATCAGCAGGTGATGAACATCAAACAGAAGCTCGGCCCTGAGTACAAGATGGTGGAGAAGAGGAGGAACAAGAGCGTCGATTGCTTGAGGATCGATCAGATGGGATCCGAGATCGACATCTTGAAATCGACGATGGATCTCGCGTTTGGGAGGATGCACAGTGTTATGTCGTTGTCGGAATCGGAGAAGCAAGCGGAGCAGCGGTGGGGATGTGAGATTGAGCGAGGGACGACGGCTGTCTTGATCAGAGGGTTCATGGAGGATTTGGAAGAGAGATTTGTTTCAGAAATCGACATGAGAGGAAAGCGGGGTTCGATTGCGTTGAATGTGGGTTTGATGGATGTGATGAATGAGTTGAGATGCTTGCAGGATGAATCTATGAGCCCCAGAGGAAAGGTGAGGGAAGTGCTTGGGAAAATTGAGAATCTAGTTCAATGGTATGGGGGCCATGGAAACCAGGAGGCTTCTTTAGTGAAAAGTTTGGATGAGTATGATCAGGAAAGAAAGCCAGAATCGATGGTTGATTGTTCGGATGGCGGATTTAATGAAGTTAATGATACTACTGATGCATCAAGAGAAGAACTAGTTAATGAGATTGAGATGCTGCAAATGGGGATGGAAGAGTCATGTTTGCAGAGTTCGATGACGGAGAAGATTTATCTTGCTGTAATTGAAGGAATGTTGTATGATTTCCGCAGCTGGTTACGTGATCGTGACATTGAGAGCAGAATTAAGGAAGAAATTGTCAAAGATGTTGTTGAAGGAACAGTGTATCAGTGGAACCAGAAACTGGGAAATGATAGAATTGAAGGTGAGATCAGGGAAGAAGTGCACCAGATTGTCCTTAGTGAAGTGATGAAGGAAATAGGGTCTCGGCTTCAGTTCACACTGATGGAATCTCAGGATGTCGTTTATGAATGCAAATTGGAAGGTGAACTGAGGGAAGAAATGAATGAAGTCCTCTTCAGGGGAACCTGTAGAGACTGGAACGATGTTGTAGAAAGACACGAAGCTGAAGAAGGCCTTGGCAAAGAAGTTTCTCTGACTGTATTTGGAGAGAGTCTGAGAGACATTACTGAAACAGGAAATCATATGGCAAGGAGCTTGAAATGGGCTGAAGATTTATATTCATCTGAGTGTATGGAGAATGCAGTGAAGGAGGAAATTTGTATGGTTTTCCTGAGAGAAACCTGCAAGAGTTGGCAGGATGAGATAGATGCTCATTGCTATGAGGATTTCCTAAAGGAAGAGATCTTCCGATTGCTTGTTACAGAGGTCATTAGTGAAGCTTATGAAATTGGCAAAGGAGGAGGGTGCGTTTCTGCTGATGGACTCCATGAAAGTGCAGAATTCAATGTGATTCAGAAACCAAGTTCACTGGATCTAATACCGGTTGGCCATTCCAAGATGAAGTTGCAGAAAGACCACCTGTGCATTGGAGGCCTGCAAGAAGGAGACGCAAACAAACAAGTGATATCTGGAAAGTTGCTCACCGAGATGAAAAGCAATTGCAGTTCAGTGAGTAGTTCAGTTACGCGAGCCATAGAACATTTAGCAGTGAGTAAGAGACACTTGAGTGAACTAAGAGGTGGTTTAGGAATCCGAGATGGAGACATGATAGTAACATATGTTGATCATGCAGCAGTGGAACTTCTGCAACCAGAGAAAAGTGAGGAGGTGAAATTAACACTGTCTGCTGCTGCAATTGAACAACTCGTCAGTGTTTCAGAAGTATTTACTACCTTCAACTGTGCAGTCGAGGCAAGATTAGGACTCAACATATCGAGGTACATCTCTTCACTTTCCATTCTCCCCACATTAGATTTAGCCTACTGCACAGAGGATGCTATGAGCTGCAGTTTTGATGGCATGTATTTCAGGCTCCCTCTAATGCCTTTACAGGTTGCAAGAGGCAACACAGCGCTTAAGTCCACTGGTGGAAGTTGTCGCCTCAATGAAGAGTAAGGAAAGTCGATACGCAGAAGCGTTCATCAGGCAAAGCGAGAATCTCAGAAGGGCTGAAATCGAGGTTATGGACAATTTTTTCCCCCTCACATTTTATTTTTTACTCCCAAGTTGGAAATCCGGATTCAGTTCTGGAAGTCCAGATTAAAGCTGTGTTTGGTACTGTGATATAGGTTGATCTACTGGGAGATCAGGTGGATGCACTCTTGGGACTTCTTGAGAAGATATATCACATTCTGCACCAATATCCACCTATCCTGCAACAAAATTTTGAGGTAAAAGAAAGCTGCTCCTTTTCCTTGGGGTCTGAATTTGATGGTCTTTCCTTGTGATTCAAGTCATTTATTACATATTTTATTCTTGTTGTCTGAAGGTTGGTTGTTCTCTGGTTTCTCTTCCGTGTTATGCAGGTCTCAGACATTCTGATGATGATTAAGAGGCAGTTACATAACTAGAAGGGCTCCTGCTTATAGCAACAGTTTCATGGCTTCTTGAGACATTTAATCAGAAAGGGCAACCAACATAAATTTTTGCAGGCTGTTAGTGAACGCTCCACTCAATTCGAGCCCGAATTAGCTACCTTGATCCAACGATGTTCTCGTAATCATTTGTAATCAAGGTATAAGATCCATTATGGAACCTCTTCCAACAACTCGAGTTATTGGGACCAACTAGTTCTTAACATGGTATCAGAGCTGGTTTGTCCTTGAGATCACGTGTTCAAGTCCTCACGGCCACCAATATTAACCGTTGTCTTTCAAGCACATGGTATGTCGGACCTGTGCAAACTTCAAGCCCATGAGTCGGCTTTCGATTGAGGGGGCGTGTAAGGAAGTGGTTAAGTACCATACATGGGCATGTATTAGATCTAGCATAACCTTCTCCCAACAACTCGAGTTATTGGGATCAACTGGTTTTTGACATGGTATCAGAGCCTTCTGTGACCGATAGGTCTTGTGTTCGATTCCCGGTGACTCCCATTTATTAAGCACATGATATTCTTGTCTTCAGACTTGCGCAAACTTCAAGCCCTTGTGAGTGGCTTTCGTTTAAATGGGCGTGTTAGTGTTGTGGTATATGATCCACGATAGAACATCTCCCAACAATTCGAGTTATTAGAACCAACTGGTTCTTGACATGGTATCAGAGTCTTCTAGGAGCAGGAGGTCTTGTGTTCGAATCCCAATGACCCCCCATTTGTGAAGCACATGGTATTTTTGTATTTAGACCTGTGCAAACTTCAAACCCTTTTGAGTGGCTTTTGTTTGAGGGGGCATGTTAATGTGTGGTATAAGATCCATTATGGAACCTCTCCCAACAACTCGAGTTATTGGGATCAATTGATTCTTGATACTTACCCTCCTATTTTCTTTCTCTTCTCATATCAGTGTGGGGCACTAAAGATTCATTTCATATCATGCATACAAATCGAATTAACAAAATCTCATCATGATATCTACGAAACAAATGACGGTGTTTTCCAAATCACAATCAATCCAAAATCCTCATATATCTATAGGTGTACATAAATCTTCATTTTTAAAATTCACGAAACAAACGACTCGGAAGAAATACGAAAACTAGACAATAACATATGTATGAAACTGGCTCGATTTTATTATCATTGTAGATTATGTGAGATACATATGGATTGATTCTTTCAACCTAAAATTGATCATCCATTCCAACTCAATGAATGATTGCAAATAGAAACATGATTATTTATACATATAATGAAACACATGGCCCGATTTCCATACGATCCAGAACGTAATCAGTGAGGTTGATATGAAAATTTAACTACATTTTCTTAGTTTATAGGAGATGAGGAGGTGATCGTTCTTCATTCTGTCACTGTCTTTAAGTAGTTTCTTAGTAGCCATTCCAAAAAGAAAAGTACATAGCCCCTTTGCAATACAGATCCATAAAGTTAGATTAAACAGTATTGTCTACAACTCGAAGCTAGATCCTGAAACTATAGAATAACAATAATTAAGATAATGATCGAAAACTTAATGTTTTAGTGGGTACACTTTTTTTCTCGAATGAATGAACTTGGAAGTTAAAAAAAACATAATAATATAAACATATTTTACCGAACCACTAAATTAGGGTATCCATCAAACTCTCATCCCTTGTACTTGATTGTTTGGAGTTTGAACTGAAGTACTGTTTTGCCAATTAGATTATTTACTAATGAAAATATTAAGAAGTTTAAACTCGGGTAATCACGATACCTTACGTTACTTCTAATTTCCCAGAGAAAATTAGATGGCCAAATATAGCCTTTCTTGAAATGTGCAAAGATTCTTGTTTTCTAATCTAATCTCATCCTCGCGTGGAATGTCCTTACTCCTTACTAGTCACAGGCCCGCCCGTTGTCCGGATTAATTATATCAAGAGTATAAACAATAAGAGTAATTACCCGAATAATCTATTTGCAAGGACGCAAATTATTCAATAACTAAAAATATTAAAAAAAGCATGCATCATGAGTTTTACAGCATCTTAACACTCATGTAAAAAAGTCCTTATTAAAAGTAAACAACAAAACTCATGCAAGTAACCGGTTAATAAAAAATTGGGCTAATACCACTACAACACCCGAACTATCCGGAAAATGTCACTTGTGTCCTATTGTTTCTAATATTCCATCTGTGTCCTGAACTATTATTCCGTTAGTGTTGACCGGCGTTGACCGTTAGTATTTAACAGAAAATCCAGTCAGTGTTGACGTGGCATCTGACATGTAATTTTTATTATCAATATTCATTTATTTTCCATCTAAAATAATATAATTAAAATAAGGAAAACAAAATAAAAATTATGAAAAATTAAAAAAATAAAACAATAACTCAAATCGACGAGTCTCTTCTCCAGATCCACGATTCACTGGCGATCCTACTTCTCTTCTCCAGATGTAGAGGTTATTGCGGTGGGGGAAGAGAGATTGCTTACCCTGAGTTAGAGTTCTTGCCGGTGAAGCGATCCACATTAGTGAGGCAATCCAATTCGTCTTGATCGAAGCTTTCCCGGCGTAGAAAACTAGAGCGGCCTTTTAATCTCCACAGTCTTCGTTTTTTGGGCGTAGAAAACCTCCTCCCTCTCCATAATCTTACATTCACCGGAACTCTTATTCGAACTGAATTCCACGAACAGAAATGGAATCGAGAGAATAGAGACAACGTTTCACCTGTTCTTTTTCTTCCCAAACCCATTCTCACCAAACCTAAAGCTTGCCCAAATTTGAAACTCAAAACAAAACCCCAAATCTCCTTATCTGTCAATATCACAACCCCTTCTACCCCAGATCTAAAAAAACCCTTCCTACTTGACCTCACCAACAGATGCAGGTTCGATCCTCCCATATCCAAGCAAATTGGATCCCCATAGCCCCGCCATCATTGTTTTCATGTTTCCTGGAAGAGGGGAATCATCATCCGCTAGAAGTAATCCGCCGTCGACTGTGACGGAAGACGCCGCCACCGATTATGGATCTCGAAGAAGGCAAACAGAAATCAAAGCAGAGTGGATTGCTCTGGCTCTTCGCTGGAAACGAAAACGGAGATGGAGAGGTGGAGGAGAAGATATTGCCGGGTTGCATTTCTGACATATAATACAACATAAATTAAAGATTTGGTCCCTGATCTGGGTTCCTCTCGAAGAACAAATCTAAATGGGGAAGTTTTGTATTTTTAGACTATTTTTATTGTTTTTATTTTTAAATCAATTTACTTTTAATTATAAATAATTATTTTATGTATTAATGATTTGGAAAAATTTAATTTAATTTAAATTTTATTTTATTTTTATATATTATATTATATTTTTTTATTTAGACTTAATTTTATTAAAAATAATCCATGTGGCAATGACGTGGCGTCTATGTGGCTGTTTGATTTTTGCCACATCATCAAAAGTCAACCATCACTTTGACCACCGTCTGGTCAACTGTTATCTTTAACGGTCAACGAAAATGTCAAGATACAAATGTCACAAAATATCATATGTCGGGATATGAATGGAATATTGAATAAAATAGGACACAAGTGGCATTTTGCGGATAGTTCGGGTGTTGTAGTGGTATTAGCCCTAAAAAATTTAATATTCAAAACCAACTTCAATTTACTCTCTGCTGTTAAAATTATCGCAAATTTCCTTTTGGATTTCTTTTTTATTGTTTCTCCATCAAAAGCATCTTCTCCACAGAGCTTCACCTTCGTTAATGAAATTTTATATTCATCATCAATAGTCTCATCCTTCTTCTCCTTCATTTCATTGAAAATCAAATTTTAATTGTAAAATATTTGAAACGGTGAAAAATCTTTTCACAACAGTGGAATTTCACCTCATCCAAATCTTAAATATTATCAGTCATTTGATTTTCTCTCCCGTCATTAAAATTACTATATCCACCACCATTAGTCTCTTTCTTTATCTCAATAATGCCACTATTTCCATCACTTAATTCACTACCTCTGCTATTAATATACTCTTCCTTCTTCTCTTCCGTTTCACTGAATGCAAAAATTTAATGACAAAAATTTCAGAATGGTGAAAACTCCATTTTCAAGAACTTAAATTTATTTACCTAGTACATGTTATGAACTTTGTCTGAGATTGCTCTTCTTCATCCTTCATTATCTTCAAAATTGTGTACCCACTTATCGGGGTTCGTGATGTTGTAATAGGTGAGCTTGATCTAAAAATTTGACTTCATTCTCTTAGTTTGTACGGGATGAGGATGTGAAGGTTCTCTCATTTTCACATTTTGTCACTATCTTGAATAGTTTCACAGTGGACATTATAAAAAATCTAGCTCCCTTGCGATACAGAACAATAAAGTTAGATGAAACAATGTTGTCTACAACTCGCATCTAATCCAGAATATATAAAATAACAATAATTGAGATACACTATTTGGTCAAAAAAGTTTATGTTTTAGTGGGTACTTTGTTTTCTCTCGAATGAATGAACTTGAAATTATAAAAACAATAGAAGAGTAAATGTATGTTGTTACCTGACTACTATTGTCTTTGATGTTGTTGTATAATTCTTATAAAATTACACATCGTAGTCTTCTTCAAATTTTCTTCGATTTTTTTTAATTAATATGGTTTTCCAATCCAAATTTGTAAACTCGGATTTGAAACGAATGAGATATAGTCGATGAGTTTGCGAGAAATTGAACTTTATCTGAGATTGTTCTTCTTCATCTTTCACTATCTTCAAATTTGTGTACCCGCTTATCGGGTTCGTGATGTTGTAATATGTGAGCTTGATCTAAAAAATTGAGTTCATGCCCTTAGTTTGTATGGGATGAGGAGGTGAATGTTCTCTCATTTGATCACTATCTTGAATAGTTTTGCAGTAGACATTACAAAAAATCTAGCTCCCTTGCGATACAGAACAATATAGATGAAACAATGTTGTCTGCAACTTGCATCTAATCCAGAATATATAAAATAACAATCATTGATATACACTATTTGGTCAAAAAATTGTGTACCCTCTTATCGGATTCACGATGTTGTAATAGTGAGCTTGATATAAAAATTTGACTTCATGCTCTCAGCTGGTGTGGGATGAGGAGGTGAAGGTTCTCTCATTTTGTCACTATCTTTGAATAGTTTCTCAATAGACATTATAAAAAATCTACCTCCCCCGCGATACAGAACAATAAAGTTAGATGAAACAATATTGTCTACAACTCGCATATAATCCAGAATCTATAAAATAACAATAATTGATATATGCTATTTTGTCAAAAAAATTATGTTTTAGTGCGTATGTTGTTTTAGCTCAAATGAATGAACTTTAAGTTAAAAACAATAGAAAAGTAAAGGTAAGTTGTTACCTAACTACTATTGCCTTTAATGTTGTTGTGTAATTCTTATAAAATTACTCATCGTAGTCTTCTACAACTTTTATTTTAAAATTCTCAATTAATATGATTTTTCTAATCCAAATTTTTTAAAATCAAAATTGAAATGAATGAGATATAGTCGATGAATTTGATGAAATATAAAATTTCTTAACTATAATTCTTGAAATTTGTGTCAGCTGTAACTAAAAGAGATTATGCACCAAAAACTCATCCCATTTATTTGGTTGTGATCCACATTTCATCACTGTAAGAGAAACTGATACCTAAAATAAGAATTGTGGAATAAACTGATTAATAATTAGCAATCATTATTGATTATATTCATAAACAATTATTTATTTATTTATTTGTCAAGGACAGATCGAGATAATCGACAATGTAAGAAATACAACGATAGCAAGAAAGTAAAGAACACACAGATTTATTTAGTTCACCAACACAAAATGTATATAAAAAAATAAATAATACTTCTCCAAACATTCTAACTCTAATACAGTTGGTGACTTCCAACAAATAGTATGAATTATAAAAAAAAAGATGGATAATATATAGAAAACCTCAGAGTCTCAAATTAGTTAATAGCAAAAGTAACGCATATAGGAATTTGCGTCAGACATTAAGCTTAAAATAAAATGAACAAACTATCCTATATACACACGCACAACCCTCGGCTAAATTTCACAAAGCCATATCTGCTAATTAAAATTAATAATATAATAATGGATTTAATAATAATTTTCTACTAAATCTCGTATAATTTTTTTTTTTTATATAAACTTCCATTCGTATAGTTAACAATGTCTTCTATTTAGGCTTTTATTAATTAGGACAAAAATATCCTTCCTAAATTTACTCAGAAAGCTCGAAATTTAGAATTAATCATCTTCTCATAGAGAACCTCTTTATATTAGTGTTAGGATAGGATTAGGATATTGGTGGGTGAAGATCCATTCCAACGAAATGAATGGTTGCAAAGAGAAAAATATTTATTTATATATATATATCTCGTGGAAAACATGGACCGGTTCTTTCAAATACATATAAACCAGACGACCCAGAAAGCAACCAGTGGCCGTCACTGATATTTTCTAAAACTCAATTCACCAAGAGAGCGGAGTAGAGTAGTTGGGCTTTGAGGCTATTTCGATGGCCCACCACGCTGCCGATCCAAATCAGGACCACGATTTCGAAGTGATCGATCTCTCGCCGTTCTTCACTACTCCCGGCGCCGGCGATGGCGATGATCTCGTTGTTGCAAAGGAGAAGGAGGAGGCGATAAGGCGAATCCGCGAAGCATGCTCCGACTCCGGCATGTTTCTAATCGTCAACCACGGCGTCCCCGCGGAGGCGCTGGACGAAACCCTGGCGGTCGCTCGCGAGTTCTTCGCCGGCCCCGACGAGGAGAAGCTCAAGTGGAGCCCGCGGCCGCCGGAGCCGGGTGCGGCGGCTACGATGCCCATGGGGTATGTGAATCAGGCGGCGATGGAGTTCGCTCGCAACAACAGCGAGGTTTTCAGGATGGGTCCGACCGGCTCTGGCTCCACTGTCTACCCAACCGACCCGACACGGTTCAGGTACCCGATCGCCCGGTTTTGGGTTCGACCCGGCTCCATTTCCTTGCATCAAATCTATATCTTTTGATTGATTTCGGTCCGATTGATTAGAAGCGATGCTTTGCTCAAACAAATGAACAAAACTAGTTCAGAATTTTTAAACAGATTGTGATTCATTTAGAACGGAATCAAATTCTTAACGACTTTGATTTGGCTCAATTTTTCGGATTAATTTGTAGTTAAAATATTGACTAACCGAACCAAACCGAACCACTTTTCCACCCCCAATCTCAATTTAGGGATGACAATTTTGACATGACTCGTTTTAGTCCACCTGTTTGACCTACTTTGGGACGGAGAGAGCTTGATAGCCTCCTCTCCAAACTAGCTTCGCCCCATTCTCGTTTTGGTTTGTATAGATTACATGTAAATTTCATTACATCTACTTACGATTTTGCTTTTATTACTTCATATTTTATTTATAATGAATTTATAAATAGACGAGAATGTTAATTTATACAATGATTTAAATATATTTATCATGGTATAGTCATTGCTACCTCAATTAGATCTAAACTGAAACTTGTTTTCCCCCAACAAAGATGAAATTCCTACACATGGATAGATTCATCAACCGTTATATTGCAGGGAGGTGATGGAGAGGACATTTGAGTACTTTGTCAAGACGGTGGCGCCATTGATAGAAACTCTGATCAACGACGCTCTGGGCCTCCCTCCAGATCTCCTCCGCCAATACAACAGCGAGAGGCAGTGGGATGTAATGCTAGCTTACCACTACTTCAAGGCCACCGAGACCAAGAAAGTCGGATCCCACCCACACAAGGACCCAAACCTCTTCACCGTGCTGCTGCAGGACGACGTCGGCGGGCTCGAGTTCCTCCGCGGCGACGGCGAGTGGATCCCAGTCTCTCCCGTCCCTCACTCCCTCATCGTCAACGTCGGCGACGTCGTCCAGGTACGGTAAAAGCGTAAGGTTTAAAGCGCGATTTTGACTACATTAGTGGTCAATGTTTGACGAAATGGATGATTAAGGTGCTGAGCAACGGCGAGTTCAAGAGCGTGGCGCACAGGGTGGTGTCGCCGAGGGAGAAGGACCGGTACTCGCTCGCGTTCGGGTATCAGATCGGCGGGGAGAAGTGGGTGGAGCCGTTCGCAGAGCTGACGGGGCAGAGCAGCAAGGCGATGAACAGGTTTCAAGGGTTCCATTACCATGAATTCCTGCAGCTGCTGGGGGAGAACTATAAGCTGCATCTGGATCCGAATGATGCATTCGCCATTATGGACGTCGTCAACCACTACGCTCTCCCTGCATCACCCGTGAACCTTCCTGCTGCCACTGCACCAAATTGATGAGCTTTATGGCAACCCTTTTTTTCCAATGGTTGTGTGCTCTGTTCTGCTGTCCTGTAGTTGTTGTTGGGGGGAAAAAGCATGATCTGGAATAAATAAAACGAATTTCATGTCATCTCTCACATGCCTGGCTATAAAATGGGAGTAAGTTTGCAATGAGTTTGTTTAATGATACTCGGGTCCATTGTCGTCGAAGTTCTTTTATACATGCATTAGAATTCAACTGAGGGGTCGTTTGGAAAACATGATTTATGATATGGATTTATTGAATCTAGAGATTTTTTAAAAAACCTTGTTTTTCTGCCACAATTAGCATATCTAGATTTAAGTTTTGGGATTTAAAATCTCTAAAAAATAGAGATATCAAATCTCTCTAAAAAGTAGAGATTTTAAATCAATAATTAATCGAAACAACTTTCCCAACATTATCCCTCTCTTCCTTTTATGATTATCCAGCCCTTTCCTTTCTTTTTTTCACGCGTGCAGCCTTCCCTTCCTCTCTTCTATTTCAACCCAGAAAATATTATGTCCACTCTCCTTCTCTGCCCAACGAGGGCCTTACCAGAAATCAAGTTTTACAAGCTGCAATGGTACTAGTGAAGGATGCTAGTCTTGCTGGTCTTTATTACCAACTTCCAACAGAAGATCAATTGAGCTTTCTCTTGCAACTCATCAACTGAAGAGAGCCACGTTATGAACATACTGTGGTGTCTACTTTGGTTGCGGCAGCTGGTATAAATGGGCTGAAAGTAGTAGTTTTCGTGATATTTTGCAACCTGCAGACTAGAAGACAGAATTCTAGCTTGTTGGATCATATTTTGAAACTTAATTTGGATCATATTTTGTTGCTGTGATTTTCGAACATAACAGCTTGATTCATTACCTACTGTTTATAGGAGATTTTCTTTTATTTCTTGTGCCTTGGCTGCATTTTCCCCCTCTATACATGTTTGATATTGTGTTTGCAGGTTGTATTCTGAATTTATGATATATGCAGCAACCAATGGTGAGTTGCTTAGCATGAGTGACGAACAGAGAAGGTTGTTAAGTGAGGATGTTATGTGTTGCACCATGTGTTAGTTAGAAACTGAAATTGGGTTTTACTTTGATTTTGCCGCCTTCTTTGTTGAGGGCAAGTGAGTCATTTAACTGAAATTTAGATATTATATTTTTACTAATCACAATTACCAAACACTGAACTTTTTAGAATCATATCCATACAATCTCAGGAGTTAAAATCTCAAGATTCATTAAAATCTCTAGATTCATACTCTCATTCTCCAAACGACCCCTGAGTATGTTTAATGATTATGTGTTGCAATGAGTATATCATAAAAGTGGCTCAAGAATTTTACGAACAAGGGCTTGGTCAAATGGTAATACCACTAGCTTAGAACTTGGAGGTCCCAGGTTCAAAATCCCCTTAAGTAGTACCTTAATTACAAACAAAAAAACTTATATCACCCTTATAAAAAAAAAGTGGCTCAAGAATTCAACTAATGTTCAAATCTGAATCCTAAGCAAATGTAGATTTCAGTTCCTAGCTAGTTACTCAAAAGCAGGTGAGATGGCAGCCTTTATCATGTACAGTATCCACGAATATTTATCCCCTGTTCCCCAAGGAAGGGAGGAAAATGGAGGGGAGGGGAAGGGAATTAGGAGGAGAGGGACAATTTGGAGGTGAAGGAAATTGGAAGGAAAATGTTGTTTTATGAAGGAAAATGGAAAGGAAAATGTGTATTGGGAAGTGTGGTGGATATGTTTTTTTATTGGGTATATAATAGTAACATAGTTTAAGTTTATTTTGATATTATTTTCATTGCTTTTGAATTGTGAATTAAATTTGTAGTTTCTTGCTTATTAATGTGTGATATGAAACAACGTTATGCGTGATGTAAAACAATTTTGTGTTACATTCATGATTAAAGAGTATTGTATTTAATCTCCTCATTTTCATTGTGTATATCTTCGCTAGTATTTTTTTGTATGCAATTTTTCTATTATTAGACATCAAAGTTAATCATTTATCATAAAAATTTCAACAAAACAAAAACAAAAAAGAAGAACAAAAAAAAGTAGAATAACTAATAAAGAAACAATAAAAAGAGAGGGGAAGTGGGCCCCACACAGAGGAATATAGTTTTCTCTCCAATTTGGGGATTGATTGTACATTACATTTTTTTGCATTTTCCCTCCCTCTCTGCTTTCCTTCCATCTCGCAAACAGAGGAAAAGCATCGATTTTTGTGCTTTCCATCCTCCTTTTTCCCTCCCTCCCTTTTCCCTCCTTAAGAAACACAGGGTTAAGGTATGTCCAATCACTGAAACATAAACCTTCTTAGCTCAGTGGTAGAGCGCGTGACTTTTAACCACGTGGTCATGGGTTCTATCCCCACAGACGCCGTTTTTCTAACAGATTGAAGCATGTTAAGTATTTCTGGCAAAAAGCATAAGGTAAAACGTGATATTGTATGTATTATTCAATAATAATAATAAAAAGTATGTAATGTGTGTTTAACCGTTGTCCATTCCCCCCCCCCCCCCATTGGATTTAGTCTACTGCATATATAATGCTATGAGCATCAGTTTTGATGGCCTATGTGTTTCAGGTTCCCTCTAATGCCTGTTACAGGTTGCACGAGGCAACACAACGCTTAAGCCCACTAGTGGAAGTTGTCGCCTCAACGACGAGGAGGAAGAAAAGTCGATATGCAAAAGCTTTCATCAGGCAAAGCGAGAATCTCAGAAGGGCTGAAATCGAGGTTATGGACATTTTTTAAAACATTTTACTCCCAAGTTGGAAATCCGTTTTCATTTCTGGAAGTCCAGATTGAAGTGTTGTGTTTGGTACTGTGATATAGGTAGATCTACTAGGAGATCAGGTGGATGCACTCTTGGGACTACTTGAGAAGATATATCACATTCTGCACCAGTATCCACCCATCCTGCAACAACAATTTGAGGTAAAAGAGAGCAGTTCCCTTTCCTTGGGTCTGAATTTGATGGTCTTTCCTTGTGAGTCAAGTCATTTGTTTCATAGTTTATTCTTCTGTTCTAAAGGTTGGTTGTTATCTGGTATCTCTTCTGTGTTATGCAGGTCTCAGACATTCTGATGATGATTAAGAGGCAGTTAAAGGGCTCTTGCTTATAGCAACAGTTTCATGGCTCCTTGATACATTTAATCAGAAAGGGCAACCAACATAAATTTTTGCATGTTTTGCAGGTTGTTAGTGAATTCCAATCAATTTGAGCCCGAATTAGGTACCTCGATCCAACGATATTCTCATGATCATTTGTAACCAACTTACCGCTTCTATTTTCTTTCTCTTCTCGTATGAGTGTGGCCAATAAAGATTTATTTCATATCATACATACAAATCTAATTAACAAAATCTCATCATGATATCAATTAAAGAAATGATGGTGTTTTGCAAATCACAATGAATCCAAATTCTTCATCTATCTATAGTTTTACCTAAACCTTCATTTATTCAAAATCGTAAAGCAGACAACCCGAAAAAATAAGAAAACTAGACCAAACATATGTATTAAACTGGCTCTGTTTTATTATCATTGTAGATTATGTGAGATACATATGGAGTGATTCTTTCAACCTTACATCGATCATCCACTCCAACTCAATGAATGATTGCAAAGAGAAACACATATTATTTATACATATCGTGACACATATCATTGATCGGTTTCAATACATATAAAATCAAACAATACAGAACGAGACTAGTGAGTTTGAAAATTTAACTACATTTTCTCAGTTTATAAGAGATGAGGAGCTGACAGTTCCCTCATTTTGTCACTATGTTTTAGTAGTTTCTTAGTAGGCAATCCAAAACCCGCCTCCACGACCAGCTGCTACTCTTAGAGATCATATGATGGGCGTTAGTTTTGAGCGGCAAACTGTGTCCCGCTCTTCTCCGAGTTCTACTTAATCCCCTGCAATTCTCTTTCTCGGCCTCTGATCTTCCTATAAGCGCAAAAAAGAAAAACAATATTGTCGACAACTCGAAGTTGAATCCTGAATCTACAAAATAACAGTAATTAAGATACTGACCGAAAACTTCACTTTTTAGTGGGTACAATTTTTTTCTCGAATTAATGAACTTGAAGTTATAATAACAATAGAACGATATAGACAGATTGTTACCGAACCACCAAAGTAGGTTACGCATCAAACTCTCATCCCTTTTACTCGGTTGTTTTGGAGATTGAACTGGAGCCCTGCTCTGCCCATTTAGATTATTTTCCAAGGGAAATATTAGGAAGCCCAAATTTAGACAATCACAATACCTTACGTTACTTCCAATTTCACAAAGAAAATTAGATTTGAAGTAGAAGGACGAATATAGCCTTCCTTGAAATGCTCAAAGATCCCTGCCTTCTAATCTAATCACATCCTCTCGTGGAATCTTCTTATATTAGTGTGTAGATGTAGATGCAGACGTAGAAGATCCATTCCAACGCAATGAATGATTGCAAAGAAAGAAAAATAATTATTTTTATATATATATCGTGGAACCCATGGACCAGACGATCCAGAAGGCGACCAACAGCGGAGTGGTTGGGCTTTGAAGCTCCAATTCGATGGCCCACCACGCGTCCGATCCAAATCAGGACCACGATTTCGAATTGATCGATCTCTCCCCCTTCTTCGCTACTCCCGGCGCCGGCGATGATCTCGCTGCTGCAAAGGAGAGGAAGGAAGAGGTGATTCGGCGAATCCGCGGAGCGTGCTCCGATTCCGGCATGTTTCTGATAGTCAACCACGGGATCCCCGTGGAAGCGCTGGACGAAACCCTGGCGGTCGGTCGCGAGTTCTTCGCTGGTCCCGACGAGGAGAAGCTCAAGTGGAGCCCGCGGCCGCCGGAGCCGGGTGCGGCGTCGACGTTGCCCATGGGGTACGTCAATCAGGCGGCGGTGGAGTCCGCTCGCAATAATAGCGAGGTTTTCCGGATGGGTCCGACCGGCTCCGGCCCTGGCTCCACCGTCTACCCGACCAACCCGACACGGTTCAGGTACCCGGCTCCCCAGTTTCGGGTTCGACCCGACTGGCCGACTCTATTTATTATTATTTTTTTTTATCTAAGGCAAGCCCAAAAGGCATGGGACAAAGCTTCGACACGAATACATGACCGACTTAAAACCAACACGTTAGTCTGTATGCAACTAGACTACGATGAAAGAGCCTGAAAAGCCACTACTTGGGTAGCTCTGAAGAAGCTCCGAGGAGCAAAGACACGACACTAACGGGAAAAAAAGAAAAACTCCATTTCCTTGAATAAAATTCATAATCCCCTCCTCCCTCAAATTTTTTTTCTTCTTCCTAGTTTAGTGCCAGTTCTTTGATTGTCGGTTCGGTAGGACATGGTTCGAGGCCGATATCTTTTGATTGATTTCGGTCCAATTGATTAAAACCGATGCTTTGCTCAACACACATGAAAAAAAACTAGTTCAAAATCTTTAAATAGTTTGTGATCTGAAAATATTTGTTAAATACTGGCTAACCCGAACCGAATCACTTTTTCAACCTGCCCTATTTTACGCAACCTATTTGACATGTTGGGGCGAAAGTCCCGCCCTTATTTTTCTTCACCCTGGCTCGCTCTTATTTTCAACCTTTTGTACAAATTATATGTAATTTTACTCAAATTTAGTAAATAAATAGATGAGAATCTTAATATCTCTAATAATTTAAATAGTTTGTTTTTTTAATGCAAAATCAATATTTTTAGTGTTTTCACTTTAAATTACATAACATACATGATTTGACCTTACTCCGATCTACATTTCACGAAAATTTAACCGATATGAACCGAACTTGTCAAGAAACAAGTATGAGCATCGAGTTACTCGTCCCCCACTCCCCCCACATCTTCATACCATTCCTACCTCAGTTACATGACATCTCAAGTACTGAAACTTTGTTTCTCCAAACAATATTGGAATTTCCAACACAGGGCTATAGAGATTCACCGAATGTTTTTTGTTGCAGGGAGATCATGGAGAGGACATTTGGGTACTTTGTCAAGACGGTGGCGCCATTGATAGAAACTCTGATCAACGACGCTCTGGGCCTACCTCCAGATCTCCTGCACCAATACAACAGCGAGAGGCAGTGGGATGTAATGCTAGCTTACCACTACTTCAAGTCCACCGAGACCAAGAAAGTCGGATCGTTCCCGCACAAGGACCCAAACCTCTTCACCGTGGTGCTGCAGGACGGCGTCGGCGGGCTCGAGTTCCTCCGCGGCGACGGCCGGTGGATCCCAGTCTCTCCCGTCCCTCACTCCCTCGTCGTCAACATCGGGGACGTCGTCGAGGTACAAATCGTAAGTTTTTAAAGCGCGATTTTGACTACGTTAGTGGTCAATGTTTTGACGAAATCGATGATTAAGGTACTGAGCAACGGCGAATTCAAGAGTGTGGCGCACAGGGTGGTGTCGCTGAGGGAGGAGGACCGGTAGTCGCTCGCGTTCGGGTATCAGATCGGCGGGAAGAAGTGGGTGGAGCCGTTTGCAGAGCTGACGGGGCAGAGCAGCAAGGCGATGAACAAGTTCAAAGGGTTCCATTACAATGAACTCCTGGAGCTGCTAGGGGAGATGTATAAACCGAATCTGGATCCGAATGATGCATTCGCCGTCATGGAAGTGATAAACCAATACGCTCTTCCTGATTGAACCTTACCTTCCTGCTGCCACTGCACCAAATTGATGAGCAGGCCTTTTTTTCCTATGGTGGTGTGCTCTGTTCTTCGTGTGCTCTGTTCTGCTGTCCTGCTGCATGCAGTTGTTGGGGGGGAAAACATGGTTTGGAATATTAAATAAAACCAATTTCCTTTCTTCTCCAACATGCTTGAGTATAAATTGGAGTAGGTTTGCAATGAGTATGTGTTTAATGATACTCCGGTCCATTCTCATCGGAGTTCTTCTTTACATAAATTAGAATTCAACGAAGTAGTAAGTGATTATAGGGCTGGGAAAACGGTTGCGGTTTCGCGGTTAAATCGATAACCGCACCGAAACCGCGCGGTTATTGGTTAACCACAAACCGCATATTTTGCCTATTTTGCGGTCGCGGTTGGAGATATGGACTGTTTTGCGGTTTGCGGTTTAACCGCAACCGAAACCGCAAATCCATATAACCGCAAGGCTAACCGCAAGATAGCCCCAACCCATAGTTGACCCCCAGCCCAGCCCAAAGTAGACCCCCAACCCAGCAGCCCAAACCCGACCCGGCCCCTCCCCCACTTCTCCCTTTTGCCGTCGTTTTGATTTGACGAAACGAAAGTCGAAAATCCATTTCCCTTCGACCCTTCCCATCTTCCCGCGCCGTCGTCAAATGCAGGGGCTTTATGAAAGTGAAAATAGACAAAACAGTAGCTGCTGTGTTTTTTTTTTCCCATGTATTTTTGCGGTTAGTTCGCGGTTAGTTTGCTTAACCGCGGTTTCGTATACTGTTTCGGTTGTTGTGGTTTTTACAACCAGAAACTGCGGTTCACCGTTAACCGCGTGCTGCGGTTTTTGGTTAACCGCTAACCGTGAGGGACGCGATCGCGGTTGGCTAATATGGGTGTTTTGCGGTTGCAGTTAACCGCAAATTGCGGTGCAGTTAACCGCAATCGCACCGTTTCCCACCCCTAAGTGATTATGTTTAATGAGTGTATTATAAAATGTTGCTCAAGAGTTCAACTAATGTTCAATCTGAATCCTATGCAATGGAGATTTCTGTGCCTAGCTAGCTTAGCTAGGGCCTTCATCCTGTAGAGTATAAAATTCTATAAAGAGTACATCCGATTGCTCAAACAGAAGCCTTCTTAGCTCAGTGGTAGAGCGCGTGGCTTTTAACCACGTGGTCGTGGGTTCGATCCCCACAGACGGCGATTTTTCTCTGAGAATGAAGCTGTAATCTTTTAATAAGTTTTTTACCCTACGGATTGCCCAGCTGATCTGTTTATGCTACAGTACAGCCATCAAGCGTGCATTTTCCACTAATTAAAGGCGACAAGGAAATTGCAGGGAGTAGAAGAAGGGAATGATCTACTTTTTCCCGCATACATACACGACTAGTTCATTTTAAATGTGATGTAAAGAGAATTATAACCAGAATTTATTAACATTTTCCCTCCATATATAGTGATGAAAGTGAGTTTACCAAATAAAGGAAAGTCAATCCTTAATTTAACACATGAGATGTTCAAGTTGGAACTCATCAAATGTTCTTTATTAGAAGCAGTTTTGTTACTACGAGCACTAATAGAGAGTCATGAATCTAAATGAGGCGGACTAAAAGTTTTACATTTTCGAGATTTGCAGTTTGAACCATGGTCATACGAGGAGGGAATACCCCTTCCCAATTACATTATTTTTCAAACTTTAAATGTAAATTTTACATATATTTAAAACTTGAGGGTCTATAATTCGTGGACTTAATATGGCTCTGCCGACTATGAGTCTTTGCAACTCGGATTTAAAAGTAAATTAAGTTACTAGAGTACAGTTACAGTAACATTTTATATAAAATAATTATCAACTTTTTTTAGTTATTGGGTATTTAATGGACTAATGGTAGTAGTAAACAGCCCTAATTATGGCTTCCGAGCAGACAAGGGAAGCCAAAATAATACTAGTGGGATTGTTGAGGCAATCAACATCAATAAAATTAACACCTCTCATTTCCTTAATGAATCTATCTTCAGAAAAGGAAGGGGGGAAAAAGGTGCACTTATCCTAATACAAAAGCACTATGGCGAAAAATAATATCAACGCAATTGCTTACACGATTAAGTATTGATTACATAAGATAATTGTCATCCAAACATACAAGTGGGACATAATAATAGATTAATATTTTTGGGATGGATTGTGGGTAGGGATGTCAATCAAACCCGTAACCATGGGTACCCTACCCGATCGTAACCGGTCAACGAGGGTAATTACCCGCTTTGACGGGTTAAGGGGCGGGTATGGGTAATACCCGGTTTCAAAATAAAGGGTAGGGTACGGGTATGGTAATCGATAATACCCGCCCCGTTATACCCGCTCCACCTAACCAAAGGGTCAATTTCCTTTGAGAAATTTAGTTTAGCTTGAGAAATTGAGTTGAACAACCATTATTGATGATGAAGATGTAGACGATTATTATGTTTGTGTGGATTGTAGAAGCAAGAACTATTATTATGCGTTTGTTGTTTTTGTTTGTGTGGATTGTTAAAGCTAGAACAGTTACAACTATCGAGAATTTTTAATAGACAACGGTATGTATGTGCATATATGTGTATAAGTTCATAATTTAGGATTCGTACCCATGGTTACCAGAATACCCGTGATTACCCGGTGGGTAGGGTATGGTTATATAATTTTCATACCCGGTGGTTATTTGGTCGGGTATTTTAGAAAACTCTACCTGGCGGGTTAGGAGTTGGTATAGGGTAAACCCGCACCCGACCCTACCCATTGTCATCCCTAATTGTGGGTTCAATCAAAGCCAAGGGTGTCTAATTCAATCAATTCATTGGAAATTACAAAAGGTTTTAGTTTTAATTAAATAATTAATCTGAGCTATTATCCAAAATCCAATCACACCTTTGTATTTTCCAACGCTGCATTATTGGACTGCCATATGTTTTGTTTTTGCTTCGGTCGTCCAACTAACTTACATGTGTTGGTTAAATTTGTGCTTGACAAGAAGAAACTAATTTTTTGTGTTTGGGATGTCACCATTCCTATAGCTTGTATCTAGAATTTTTTTTAACAAATAGTAACTTAGTGGCAAGAAGGTAAAACTCACCTCCCATTTTTAATAATTTATCATTTGGATACATAAATTTTATATAATATGGGATACGAGATTTAATTATTGGCCATCATCGTAAATGTTTTTTTTATGTATTAATCATCCAAATAATAATGGATTGACGCTGATATACCTTAACATTATGGCTAAATTACACATTTGGTCACTCAAATTACATAAATCTTTCACGTTTGCCACTCAAATTACTTTTCTTTCTTATTAGCCACTAACTTCATGAATCATTTCACCGTTAGTCACTGGCCGTTAGTCTCCGTCAGTCTCCATTAACGTCGTCAGAGACGTGGCAAACAAAAATGCTGACTAGGCTGGCAGAAGGCTGATGTGGAATTTTTTATTAAAAAACAAAAATCAACCAAAAAAGAAAAATGAGACTCTTCCCCAATTCATTCATTCTCATTTCCATCTGTAACCTTCCGCTTCTCTTCTTCTCGTCTGATTCCCCATCTTTCCACCTTTTATCCTCTCTGATTTCCTCTGAAGATCGAATGACAGAAGGAACAAAAGACCAACCGAATCTCTCCTTCGTCTCTCCCTTCTCTTCTCAACCTACTCTTTGTCTCCCTCTTCCATCAAACCCAAATAAGAACCCCAAGTCCCCAACTCTGTCGGCTGTATCACCATAAAACCGCCATCGTCGTCTTCTCCTTCTCCCTCTCAATCCCTCCTGACACCTTCCTCCCCCAGCTGAAGAAGGCAACTTCTCAAGTAAGAGATAGTCTCACTCTTACCATCGAGATCTACCTCAACATTTAAACGAGGCATACGCAAAATCGAGGCCAAGCTAGATCAAGGAGATAATCAATTGTAGTAAAAAAGACCCAATTCAAAGTCGAAAATTCATGAAACGAAACCCTAATTATAATTCGCAATTCAAACCCCCAATTGCCAGGCTTCAAATCGCGATGGATGACCATATTTCGGTGGCAGGTGTCGAGGCCGGAGAGAATCCGCATCATCCACCGCTTAAGCTCGCCGGGGCGGTTCCCTCCTTCTTCTTCCCGTCCCGGATGACTGCCGCCAAGTCGGTCGTGAGGAATTCGAGGACGAGGACGGCGTCTTCATCCTAGCGCCAGAAGTACTCATGAAGGACGACGAGGAGGTCGTCGGAGCGGGATGAGCCTTGTAGAAGTCGGAATTGGTGTCGGAACCGACCCGCTCGTGCATTCGATATTTGGTTATGGTTTCTTGTCGGGTGTAGATGCTCCAGCTCTTGGGAGGCAGTTGCGGCGGGGGAGATGTGGGCTTCATTATTTTTGTTTATTCCGCCTGTGCGTTTGGATTTGTGTGGAGTGTGAGAGCGAGGTGGGTAGGTTTTGCCGGCGACCGGCGACGGAGCGAGGTCGTCATCAGTTTAAGAGAGATGGGAAATTGCAAGAGAGAGAGTTTGTGTGAGCTAGGGGTAAATTTATTTTCTTTTATTTTTTATTGACATGTAATTAAGTTAACTGTCCAGTTAGCACACCTGTTTGCCACATCATTAAAAACTTAACGGCGCTAGCGGAGTTTGACGGAGAAACTTAACGGCGTTAACGGAGTTTGACAGAGACTGACGGTCGGTGACTAACGTGATATGATTTATAAAGTTAGTGGTTAATAAGAAAGAAAAATAATTCGGATGGTAAACGTGAAAGATTTATGTAATTTGAGTGACCAAACATGTAATTTAGCCTTAACATTATGATACAAACTCAATCTCACTATATACCTTAGACAGAGTACATTCTTTTTTATGATAAACACTGAACTTATGTCTTCAAAAAGATATATTACAAATTCAACTGGTATTTGTACCCTTGTAAAATTCCTCTACCAACAAAATCTGTATATGTGGGTTTTTTTTTCATTTTTCTAACCGTGACATCAAATTCCCATAATTTTCTCAAAATTTTATTTATAATACAGCATTTAGACAAAAATGAAGCAGGAGGCCACGTCAGTAAAGGAGGCAAGGTGGGGTCCTTGTCATCCAGAACCAATAGAAATTCCCCAACCCAACAAATTGCGTCTATGTTTCCGTCTGACTTCAAAGTCATGTTGGGCACGCTACAAGAAGAATATACACTAATTTAGAGGAATTAGTATTAGTCTACCTACTACTAATCCAAATTATGGAATGATTCTTGTATTTTACAATCCACAAAGTAACTGCATCCCCACTAACTAAGTCTACACAAACAAAGAAAAAGACCTAGCTTAGGTAGCTAAGTACCCACACACACTACCTTTTATCTCCGTAATCAAAGGCTATATGTTTAGCTTTTGCTTAAAAAGAGTTTGTTTTTTCAAGGTTCTTTACGCCATTTTAAGTATCACATCACAAAATAAACATTTTATTTAAGTTCACCTAATATTGTGACATCCCAAACATTTGATATTGTCTGCTTTGAGACTAGACACTAATGAATTTTGCTTTGAATGCATATCATATCAAGGTGACTTCTCATAAGATCACTCAACATTACAGTGCTTCACAATGAGCGCGTTCAACCTCAGAGTTCTCCCAGGAGAGGGACGTGCACCACACACGCATGGATTGGTTCTGTCACCGCGAGTCCGGCACACGTCCCTCCTCCTGCGCGTCGCGTGAGTGTGTGTGTGTTGAGGGTCCGACAGTTTGACCTATTTTATCTGTATCCGAGCCAAATTTGACACCCAAATGCATAATTTTTAGTGTTTTTGGATCTTCTGCGACACAATTGGAGGTACTTTTTTTAATTTAATTTTTGGGTTGCCATTGCATATTGTCTCATATTTTATAAATTTTCAACACAAACGCATTCTATATTTCCCCCCCTGAATTTCAACATTATTATGAAATTTTCCCAATGTACACCACATCAATATAAGAATTCCATAAATACTCATTTATGATAACTATTAGATGTGTACATAATTTTGTGCCTAGTTATCAATCGATGCAAAAAAAAAAAAAAGCATCCGTTTCGAGATGAAGGCCTATGCAAACGCCGAAGCCGGTTTGATCCTCCTCGTCTCCAATTAAGACCGCTTGCTTCTAATATAAAATTATAGACGCTTGTAATTGTGTGTTCCAACATTCGATTTTCGGGATTTCGAGATCGAAATGCTCATCTCTTACACATCCCCACATACTTCACTAGTAAATGTAAGAAAAAAATTGGTATGCACGAATTGATTTATATTAAAAATTAAAAATAATAAATGCCACAAATATAATGACACGTCTAATATCATAAATTCTGTAAATTCACACAGAGGCGACTATAAAAGAAGAGAAGTTCTGTGAAAGACCCCCGAATCTTGATCTTGGAGAAGCATGCAATTGGTCCGGCGGTAATTTTCAAGAAAAAGCGTTACTGTTCAGGTCAACCGGAGATTATAAGACCGTTGAGGAAAGAAAACGGGGGTTACAACTTACAACTTTGAAGAGCTGGGCGTATAACTGGAAAACGAATTCCATTTCCAGCCTTCGATTGCCGGAAAGAACAGAGGAAATCATAAAAAGCTTTATGTAGCCGAGCTTTTCCATTGCTGCAGTTGGGGGGAGAAAAGAAAATGGAAATCGCTTGTCATCAATCTTCAGAAATGCAAGAGCCCAGCATCGACACCGACAAACTCAGTTACGAAATCTTCTCCATCCTCGAGAGCAAGTTTCTCTTCGGCTACGATGATCAGAAGCTCTGGGTTCCCAAGCAAATTTCTCCACCGGACCCGGCGGTTCCCGCGGCCGATGGAGGAAACGGCGTCGCTGCCATCAAGAACCAGCGCGGCAAAATCTGCGTGCTCTCCATCGACGGCGGCGGGATGAGAGGGATTCTCGCCGGGAAAGCGCTGGCTTACCTGGAACAGGCGCTGAAGACGAAATCGGGCGACCCAGACGCGAGAATCGCCGATTACTTCGACGTGGCGGCGGGGACGGGCGTCGGCGGCATCTTCACGGCGATGCTGTTCGGGTCGAGAGACCGGAGCCGGCCGATTATGAAGGCGGAGGAGACGTGGAAGTTTCTCGCCGACAACGGGAGGCGGTTCTACAGGAACGGCGGCGGCGGGTTTCTAAAGCGGGCTTTCAGATCCGGGTCGGGCGGGTCGGGTTCGGCGACGGGCGGGTTGGAGAAAGCAATGAAAGAGACGTTCACGGAGAAAGGCCGGCAGTTGACCCTTAAAGACACGTTGAAGCCCGTTTTGATCCCTTGCTACGACCTCTCCAGCACGGCGCCGTTTCTCTTCTCCAGGGCCGACGCGCTCGAGACCGACAGCTTCGATTTCCGGCTGTGGGAGGTCTGCCGGGCGACGTCGGCCGACCCGGGGGCGTTCGAACCGGCTCAACTGAGGTCGATCGACGGTCGGACCAAGTGTTTGGCCGTCGACGGCGGGTTGGCAATGAGCAATCCGACCGCGGCGGCGATCACGCACGTGCTGCACAACAAACAGGAATTCCCTTTCGTCAGAGGCGTGGAGGATTTGCTGGTGCTCTCGCTTGGCGCGGGGCAGCTGCCTGAAGTCAGCTACGATTACGAAGAGGTGAAAACGTGGAGGGCCAAGCACTGGGCTCGACCCATGGCGCGAATTGCCGGCGACGCCTCGGCGGATTCGGTGGACCAGTCGGTGGCCATGGCGTTTGGTCAGTGTCGGAGCAGCAACTACTTGCGAATTCAGGTAATGGGTTCACAATGCAAATTCACAATCAGTCGCTTTTCATCCAACTTTTTCTTTGTTTTCGTTTACGCCCTCCAAGTGGTTGTTGAAATGCATGAGACAGTTTTGGCCTGGCTGGGGGGGCAGGGTAAAAGGGTTCAATCCAAAGTTTGTCCCTTTCTCAGCAATGGATATTTGGGTTTGGGTATGGGCATTGGTTTGGGAATTTTGGGGCAGATTTGAGCTAGCTGGAGCTGGGAAAGATCTTTCCTTTTTCTTGGGTGTATGCAATTGAATGTGATGTTTGTTTATGGTGTGTGCATTGTTTGGCCACATGGCCATGGAATGTTTTGCTTGCTTGTTGTGTGTGCCTGCCTGGTCGAGGTCACTCATCTTTTGGTGGCGGTGTCTAAATGATTTCCATGGCCGTCAATGTTTGTTTACCTGAAATTGGACCAGATGGCCTGTTCACTGGGTTGGGTTTTCAGGGAGATAGATAGAACACGTAATCATTGTACTTGAAACAGGAATTATAATTTTTGATGTGGTAAGGTCTCAAATTTTAGTTTCTTTCAGTTAAGTTAGCCGCTCATTTGAAGCTTCTTCATTTGCTGGGGTCAGAAATATATGATAGTCTCAAAACCATCATTAGAGTGAACAACCTGTGTGACCACAGTTTGCTGGCAGAAAATTAGTAAAAGGACAAGGGCAGGATGATTGTTGCAGGGACTGCTTACCATTTTCTTCCAACAAAACAAACATACGAAAGTGAATGGATGCAGTCCGTGGTGCTTTAGGCTCAGAAAAAGGACAGAGAAAAGGGCTGTCAATGTAGTTAATAAAAGATGGTGTTAGGTTCTTGATTACAGTTGGCTTTTATAACTAGGACGGCTTACTGCATGCTTTATTTGCCATCTGGTCTAAGAAATTAAGTGACAGGGGAGGGGACCCTTCAAAAGCAGTCCTTAATTCCTGATGGTCCTGTTCATAGATGATTATTAATGTTTGATATTGTTGGTATTGAGCACCACCATACGATTTTAATGGGGTTTTTATCATTCTGGCATACCATATGTGACACTGGAAGGAATAATGGCAGTTATGACTGTTGGGTGCTACCATTCTAAATTTCTAATGAACCTATTCAAGGACTGTGTGCTCAAATCGAAGTTAAAAAGACTTGCTGAGAAGGAAAAGCAAGCTGTTTCCAGAAATCTAAACTTTTTCACCAGTAAATCTGAGATTATAACCCATTTGCGTCTCCAGAATAAGAACATGGTTTTACTTTATGGTTTCGTGTGAATTTTCCATATAACCTTGGAAGTAAGATAGTAACTGGTTTTTTAAATTTTTTACAGGCAAATGGGTCCTCCTTAGTAGGGAGGTGTGAAGGCAATGTGGACACAGACCCTAGCCCTAAGAACGTGAAGATGTTGTTGGGAATGGCAGATGAAATGTTAAAGCAGAAAAACGTGGAGTCAGTGCTGTTTGGGGGTAAAAGGATAGGAGAAGAGAGTAACTTTGAGAAGCTGGACTGGTTTGCAGGTGAGCTTGTGCTGGAACACCAGAGGAGGAGCTGCAGAATTGCTCCCACTGTTGCCTTCAAGCAACTTACTACTCTACCCAGACCCACCACCCCCAGGAAGAAAATTTAATCAACCACTCCCCAAAACAAACAAGGTAAGCTTCTTTATACGTTCTGCCCCTCTGTGACTTGCCATCTTTTGCTACTGTGGTGTGTTTTTGCTTGCTTTGGAACTTGGCATTTATTTATTACAGTTATACTGTTTGCCCTTTTGAAAAAGAGCATCTTAGTAGGACCGTTTGGTCTTGGAATCCATATAAGTAAGTAGGAGGGAAGGGTTCTTTTCTCTCCTTTTTACCAAACCTTCATTTTGGTTGTTGTTAATGGATGGGCATATTTCTCTCTTGAGTAGCTAGTCACGCTACCACTAGTGCAGGCCAAGCTGCCCATGTATTCTGTCATTTCTTCATTTCTAGCTCCTGAAGACTGGAGTTAAAAAAAAATTTTATCCTAGTAAGTTACTGTTAGCATCCACAATGCTTAGTGAGCACTTTTTCGGATGACTCGCTTCTCTTGTTTGTTGAACGTTTGCGTTTTGTCCCTAATCAGCCTCATTGATCACGTCTTATTTCACATTTGCGGTTCATCTGTCGTTCGGGAGTTATCAAAGACGTGCTTATCAAATTTGGCCGATCCCACTAGTTATGAATTTTTAACTAACCTTTTAACATAAGGACTAAAAATGAATAGACATCATAATGCATAGACTTGGTAATTAAAATTCGTAGTACAGTTACGAATTTGTTAAGATGTACTTTAGGGTACTTTGATGTTCAAGCACGAGCTACATATTTTCGCAATAATATGATGAGATGCATTGTCGTCTTCTTTTTTAGCCATGGAAGTTGTCATTGTCGATGTGTTTGGGATTGAAAGGTCAAAAGGCCTTATAGCCGGTTGTCCTTGTTGTTGTTGCTTGTGGACGTGTATGAAAGCCTAGGAGAGGACAAATGCCCACCGCCATTACCATCTAGCTCTAACTACAAAGAGGGTAGAGCTGGGGCATGAGGTGGAGAACCCTACAGCCAAACATTGTCGGCCTACCGACACTCATTCTGTTGTCTTTTGTGTTGGGATCATACCGGCGTCGCTTGGGGTCGTCTTTTCAATTTGTGGGGCAGCCATTTTTGGAAGCAAATAAATGTGGAAACTTGATCATTGAAGTAGAGGTTCTTGTTGCAGAACACAGTTGGAGATAGCACCCTCATTGAATTAGATTGGAATGGAATTCTCTTCCCACTAAATTAATTGCTCCAAATCTGTTTACTTTCATGTTGTGGTCTGATCACTGATGGTAAAGGTAAAGGTCTTGGATTTACAGAGAGATGTGGTTTAAATTTCACTTTTGTTATCAAGTAAGATGGTCAAAAGAAGAAGAAGAAGAAGAAGAGGCATTGGAATATGAGATTCTTGAGCTTTGTGCTTGGTTTCTTTTTGTCCATCTTCATGTTTAAACATCCCATTCATTCCCCTGCAATTTTCTAAACAGAAGTCTCTTTTGCCTTGCTTGTAAACTGCAGGTAAAACGTAGCAGCCTGCATATATTTCAAGAAAGGGATAGCAGTGAACAGAGAAGTGAAAGCAACCCATATGAAAGATGATGATGGAAAACCCAAAAAGAAGAAAACAAACAATTATATGGGGGGGCAGCCTTTTTGCTTTGTGGAAGGACAAAGGGGTGAAATAAATAGGAAGAGGAGGGAATGGACTGCCCTGGGATGAAGGGGAAAAAGGACAGGTGAAAAAAGATAACAGAGGCATGAATGAATGAAAAGCTGGGAAGATCTTAGTGGGATTACTTTGCCTGCTGGAGAACAGGCACTGTGGTCTCCATTACCATTCTCTACAATGGCAACTGGCCATGAAATTGAAAATGGGAAAGGGGAAAATACGACTTCGATCATCAATCATACAAGGGGCTTTTCAGATTGGAGGTCAAAAGAGACATGAAGCAAGTTGCAAGTGTGAATCTTTTTAGTGTACATTTTTTTCTATTTTGTATGATTTGGTTCTCCAGGGGATGGTGGAGACTGGAGACAAAAGTATTGGTGCTGTAATATATGTCTCTGTGTCCTCTGTCTTCCTGTTTTTCTTCTTATTAGCCTTGAGTGCCTTATTTATGAATCCCCAAAGTATATATTATGTAATATCATCTTCTTTATGCGGGTAGTAGACTGAGACAGAAATGAAAGAACAAGATTAAACTCATATGAAGGGCTATGCATGTCTAGAGAACGAAGAAGATGCGACTCAAACTCAATTCATTAGTAAACGAACCAGTTCACGACCCAGTTGATAAAAACTCATGCCATTGCCAAACAAGTCTTCTCACATCAAATGGCAGCTCTAGCTAGGTACACATTACGCTTCCAAGGATAAACCAAAAAGAAAGGCTAAACTCTTAAAGCAGAAAGGTGAAGGAAGGAGAAAATAAAGGAATCTGCTGAACCCTTCATGTCCAATCCAAGAGCACAGTTATCGTTAGGTCAGCAGGAGGATTGAAGAGACTAGAAAAAGCCCACACACACACACATCTTACATCTACACACTATACTCCTCCCAAATTGGCTTTCCTTTCTTCCAACAGGACAGGACATGGACCTGCAACCTACTACGTGGGCATATTTCATTAAGAACTAGTCGATTCTAATAACTCGAGATGTTGAGAGATGCTCGATTATGGATCCTATATCAAGGTTGCATAGATCCAGATATCATGCGCTTAACATAATAGGTAGAGTCATGAGGAATTCGAACAAAAGACCTCTTGATCACACTCATACCGTGCCAAGAACCAATTGGGTCCCAATAGGGATGCAATTTTGACCTGACCCGATTTACCCGACCTGTTTGACCTATTTTGGGAGGGTCCGACCTGCCCCGTAGGCGGAGCGGGACGGGCATGAGTACTCTCATCGACCCGACCTGCCATGACCCGCCTCATTCTCGACCCGTTCTTGTCTAAATTACATGTAATGTTAGTCAAATTACTAAGTATTTTCCTTTTATTACACCATATGGTAGCTATAATAAAGTTGTAAATTAGTGAAAATCTCATTTTCTCCAATAATTTAACTAAATTTATCATACTACGGTTTGTTTTCTTTGTCTTATAATGAAAATAACGAATATTTCTAATGATTTTCATATAAATTGTTTACCCATTGGGTCGACCTGCCCCGAACCGTGACCCATGATAAATTACCTGATCTGCCACGGGGCGGGTATGAGTATCGAGATACCCACCCCGGACCTGCCCCATTGCCATTCCTAAGTCCCAATAACTCGAGTTGTTGGGAGAAGTTCGATTACGCATCATTATACCACTTACTACATGCATGGCTAGCCTACCAATCATTCTGTAAACCGTTTTGCTAGCTCTAACTACACTATTATTTGAGTGTTCTAGGCTGATTAGAATTTAGAACCAAGTGAATCAAATCCATCCTACAACACACAAAACCACTGCCTGCTCTGTTCTGCTCTGCTTTTAGCAATTTTGGCCATCAAACATTTACCAGACAGAGCAAGAAACTGTGTCAGTACGGACAAGAGAAAGCTGATATGCTCTCCATGAACTCGGAGATAATTTTTCCACTATTGATAATTTTTCCAGATTTCCACCGGAGATCTTTTCCAGCTGCCGCCTGCGGAGCCCTCAGAGATACCCAATCGTCTACTAACAATAAAGGCAGGAGAATCAAGCTAGATCAGGGAGAGTTAAATGCCGAGATTTACCAATTATGGGCCTCACCCCCCCCCCCCCCCACCCTCCGGCTGGACCAATAAGGAAGGACGGAGGACAGATAGCAAGCTCTGGCCAGCCATTACTCCGCCGCCCAAACCACCTGAACCGAGATTGATTGATGGACAGGGAAGTGATAGTTGGAGTAATGACGACCCAGAAGAGAGTAAAGCTAAGAAGAAAGAGGAAGAAAGAATTAATGTTGGTCAGGGGAAGATATCTCCTGAAGCCAGAGAGCTACTGACCATCTATGAACGGAAGGATCTTGGAGGGGAGACATGGGAAAACGCTTCGAGAATCATAGGGAGCGGCAACAAAGACAGAAGGAAGCAAGAAGCCACTGATGTAAGAGAAAGATGGAGTAAGGGCGCTGCACACATATGCAGGAGGAAAACCCCACGGAATCACAACGGGCTACCATTGCGGAGCTGTATCAATCCATTAATGGCATGCAGATACCACCTCAAATGGCCTCCAAAAGGAGCACCGACAGATAGGAAGGTCAGAGGGCGGCAGCTGACTACAATAATAAAGACGGGGACATTTACTCCGCAAAGGAGGAACAGAGCACACCTAACCAGGAGAAACAAGGCCTATTTAAGGGAGGAAACGCCAGCAGCTGCTTTACACAATCACCTGATTCCCATATCAATCTGGAACAACCACCTATCAACCAAAAAGTCTTCTGAACTACTGTTTTCCTTCTATCACTCCACTCTCACTAAGCCCACCAGCATGGAGATGCACGCTAGGAGTCTCCGCGGTGAAAAGAGCCATCTGGTGATCAATGTCCGACCAACAGTGGTGGGAGCCAGGGGTAGCGGAATGGCGATGCTGTTAGGAAGATGGATAACAGACTCGTTCATCAACCTCCAAAAAGCAAAGAATGCAGCGATGCAAAAGTGGAGGGCCTATGGCGAAGTTCAGGCAACAAAGGAGGCGGAAAATCTGTTTGTCTACTCTTTCCAATCGGCAAAACAACGAGACGCAGTCTTCGACGCCAGGCCATGGAATCTCAGCAACACTATGATAGCACTCAAGACGTGGGATGGAGAGCAAAAGGCGAAGATAGAGGATATACCCACAGTCACCTTGTGGGTTCAAATGCATGACCTGCCCCAATCGCTGAAAGACGAAGAAGCAATCCAGGCGGTGGCCTCATTCATCTTCCCCCATTATCACTCCATCGACCAGTCAAACTTTGAATTCAGAGGATGGCTGAAGTTCATCCGAGCCAAAGTCGAAGTCAGCCTCGACGAGCCTATTCCCATAGGTTTTGAATACCCAATTGGGGAAAGATCGATTTGGGTCAGCTTCAAGTATGAACGAATCATGGACCTATGCTACTTCTGCGGAAAGCTTGGGCATCTGATCCACAACTGCCTCGAGCGAGAAGAAAATAGAAGGAAGGGACTCTGCACTGATCCATCGGAAGTCTACACGGATGCCCTCAAAGCTGGGCATGATTCTCCGGCGAACATCCCGCCGGCGTCTTTTCGAGAGAAGCTGGCGAACATGCGCCGCCTGACGAGCAACAGTTCTGGGCAGCAACAGAACAGAGGAGTCAGAAGGGATTCCCCAATCCTCACCTTGATGGGCCACCCTGTGCCAGGATCGGTGGCAGGGACTATGTCAAACCCCCCTGGGTTCACAGCTTTACCCATGCCAGTGCAGAACTCAGACTGGATGCACAGAGGAGATATGGGATCTTCATCGGGCCAACCAAATCGTTTAGAAAGAGAAATGGAGGCAGCAGCCACAGCCATGCAAAGAGGGCTGGACCTAAGGGAAGGGGAAAGCAGGAGAGAAGTCAATGCTGGTCTTGTAGAGATGGGCCTGGGCCTATCCCTGGCGAGCCCGACTTACTCATGGGCTGACCCAACACCCACCCCAGCCCAGGTCAATGAGCAAAGCCAAGGCATACCACTCATGCAGACCCAGACAGCCCAGGTGTCAGTCCCAGTCACCAACCCAACAGTTGAAGATGCCCAGGCCCAGATAGGAGAGGAGGAGAGGCCAAGGCCCGAGAAAAAAAGGAAGCCAGAACACAGGAGCCCAAGCAGCTTCTCCCTGCCCCAGCAGGACCCAACTACTAACCTGTCGTTTGATGCTCTTTCTTTTGCCACAGGGGAGAACAGAAAGACCTACCAGAGGAGGAGGAATCTGATAAGGAGGAGGAACTTGACAGATATCGCAGCAGAGGTGACCCAATCCGGAGAAGGAGAATCAATCACTCCGAGGGCGTCGGCGGCAAGCCTCAAGCCGCCAAATTTCGAATGAGGATTATCAGCTGGAATTGTAGGGGATTTGGCCAATCCCTTACAAGGAGCTACTGCGGCCGTCTCTGCCGCCGGCTTGGACCCTCAATTCTCTTTCTGATGGAGACCAAGAAGGATGGAAATTTCATGGAAAGTAAAAGAAGAGCTATGAAGTTTGATCATGGGGAGTATGTTAGCCCAGAAAGTGAAGGAAGTGGCCTTGCTGTGTGGTGGAATGATGATGTGGAAGTTGAAATTTTAGATAGCTCTAAGAACTATTTAGATATTAGGATCAGTCAGAATGGGGTGGTGTTTTTCTGTACTTTGATCCATGCTCCTGCCGCGGCGGCAGAGAGAAGGATGATGTGGGAAAGAATCACGAATTTAAGGGAGACTCAGTACGAGTCTTGGCTTATTGTAGGTGATCTGAATGTGGCTCTAATGCCTTGTGAAAAACAGGGGCGGTGCCCCATTCGTAATGAAAATGTGATCCCTTTCAAGTATTTCATGGACAGGAATGGATTAATTGACCTCGGGTTCTCTGGAGAGATCTTTACCTGGTCCAACAATCAACAGGGAGACGACCTAATCAGGGAGAGACTCGATAGGGCTCTTTGTAATGCGAACTGGCTCAGATGCTTTGAGCAAGCTAGAGTCTTCCATGAAGATTTCGTGGAATCTGATCACTGCCCAATTAGGGTGGACCTTCACCTCCATCAGCCCTCAATCAATACTCCATTCCGGTTCGACAAGAGGTGGAAGGATAATAATGAATGCAAGCAGATCATCAATGAGAACTGGGGATCCGGGGGGGACCGTACAAGGGAATCTGAATGATGTACGAAGATCCATGATAAATTGGGCTAAACTGGACAGGATGTAGAGTCAGAAGAGGGAACAGGAAATCAGAATGAGGCTGCAGGAAATCCAGGGTCCTGTCAGGACACAGACTATGGTGGTAGAGGAGAGGGATCTCCTGCTGGAACTTGATAAGTGGTGGACTTCGGAAGAATCCTTTTGGGCTCAGAGGTCGAGGAATGGATGGCTACGGGAAGGAGACCAGAACACAGGGTTCTTCCATGCCTCCTCTACTATCAGAAGAAAACATCACAACAGAATCTCCAAACTGAAAGATACATTGGGAAACTGGATCGACAACCCAGTTGGGATCGATGATCACGCGAATGACTTCTACAAAAAGTTGTTCCAGAGCAG